CCGCGTGCTCACGTGTGTGAATGTGAAGCAGGTGGCCTTCTGCTGTCCCCTGAGTCGGGGACGTGGATCATCGCTCCATCACCCGTCCCGCGGTCCCCGATCCGCACGCCTGCTCCATGGTTACCGTGTGCGCGCAGCGCGCCCCCAAATGCATAAACCCGCCACTGCGGGCTGCCGTTTATCACACTCACCCCTCTGCCCGGTAAACGGCCAATGGAAATACGTTCTGTTACGTTCCATTCGTTTCCAAATGTACGAGTTTCCAAATATGTTATAAATGAGAAGAAAAGAAACTGCTGGACTGTTTGTCAAACTGTCACATTATTTTATTTATCGTCTCCTGTCAGTAGAAAAGTCCAGAAGTGGATTGAGATAAAAAATGGAGGCGCGTGTAGAGATAAACGGAAAGGGAGACACGGCGCGTTCCCTCCCGCCTGCTCCGGGCAGCAAACGGGAAGCACTGAGAGCCGCCGGCGTGGCTCGGTGGTTGAGCGCCGGCCTATGAACTGGGAGGTCGTGGTTCCTCCCGGTCAGGGCACAGGCCCGGGCTGCGGGCTCGATCCCCAGTGAGGGGCACGTGGGAGGCAGCTGGTCCATGATTCCCTCTCGTCACTGATGTTTCTCTCTCTCCCTCTCCCTTCCTCTCTGAGATCAGGAAGAATATTCTTTAAACGGCTGGAAGAGCTTTCTGTTTAGCGAACAAGATGTAGAGAATTGCGCTGTCCATGTCGGTTTTCACGATGAGGCGCCTGTTCGAAGGCCCAGTTCTGCCTGGAGAAAGCGCCTGTGGAGGCTGGGGGCACCCGGCTGCCCGCTGCCTTCACGCCTTCCGCGGGGGCAGGCTCCGCGAGGCGGCGGTCGTGGCTGTGGGGACTGGAGATGTGCTGGTTGGGGTGCACCTCAGCCTCTGCAACACTGTGCACCCGGGCTCAGCATTACGGACTCGGCCTGTAGACGGTGGCCCCGGGCTGCACGCGGCCAGCACCCCTGGGAGACGGCCCTGCCCGGCTCTGATGTGCAGGGAAAGGCCGCAGGCTCCGCTCCCGCCCCTCAGCACAGCAGCACCTCCTGCCGGGGAAGGGCGGGGGTCACAGAGGCGGCCAGCTGCGCCGGGGCCCTTCCATTGTCAGCAGCAGGCGGCCAGCTGCAGGCGGAGGCGGCTGCAGCGCTGAGCAAAAGGTGACCCGGTCCTGCGACGCTCCACCAGGGCCTCGCGGTGCACTGGGGGGTACACACATGGGGTGCACTGGGGGCCCTCATAGGGTGTACTGGGGGGCCCTCCGCAGGGTACACTGGGGGTACACACATGGGGTGCACTGGGGGCCCTCCACGGGGTACACTGGGGGGTACACACGTGGGGCCCTCCGCGGTGCACTGAGTGTTTGTAACGAGAGTTTGGGGGGTGTATGGGATCAGGGCCCCACCACATGTGGGCCCTGAGCTGTGAATGGGCTGCAGGCCTCCTCAGGGTCCTGCGTTCATGGCCACGTGTCCTGAGAGGAGCAGCCACACTGGCCGACACCGTCAGGCAGGAGAGGAACCTGGGGCCGCGCAGGGGGCCCGCGCCCCGCTCTCCTGGGCCTGGCCCGCCTGCGCCCCGAGAGCCACCAGGCTGGTTTCCTTCCTCGCTCCTTAAGGTCGCCCACCGCCTCCCGCCCCCGGGTCCCTGCTGCCCCTCCAGTCGTCATGATGCTCTCACCTTGACGAACAGTGTCTCGTTGTCCACTTACCCCCGGACCCCCGGCTCAGCAGCTCAGGGACGGGAGCCTCGCCCTCTGCTGGAGAGACTCGTGTCTTTACAGGGACTTTCTAATCACGTGCAGCCTGCACACCTGCTGCCTCTGAGCCCCGGCACCAGGGCTGGGCTGGACGGGGAGCAGGGGAGCTGGGTGTGCACGGGCCCTGCCTCTGCGGGGTTGTTTGTTCCCAGAGCTGCAGCGAGGCCGCCCCAGGCCCCTGGCGTGCCCTGCTCCCTCCGCCCAAATCTCTTCCGATTGGATTTCTTCACCTCCTGCCACCCCGCCCGCCCGGGGAAATGATCCCCTGGGAAAGCTCGACCCGGAGCCGCTGCGGGGGGAGGGAGCTCCGGGTCCCGTGGTTTCCGGGGAACTGACCACAGCAGAGCTCGGAGGAGCAGCCCCGTGGAGAGCAGGGTTCTGAACTCCAGGCGCCGACGCGCCTCTATCCAAACGCCTCTCACCACTGAGTCACGTGACTGGGCCTCCGTTTTCTGAGCAGATAATAGATACCATATTCGCTGGGGTTCGATGCCGTGGCTGACACCTGTAAATGGACCCGTTTAGCACAACGTCCACGGCCGTGTGGGGCATGGTCAGCACAGCCCCCTCCCTCTTCCCACTGTGTTTCCCTTCCTCTGGGAGGTCATTCCCGGCGCACTGACATTGGGATTTGGAACTGGTTTTGTGTAGAGCATTGAGGAGAGGGTAATATTTCTGGTGGCGGCAGCGGTGACTCGTTATTGCGGAATATGCATGAAGAATTAAGCCATCATTGAGATTTGTTGAGTGCTCATCGCGCCGTAAATTCTCCGGGAACGGCAGGAATAAAGAGCCGGCTTATTCCTTTAAGAACGCCCCGGTGTCCGTCTCCGCAGCTTCCCTCCCGAAACGGGTGCGGGTGAGGAATGCACCCCGTTATCTCGTCTCGCCGGGAACAGAGTGAAACCACCGACAAGCAGTAAAGGAGGCAGAGACTCAGGTCCTCGCCACAAAGGAAGGAGGCGGTGGCGCCGAGGGAAGCCGTGTCTGGAAGGCAGCCCTGGATGGAGGCATGAGGGCAGGGAGGAGGTCTCCGCGTGGGGACCTCCAGCGCGGACTTGGTCGCGGAGGGGCTAGAGCTGCAAATGGAGGTGATTCACAGCGTGGAGTGGACGGCCTGCTCCCACCCGTCTGCTGGAGGCAGAGTGTCAGCGCCTGCCGGGGACAGGCAGGCCGGCAGGCAGGACGCCCTCCACTGAGCACGCGTGGCCAGGAGAGGGCTGTGCCCTCTGGACGCCGGTCTCTGCAGGAGGCAGGGAGCTGCCCACGGCCGCGGTGAAGCTGCCGGTTCGCACGGGGGTGGGTGCGCTTCCCGAGCCTCGCCGCGCTGCTCTGTAGCCCACGTGCACACCCAGTCTGGTGGCACTTGGAGCCCGCTGTTGGCTCGGGAGGCCCCGCAGCGAGCTTGGTGGTGAGTCCGTGCAGTGGGGGCGCTGGGTGCAGCCGCAGGCCCAGACCACACGCAGCGCTGCGCTCAGCAGCCCTGGCCTGCTCGTGCCCACAGACTGGCCGGGAGTCAGGGTCACCTTCCCAGCGGCCCCGTGTGTGTGTCCCAAACGCCCACCTTGGGAACGGCGACATTTCCGCCGGCCCCGCCTCACCTGCCTCCGCGCGTGTCCTGTGCGGGTCTCGCCTCGAGCGCAGGCGGCGGGGCGGGAGGTCGGGCGTTTGCGAACACACTGACATTTACCAGCCCCGAGCCAGGCGGCCGCGTGACCTGCCCTGCGGACCCCACAGGGCGCAGGCGCTGAAGCCGCGTTTGTACTGCAGAAGGTGGGGCACAGAGCAGTCCCAGCTCCAGAGGAGTCACATGGGGCCTGTCTTTGCATCGCCGTGGCGACTCCGTGACAACCCCCCCGTGACGACCCCCCCGTGTGTCCCACATGTCCCTGCAGGACTGGCACTGGCCCTGGGCCCGTTCCTCAGGGTCAGCGGGCAGTCGGGGCTGAGCGGCCGGGGGACCGTCCCCCGGGGCAGCGACCAGTGCTGAGCACGGCTTCCTCCGGGCGGCGGCTGAGCCGTGATTGATGCCGAATTAGCCCCTGCCCCTGCGACCTCCGCACCCGCCCTCTCCTGCCCGCACGTCGCAGCCATTGCAGACAGGAGCTCCTCAGGTCACTGCTCCTCATCGGGACTTTCACAGGTGGCGGCGGCCGCTAACCTGCTGGCGTCAGCTCTGTCCTTCGTCCCATCGCAACTGCCGCTGGCATCTCCTGGATGGCATCTCCTGGAAGCCTGCCAGCCGCCACGTCCCTGCCCTGTCTCCCCGGAAGCCACGCCCCCAGGGAGCCGCGGGGTGGGGGGAGGCAGCTCTCCAGGACCCCACGGACACAGAGACTCGGCGTCACGCCCTGTGCTCAGTGCAGACCTTCACGAAGCGCATCTGCCGGCTCTGCCAGCCCAGCGGCCAGCGCCCCCGTGTCCTCGCGGGCCGGTCGCTGCCCTGCACGGCGGCGGGCGCCTCCTCTGAAGCACTGGACGAAACGCTTCCTCTGCCGTCATTTCCCTGAGTGTGATTCCAGGCTCTCCGTCTCCGCCCTTAAACTGAGATCAGCTCCAGAAATGTCTGGTCGTCGTCATTTTCCCTAAGTGCCCCGCAGCGAAGCGCACCGTGAGCAGCTTGATGTGGGTGTGACATGGATTTCGGAGAAAAGTGGCAAAAATGTGTCATTCTCTCCTCCCTCGTCGGGAGAAGGCTGAGCTGAACTGTCGTCTGCCGCTCGCAGGGGCAGGGATGGGGCGGTCGCTCTCGGGAGCGGGGCTTGGCCGCATGGCTGTGCTGCGTGGGGCGCGCTGCCTGACAGTGCCTCGCGGGGGGCCTGGCGCGGACGCGTGTGTGGAACTGAACAGGTTGTAAAACAGTGGGTGGACTTGGTGACTCCATATGCAGCGTCGTAAACCAATTAAAGGCGCGTAAAGCAGCGGCCTCGTGGGGAGGCTCCGCAGGCTGAGGCCTGATCCGCGGGCTCCGCCAGCCACAGCGCAGGGCTCCCAGCCCCGATCCGTCAGGACGGGCGTGTCAGGTTATGGGCTGGGGACCCCCCCACCCCAGGCTCCCAGCACCTGCCAGGGACAGGGCCCCCCAGGCCTCTTCATGGGGGGGTCACGGTGGGACATGAGACCCGGGCGTCCTAGCTGAGGCAGCCAGTACCTCTTGACGGTCGTTCCCAGTCCTCACCCGGTACCCAGGAGCGCGCTGTAGCTTCTGCTTTGTCGCCACAGGGGACGGCGCTGCGCCCGAAGCCACGGCCCCCGTCATCGTGACCGCCCCGGGCAACCGCAGTGTGCTGGCCGGGTCCAGCGAGGTCACCCTGGAGTGCATAGCGAATGCCAGGTACGTGACCGCACCGAGACCCTCGCCAGGGGTGCGAGCTCCCCGCCACGGCGTCCTGTTGGCGCAGCTGGGCTGTGAGCACAGCCGTGGGGGACAGCCCAGGACCTCAGGCCTCCGTGGTCCCAGAACACACTTCACGGGAGCTGAGGGGCCCGGGGGGCCTCCTCGGAGTCCGGCTGAGGAGGGAGAGGCCGCCCCTCTCTCCTCCCAGGTGTCCTCGCTCCAGGACGGTGTTCCCGGGGCCACCGCTCCCCCGCAGCCACAGCTCCCCGCGGCCTCCGCTCCCCCCCGGCCACAGCTCCCCGCAGCCACCGCTCCCCCGTGGCCACGGCTCCCCGCAGCCACCGCTCCCCCGTGGCCACCGCTCCCCCGCGGCCGAGCCCCCAGCAGCATTTATTCTCCGCCTTCTCGCCCTGAGCAAATGAGCCATTAGCGCTCACGGGCGATGCTGCCACATTAGCTGTCCTTGCTCAATAGCCCGAGCGGAGCACCGCTGAGCGAAGCGGGAGGGAGAGGGTGCGTGGGGACTGGTTCAGGTGTCCGCTGACCCCCAGCAGCCCCGCAGGACAGGCCCTAGCAGCTCCTGCCCAGGCCCCAGGTGGCTGTCACCCCCTCCCTGGACTCACGGTCCCTCACGGGTGCCCTCGCTCTCCCAGGCCCCTGGAGGAGCTGCGTGTGAGCTGGAAGAGGAATGGGGTGACCCTCACCCGCGGGCTCCGCAGCTTCGGGAGGCGCCTCACCATCAGCACCCCGACCTCCGCTAACACCGGCGAGTACGTCTGCGAGGCAGCGCTGGCCGGGAGCACGGCCGAACCAGCCCGAGCAAAAGCCTTCCTCTCCATCACAGGTAACCCTCCTCCCATCACAGTGACCCCTCCTCCCATCACAGTGACCCTCCTCCCAGCACAGTGACCCTCCTCCCATCACAGTGACCCTCCTCCCATCACAGTGACCCTCCTCCCATCACAGTGACCCCTCCTCCCATCACAGTGACCCCTCCTCCCAGCACAGTGACCCCTCCTCCCATCACAGTGGCCCCTCCTCCCATCACAGTGACCCTCCTCCCATCACAGTGACCCTCCTCCCATCACAGTGACCCCTCCTCCCATCACAGTGACCCCTCCTGCCATCACAGTGACCCCTCCTCCCAGTACAGTGACCCTCCTCCCATCACAGTGACCCCTCCTCCCATCACAGTGACCCTCCTCCCATCACAGTGACCCCTCCTCCCATCACAGTGACCCTCCTCCCATCACAGTGACCCCCCTCCCATCACAGTGATCCCTCCTCCCATCACAGTGACCCCTCCTCCCATGACAGTGACCCCCCTCCCATCACAGTGACCCCTCCTCCCATCACAGTGACCCTCCTCCCATCACAGTGACCCTCCTCCCATCACAGTGACCTCCCTCCAATCACAGTGGCCCTCCTCCCATCACAGTGACCCTCCTCCCATCACAGTGACCCTCCTCCCATCACAGTGACCCCTCCTCCCATCACAGTGACCCCTCCTGCCATCACAGTGACCCCTCCTCCCAGTACAGTGACCCTCCTCCCATCACAGTGACCCCTCCTCCCATCACAGTGACCCTCCTCCCATCACAGTGACCCCTCCTCCCATCACAGTGACCCTCCTCCCATCACAGTGACCCCCCTCCCATCACAGTGATCCCTCCTCCCATCACTGTGACCCCTCCTCCCATGACAGTGACCCACCTCCCATCACAGTGACCCCTCTTCCCATCACAGTGACCCTCCTCCCATCACAGTGACCCTCCTCCCATCACAGTGACCTCCCTCCAATCACAGTGGCCCTCCTCCCATCACAGTGACCCTCCTCCCATCACAGTGACCCTCCTCCCATCACAGTGACCCACCTCCCAGCACAGTGACCCTCCTGCCATCACAGTGACCCTCCTCCCATCACAGTGACCCCTCCTCCCATCACAGTGACCCCTCCTCCCATCACAGTGACCCCTCCTCCCAGCACAGTGACCCTCCTCCCATCACAGTGACCCCTCCTCCCATCACAGTGACCCCTCCTCCCATCACAGTGACACCTCCTCCCATCACAGTGACCCTCCTCCCATCACAGTGACCCCTCCTCCCATCACAGTGACCCTCCTCCCATCACAGTGACCCTCCTGCCATCACAGTGACCCTCCTCCCATCACAGTGACCCTCCTCCCATCACAGTGACCCTCCTGCCATCACAGTGACCCTCCTCCCATCACAGTGACCCCTCCTCCCAGCACAGTGACCCTCCTCCCAGCACAGTGACCCTCCTCCCATCACAGTGACCCTCCTGCCATCACAGTGACCCCCCTCCCATCACAGTGACCCCTCCTCCCATCACAGTGACCCTCCTCCCATCACAGTGACCTCCCTCCAATCACAGTGACCCTCCTCCCATCACAGTGACCCTCCTCCCATCACAGTGACCCTCCTCCCATCACAGTAACCCCTCCTCCCATCACAGTGACCCCTCCTGCCATCACAGTGACCCCTCCTCCCAGTACAGTGACCCTCCTCCCATCACAGTGACCCCTCCTCCCATCACAGTGACCCCTCCTCCCATCACAGTGACCCTCCTCCCATCACAGTGACCCCTCCTCCCATCACAGTGACCCCTCCTCCCAGCACAGTGACCCCTCCTCCCATCACAGTGACCCCTCCTCCCATCACAGTGACCCTCCTCCCATCACAGTGACCCACCGCCCATCACAGTGACCCCTCCTCCCATCACAGTGACCCTCCTCCCAGCACAGTGACCCCTCCTCCCAGCACAGTGACCCCTCCTCCCATCACAGTGACCCTCCTCCCATCACAGTGACCCCTCCTCCCATCACAGTGACCCTCCTCCCAGCACAGTGACCCCTCCTCCCATCACAGTGACCTTCCTCCCATCACAGTGACCCTCCTCCCATCACAGTGACCCCTCCTCCCATCACAGTGACCCCTCCTGCCATCACAGTGACCCCTCCTCCCAGCACAGTGACCCTCCTCCCATCACAGTGACCCCTCCTCCCATCACAGTGACCCCTCCTCCCATCACAGTGACCCTCCTCCCATCACAGTGACCCCTCCTCCCATCACAGTGACCCTCCTCCCATCACAGTGACCCTCCTGCCATCACAGTGACCCCTCCTCCCATCACAGTGACCCTCCTGCCATCACAGTGACCCTCCTGCCATCACAGTGACCCTCCTCCCATCACAGTGACCCACCTCCCATCACAGTGACCCTCCTGCCATCACAGTGACCCTCCTGCCATCACAGTGACCCCCTTCCCATCACAGTGACCCTCCTCCCATCACAGTGACCCTCCTGCCATCACAGTGACCCTCCTCCCATCACAGTGACCCTCCTGCCATCACAGTGACCCCTCTTCCCATCACAGTGACCCTCCTCCCATCACAGTGACCCCTCCTCCATCACAGTGACCCTCCTCTCATCACAGTGACCCTCCTCCCATCACAGTGACCCCTCTTCCCATCACAGTGACCCTCCTCCCATCACAGTGACCCCTCCTCCCATCACAGTGACCCCTCCTCCCATCACAGTAACCCTCCTGCCATCACAGTGACCCCTCCTCCCATCACAGTGACCCTCCTCCCATCACAGTGACCCTCCTCCCATCACAGTAACCCCTCTTCCCATCACAGTGACCCCTCCTCTCATCACAGTGACCCCTCCTGCCATCACAGTGACCCCTCCTCCCATCACAGTGACCCTCCTCCCATCACAGTGACCCTCCTCCCATCACAGTGACCCTCCTCCCATCACAGTGACCCTCCTCCCATCACAGTGACCCCTCCCCCTACCACAGGTAATGCTCCCCTTGGGGCGGCACTTGGCCTGGTGCTGCCCAGCCTTCCCTGGGAAGCGCAGTCACACTCAGCCCAGCTTCAGCTTGAACCCGGCGCAGGGAGGTGGCCTGATTCCGTCTCCCAAACGCATCCTGCTTTTCTTTCCCAAGAAAATCACTGAACCCGAGAGCTGGTCTGAGCCGGCCTGACCCCGCCTGGGCCGCAGGTGGGGGTCGTGGGGAGGGCGCCTCCCTGTGTCTCGGCCCGGGCTCTCCGTGGCTCGTGTCTGACTGTCTTGGTCAGGGCTCAGAGATGATGCTGTTGCTGTCATTTCTGGACCAGAAGGCAGTGAGAAGGTGCCCGATGTTACCTTCCCTCCGTGTCAGAGAGAACGGAGCCCAGTGCCATCCTGGCCGGAGCAGAGGGGAATGGCACCACTGCTCTGAGCGCTGGAGGGTGGCGGGTCAGGACTCGGCCTCGCACGCGGCGAGGGGAACTCGGTGACGTTCAGACTGTGATGCGATGGCCCGACACGGGGGCGAGGGCTGCTCTCCTCCCACGGCCCAGCCTGCAGCCCTTGTCCTCCTGCGCGGCCAGCCCTGTCGTCGTGGCCTGCCCAGCAGAGAGGTGGCCGTGCCGCCGGCTCCAGGGAGGGGACCCCCGCCCCTTCCCTCCTCCGCAGGACGAAGGGGAGGCCCCAGGAGAGCGAATGCACCGGAGCCCTCCCGAGAGCCGTGGCCCCCGGTGACATACGCGCCGTTGGCCCCTTTGCAAAGGAAGTCAGAGTGAAGGCCGCGTTTCACACAAGTTCGCAAGAGGAGCAACCGCTGCCTGGACGTGTGCCTGGCGCACGGCACTTCCTTCCATCGTCAGACGTGGCTCCGGCCTCCACGTGACTGCCACACGCCTGCCACGCAGACCTGCGGCCCGTGGACACGGGGAAGATCTCGCAGCACCCGGAGAGCAGGCCGGGTCCCATCTCACCCTGTTCAGCCCCAACATCACGCACCCGCTCCTGGAGGGGCACCCACCGGGCGGCCTGCGGCTGCATGAGCCACGATGGGGGCTGCACAGACTGGAGTCCGGCTCCGGCTCCTTAGACAGCACAGCCTGCGTCCTGAGCAGCGGGGGATTATCTCCCGGAACTAGAGCGTCGGTCTCCAGCAGCGCTGCTCTCCGAACACCCGGCCTCTGAGTGAGCTGGGCTCTGCATGTGCATCCACGGCAGACGCTCACCTAGAGCCCCCCGTCCGGCCTTTGCAGGCGCCAGAGCACCCCTGGCTTCCGGGGTCAGTGTCAGTCCCCTCCGCTCGTCAGCATTTGCTGGGACAGTGGGACTTGTGCTGAGTCCCCTGGGAAAGCCCGTCCGTTTGGGGAGATGACCACCTCGCCCGCCGTCCCAGGCCTCACGGGCGGGGAGGCTCTCGTAGGAACGTGAGAGGGAAGGAAGCGAGCAGAGGGGCTTCGGTTACTGCCTCCCTCGCGGATGAGACCAGACAGACGCGTGCAGCTGTTCACCCGCCGTGGGCTCCCCTTCTGCCGCCTCCCTCCTGCAGCCGAACAGGGGCACCCAGCTGAGTGCGGGCACCGCCACCGCCCAGAGGCCTGCGCCCGCCCTGGGCAGCACCAGCACCGGCTCTGCCTCCTGGTCCCTCCCGACCCTCAGAACCTAACCCAGCTCACCCCTCATGTGACCCTAACCCAGCTGACCCCCCACGTGACCCCTAACCCAGCTGACCCCCCACGTGACCCTAACCCAGCTCACCCCTCACGTGACCCTAACCCAGTGGTGCTGGCAGCTTCCTCCCCACCAGCCCTGGGATGTGTTCTCGGCCACAAGGAAAGGTGCACAGACCCAGGCTCTCCTCCTGCGCTGCCAGCAGAGCCTCCCGCCCATCACCGAGTGGGGCCAGGCACCCACCCACCACGCAGCGGAGCGTGACTTCCCTGTGCAGGGCCGGCCTCCACCCAAGAAGCCTGGATGCTGGGCCCGGCTGCTCCTCGCACGGTCCCAGAGCCCGGCCGGCGGCGTCAGTGTGTGCAGTGTGACCCGTGCCAGGCCCCTCCCTGCACCGGGGGCCCCGCGGGCACTGCCAACCAAGAAAGAACCGACCTGCCCACAGGCATCGCAGTCGCTGCCGCAGGAGCTGTGGTCTGTGGGCGCGACCGTCCACGGGTGGATTTTCATCTTCGCAGAGCGACTGCTCCGGAATGAACCGCAAGGACGCTGCTGAGTGAAGGAGGCTCCCAGGGCCCCGCCCTGTGATCCGCACCCATAGCATCAGGCAGACGGGATGACAGAGCTGGGCCAGGCACGGTGCCGGAGATGCCGGGTGGGGTGGTGACAGAAGAGCGGGTGCCGGGGCCTGTGGTGACGCCCACACCTACGCGGGCGATGACACCGCGTGACCCTAAGCATCTGTGCCCGCGCCCACGAGGACCAGCCAGCGGAGACGGAGCGCGGAGTGCTGCCTGCTTCGGCCGCCGCCTCGCCGGCTCTGATGGCCGCAGTTCTGCGAGGCGCTGCCATGGAGGGAGACCACAGTGTCCTTCCCCACCATCTCCGACACCTGCAGGGACCGTGCAACCCACTCAGCTACAGCGCTTCCCTTAGAAAAGGAAAACCAGTTAACCAGGCCAATGCTGATCCCCCCCACACTCACCCCTACAGTCGGACGGCAGCCCGCAGCGGCGCGGGCATGACCTGCCTGCGGGTCGGCGGGAGGAGCCGGCAGCGGGGGATGAGCTGGCAGCAGGGGATGGGGATGCAGCGGGGGACGGGGATGCTGCTGCCGCCGCGGCCGCTGAAGGAGAGGCCGAGGTCACCTACGAGGGAAGAGCAGCCTGAGGAGGCGGGCGGCGGCTCCGCCGTGGTCCTTCGGGCCGGGTCCACCGGGTCCACTCGGAGCCGAGGTTCCGACCCGACTCCCGCCAGGCGCGGGCTTTCCGCTCAATGAGCCGGGGACGCCAAATTGACACCTAACTGCCTCCCCGGGAACCTTGCCTTTTCTCCGTCACCGCCATCGTCCCTTGAAAGGGCTGTTTGCGAGCCTCTTTCTCCTCCTCTAGGCTCTGCCTGCTCTGGGAGACAGCTGCTGTCGGAGGCCCGCCAGGCTGTCGTGTCCGCGTTCGGCACCGTTACAAAGTCACACCGCGCCTGGCCTCTGGCTGGCAGGCCCGGCGTTAATTATCACCCAGAAAGCCAGGCAGCCTTCGTCATCGTGATAATGAGATCGCTGCCCCCTAAGCACGCCACGCACTGGGCCAGGCCACTGTTGAATTTCTGCTGAATAAACCGAGAGAAAAAGATACTGCAATTTACGCTCCAAGGAAATTCATTGCTTAGTGCAACCACGATTTTTTTTTTTTTTTTTGGTGGAATGGGTCAGTGCAGTATCCAGAGAGGGGCGAGTGGCTACGCGCTCGCTGCTGCGGAGGGACGCCAGGCCCTTCCCCTTCTCGCCCTCAGCTACTACTTGCCGTCGCATGGAGTGTTAAATCTGCATTTTGGGGGAGAGCTGCTGAGACTGTAGGGAGGATGCTACTAGACTGCGCTGTCCCCCGGCACAGGCCAGAGCCTGGGGTGGCCCCAGCGCGCCTCGGGAGTTGTGTTTAGTTTCCATAAGGAAGCGAACTGGCCCCAGCGCGCCTCGGGAGTTGTGCTTAGTTTCCATAAGGAAGCGAACTGGCCCCAGCGCGCCTAGGGAGGTGTGCTTAGTTTCGATACGGAAGCGAACTGGCCCCAGCGCGCCTCGGGAGCTGTGTTTAGTTTCCATACGGAAGCGAACTGGCCCCAGCGCGCCTCGGGAGTTGTGCTTAGTTTCCATAAGGAAGCGAACTGGCCCCAGCGCGCCTCGGGAGTTGTGCTTAGTTTCGATACGGAAGCGAACTGGCCCCAGCGCGCCTCGGGAGGTGTGCTTAGTTTCCATACGGAAGCGAACTGGCCCCAGCGCGCCTCGGGAGTTGTGCTTAGTTTCCATACGGAAGCGAACTGGCCCCAGCGCGCCTCGGGAGTTGTGCTTAGTTTCCATACGGAAGCGAACTGGCCCCAGCGCGCCTAGGGAGGTGTGCTTAGTTTCCATAAGGAAGCGAGCTGGCCCCAGCGCGCCTCGGGAGCTGTGCTTAGTTTCGATACGGAAGCGAACTGGCCCCAGCGCGCCTAGGGAGGTGTGCTTAGTTTCCATAAGGAAGCGAACTGGCCCCAGCGCGCCTCGGGAGCTGTGCTTAGTTTCGATACGGAAGCGAACTGGCCCCAGCGCGCCTCGGGATGTGTGCTTAGTTTCCATAAGGAAGCGAACTGGCCCCAGCGCGCCTCGGGAGGTGTGCTTAGTTTCCATACGGAAGCGAACTGGCCCCAGCGCGCCTCGGGAGGTGTGTTTAGTTTCCATAAGGAAGCGAACTGGCCCCAGCGCGCCTCGGGAGCTGTGTTTAGTTTCCATAAGGAAGCGAACTGGCCCCAGCGCGCCTCGGGAGGTGTGTTTAGTTTCCATAAGGAAGCGAACTGGCCCCAGCGCGCCTCGGGAGCTGTGTTTAGTTTCCATACGGAAGCGAACTGGCCCCAGCGCGCCTCGGGAGGTGTGCTTAGTTTCGATACGGAAGCGAACTGGCCCCAGCGCGCCTCGGGAGGTGTGTTTAGTTTCCATACGGAAGCGAACTGGCCCCAGCGCGCCTCGGGAGGTGTGCTTAGTTTCCATAAGGAAGCGAACTGGCCCCAGCGCGCCTAGGGAGCTGTGTTTAGTTTCGACACGGAAGCGAACTGGCCCCAGCGCGCCTCGGGAGCTGTGCTTAGTTTCGATACGGAAGCGAACTGGCCCCAGCGCGCCTCGGGAGCTGTGTTTAGTTTCCATACGGAAGCGAACTGGCCCCAGCGCGCCTCGGGAGCTGTGTTTAGTTTCGATACGGAAGCGAACTGGCCTATGAAATTCTGGCTGTAAATATCCACCTCCATGCGCCCCTCGGGACAGCGCTTCTAAAGCCTGAATTGGGATGGTTCGTGATTCAAGCCCACACGCTGAAAAGTGGCCGCGGCTCTGGGTAGTAATTTGCTGCCTGAGACCTGAGAATATAAATCACCTCTGGCCTCTGCTCTCTGTGCTCAGACTTGGTGCGCACATTGGTAACGGATGAAGTTTTCAAAAATAGTTTTTTTAATGCATTTTAAAATATGTTTTTATTGATTTCAGAGAGGAAGGGAGGAGAGAGAGAAACATCAATGATGAGAGAGAATCATGGGTCGGCTGCCTCCTGCACACCCCCCACTGGGGATCGAGCCTGCAGCCCGGGCAGGTGCCCTGACGGGGAATCAAAGCCTGACCTTCTGGTTCAGAAGTCGATGCTCAGTCACTGAGCCACACTGGTCCGGCCAAAACCAGTTTTTAAAAAGAGTCCCGACTCAAGGCTGCAGCGTCTTCTGAAATATGCTCCTTGCTTAGCAGCTCCTGTTTTCTTGTTTAAAGAGCCACCGTACTTCACTGCTGAGCCCGCGAGTCGGATTGTGGTGGAAGTGGAGGAGACCGTGGACATGGCGTGTGAAGCGATGGGTGAGTGTGGGGGCCTCTGGGGGGCCGTGATGTGGGGGGGCCCAGGGCATTCTCCAGGGCAGAGTCGTCATCATTGGAGGGACCCATTGAGCGCAAGGTCAGAAACCGGGACTATGCAGAACCCAGTGGCTGTGCATGTGACCCTGGGAAGGTGTTTGACCTTGGGGAGGTATTTGACCTTGGGGAGTTGTTTGACCTTGTGAAGGTGTTTGACCTGGGAAAGTGTTTAATCTGGGAAGGTGTTTGACCTTGGGAAGGTGTTTGACCCTGGGGAGATATTTGACCCTGGGGAGATATTTGACCTTGGAAAGGTGTTGACCCTGGGGAGGTGTTTGACCTGGGAAGGTGTTTGACCTTGCTCCCTCACCTGCAAAGCGGGGAAGGTACTATTTACACAAGGAAGCGCAGGAGGCGTGGTGTAGGCTGTCCTCTCACTCCTTGGACGCTCCGCTTCCACCAGCCACGGCCCCAGGCCTGAGGGCAGGAAGCTCGTCCTCACCCACAGGTGATGGGGACCCACGACCATGCCGCTCTGTAGACAGGGAGATGCTGTGAATTCTCTGAGCAGGACGTCTTTGTGTTTCTGCCTTTTCAGCACTGGGTTGCCTTTTCTTGTTATTCAGGCCACATGACTACTAGCTGTCGCTGCCACCATTCCCACCCCGCAGCGCAGGGCGCCACACCCAGCCTAAGACGGGCTGTCTGGGCGCTGCATTAACAAAGGCTGCATCAGTGCTGGGGGCGGTCAGGAAATGAGAGGGACCTTCTCCCGTGACTGTCTGGCCCCCTTAAGAGCGGTCTTTCCTCCTGAGACGTCCCAGCCCTTCGTGAGCCTTCACAAGGACCACGGGGGAGAATGTCATCTGCCTGTTCACATGGACAGAGCCTGAAGGCAAGGCCCGGCCACATGCTCGGGGCCAGGGCGACGAGTGCGGTGCCTCCCGTTAAACCTTCGCCAGCGTTTGGCATGAAGGGGTCGTCATTACGTACCGGGCAGGTGACCCACCTGGTCTGAGCCCGGGTCCGTCAGGGAGGCCGGAGGCCGGGTGCAGGCCCTGCTCCGCTCCTGTCCCTCTGTCCCGCTCCCTGAGCCCGAGCGGGGGGAGGGCGAAGAGGAACGCGGATCTTACATGGAATTACGTCCCTGGTGGTGGTCGCACTGTCCCCTCTTGAGTAAACCCAGCTTTGTCAGGCCGATGACTGAAAGGGAAGCTGTGCAGTTAGCGTCTGCAGTGCGTGGGGGTGAGACTCTGCTTTTGACCTGGAATTGCCCCAAAAGAGAAGCCCTCCTCGCCCCTCCACGGCAACAGTCGCCTCTCAATAAGCGACGATCGGAAGCTCTGCCCCTGACGAGCACGCTCTTGACACGGCCGCTGTGGTGACAGCGTGGGAAGAGCAGGCACACACGTGGGGGCAGGTTCTCGCGTGGCGTGGCCGGTGTGTAATTTACCGCTTTCTTTTAACTCTGGCGGCGAAGGCGCAGGCGGCGGCACGGTTCCTCTCGGAACCGCCGTTATGAGGTTTTACACGAGTCGTTATGCTTTTACCTCGAAATGGATTTTTTTTAATTTCCTGGTTTAATAAAAACTGACAGGAAACATAATTAAGGCAAAGAACAGGATCCGCGAATGCATTATCTTGAAATATTCCACGACATTAACTTTATTTATGAGAAGGAGGCATCTTTTCTTCCAGCGTCTGAAGTCGGGGGACCGGAGTGTGCCCCCCCCATCCCCACCCCCGTGCACCACGTGGGCGTGTTCTCTCCTGGCTACGCTCACAGCGAGGGAAACCGAGGCACAAGCCACGGGGTGCAGAAATAGCCCAGCTGCTCCTGCACTTTTCCTGGGGCCTCGACAGGCGCTGTGCCCGCCGCCAGCGCTGTGCCCGCCGCAGTTCAGGACTGTGGTCTTGGGTCTCAGGTCAGCTCTCCGGGGCAGGCGCAGGGCGTTGGAAGGGTCATGTCGGGGCTGCGTGTTCCCCACCGCCCCCCGATGCCGTGCTGTCCATTGCTTCCTGCCACGTGGGAGGAGGAACACCTGAAGTGCCTGTTAACACACTGTCCCTGCCCGGCCTGCGTGGCTCAGTGGTTGAGTGGCGACCTATGAACCAGGAGGTCACAGTTCGATTCCAAGTCAGGGCACAGGCCCGGGTTGCGGTCTCGATCCCCAGTAGGGTGTGTGCAGGAGGCGGCCAATCGATGATTCTCTCTCATCATTGCTGTTTCTCTGTCTATCTCCCTCTCCCTTCCTCTCTGAAATCAGTAAACACATATTTGTTTAAAAAATACCGCCATTGCTCCCTCCTGTAAGAGATTCCTGAGGTTTAAGTTTGTGACGCCTGGCTCTTGCCTCCACGCAGGGGCACCGCCGCCCAGGCTGCAGTGGTACAAGGACGCCCTGCCGCTCAGCCAGCTCCAGGACCCGCGCTACCGGCTGCTCCCAGGCGGCCTGCGCATCGAGCGGCTGCGTCCCCGCGACTCCGGCATCTTCCAGTGCTTTGCCAGCAACGAAGGGGGCGAGGTGCAGACCTCCACCTACCTGGACGTCACCAGTGAGTACCGGCCACCAGAGGCCAGAGCTTCCGACCGTGGCCCACGTGGCACACTCAGAGAGGGGTCCCCTCTGCTCGGCCCCTCGGGGACCTGGGCGGGCGTGGTGCCCAGGTGACTGCAGCACCCAACCCCCTCGTCACCTCTGCAGACGCCTGGGGCGCGAACACATGGCTGCCCCAGGGGACCGCCCTGCTCTCAGCAGGTCGCGGGGACCCAGCACCAAGAAGCAGGAAAGCCGGTTTTCTGGACATTTAGTGAACAGCTCATTCCTGCTCTTTTCCTTGAGATAGCGTTTCCACTTTAAATATTCATTCTCTGTTGTGGTTTTATTGGACGATTACAGCTCGTTTGTGAGCTGCTTCTATTGCCCCATCGACGGACATGTTGGGCCTCTGACAGCTGGGATGCGGGAGGTTTTCCTTGTATCCGGCCTCGCTCCTTAACCTCCCACAGCTGGGGTACTGTTCTCACAGAAGGAGGGTTTCCTGGTTTCTTTTCCATTGCAGCGATACCAGGCCCATTTGTCCTTTCGGAGGAAAAATGCTGGTCTCCTCAGGGGGCAGAGCCTTTGGAGGAAGCGGGTCGGTGCCGGCGTGTGCTGGCCGGTGGAGCCCACAGAGGCGGACAGAACCTAAGACTAATGCGTACGCTTCAGTGACCTGGGCCCACTTCCTGGACTGTGCCCCGGGGTCAAGTTTATCGTCCAGTTCGGAGCGTCGGAAACTAAAATCCCTTCAAACAATAGAAGTAACACTGACCACCAGGGCACAGGGATTCTGTTAAAATCCCTTCAAACAGAAATTATGTGTCCTGTCACCCCGTCTGGGCACTTAGCCGGGGTGCATTAGAATTGATGCATTAGATGCATTAGAACTATTTAAAGCAGACCTGGCAGCGGCGGGCCAGGGTGGGATGGGCGGGCACTGGCCCTCTTCCTAAAAGGGCAGACGGTACATTGGTTCAGCTTTGAGGGGCATGGCCTCAGTCACAGCGACTCAGCTCTGCTGGAGAAGGACAGCAGCACAGACAGCAGGGAGCGGGTGGGCGTGGCTGTGTTCCAATAAAGCTTTATTGACAAAAGCGGGCCTGGGGCTGCATTCGGCACCCAGGTTGGGGGGCCAACCTTTTCTCTATTGAGAGACCTGGGAAGCTCTCCTTAATTTCTCAGCCTCAGTGTTGTCATCAACATGGAGCCAACCCAGCCCAATTCACAAGGTTCTTGCAAAGATCAGATTGGAAATTTAAATGAACGTGCTACATACGCTGGTTACCATGACAACTGGAGGGAGAACAGATAAATGATTATGATTTGTAAGTGTCGGGTGTAGCAAAAGGGGCTTTTTTCAAATTGAAACCGTTAATGGGATGCAAATACAGTGTAGCACAATCAATGCTGACGTGTTCGTTTCGCAAACACCGTTGAGCGTGCGTGCCCAGGCCTCCGGGTCCCCCAGGCCCGGGGACAGCCGTGAGGAGGCGGTCCTCTGCGGGCGGCCGGCAGGATCGGCAGCTCCGACAGGGAGCCCGGGCAGGTGCAGGCACCCTCACTAGTTGCCTCGCGCCCCGTCCTATGGGAAGCCACGTGGACAGTCCTCCGAGGGGCCCACGCTGAGCCTGTCCCTGTCACCTCCTCACTCAGATGTCGCGCCAGCCTTCACTCAGCTTCCGGGCGACACCACGGTCACAGATGGGATGACGGCCACGCTGAGGTGCGAGGTGTCCGGGGCGCCCAGACCCGCCATCACCTGGAGGAGAGGTAGGCAGCGGCCCTGTCGCAGGGGCCGGGCCAGCGCAGCGCTGAGCCTCGGCGATGCACACGGACCCGCCACGCTGGGGGCCCCGCCACGCTGGGGGACGGAAAACCGGAGGGAGTTCCTCAGCTCCGAGGTTCAGCCTGTGCACAGGCCCAGCTGGCGGCGGGGGACCTGGGAGGCCAGAGGTGAAGGGGGCAGGCCCTCTGTCTGTCATGTGCTTTCTCTCACTCGATTGAGGTGGGATCATAGCATACGAGAGCATTTCCAATGCGCACAAGCGTAGAGACGGCTCAGGACCGCCCCAGAGGGACGTGGCAGACGTGTCCGCGTCCCGGTGGAGGGAGGGTGTCCGTGTGCGCTCTTCACAGGAGGACCCGCTGCGGTGGTGTCCGTGTGTAAAGGGCCCCCTTCGTTCTGGCATCTCCTTGACTTGCTCCTCGGTGGTGGCCTGAGCGTGGCCCTCCCTCGGCCCTGGGCTCTGACGCGCCTGTCCTCTCTCTGGTCTCCAGGAAGCCACGTGCTGGCCAGCGGCTCCGTGCGGATTCCCAGGTTCATGCTGCTGGAATCGGGGGGCCTGCAGATCAGCCCCGTCTTCATCCAAGATGCCGGCACCTACACCTGCTACGCAGCCAACACGGAGGGGTCCCTGAACGCGTCGGCCACGCTCACCGTGTGGAGTAAGGACCCCGCCCCGTGGGCTCCGCCCCCGCCCTGGTCTCACCGTCGTGTCCTCTGCTCGGGGACCTCCTGATGTCCGGACTCCGGGTCACCCAGAGGCGGAGGATTGTCACAGCTAATTTCCAGGAACCTGTTCTTAACTAACATTTCCATTTCCAAAGAACAGTCAGCGAGTTTGTTCCCAGATTTAAAGGGGGTGTTTTGGGAGAGGAGAGACTGACTTTTCAAGTCAGTGAGTTGGGATGGTGCCCCCAAGTGGCTCCCATAGCGAACGGGCAGGTTATGCGAGAAAACCGAGTCGAGAACTAAAATCCTAGAGAGAAGATATTTTTTTCTGTTATCATTGTAACCAACTAGAACAGTCCTAGCTTATGAACTATGAATGCTCCCTGGATATGAGGCATGAGCCGAGAGAGAGAGAGAGAGAGAGAGAGAGAGAGAGAGAGAGAGAGAGAGAGAGAGAAGAGAGAGAGAGAGAGAGAGAGAGAGAGAGAGAGAGATTTGTTTCTCCAACGTTTGACGCTTCTTATTTAGTCTCTAACACGGGTTTCTGAAATGCAGATAGGTTGTTTTCCGGAGCATAGGGATTGGCTTACCAAGCATTCCTATCCCAGCCCGTAGCCTCACTCACCAGTGAGTTCCCCGTCTCCCCGCGGCCGTGTCTGCATCACTAAAACAGCGCCGCTCTCAAACGCTAGACTAGCAGAGTCACCTGTGCTCGCTAAGAGCTTCCCTGACCGTCTGTGAGGAGGGGAAACGCTAACGTGCGTGAGGGGGCGTCTGCCACACCCCATCCTTCGGGAAAAGCCCCCTGGGCTCCGCTTCATGTCCACGGAGGTGTTTCTGGTTTCTGTGGCGTCCACTCTGCTAAACGGCCTCCTAACGTGCGAGGTGCTCTAAGAACACTGGCTTCCAGTCACCCCCGATTGTCAGGTGCTGAAGAGGGGGGTGTCCCTAAAATGAGCCTCATCTTTACAAACTGGTGACAAACTGACGTCTGCACGTCGCTGGGCCGCTCACCAGGCAGTTGTGTGGCTCTGCTCAGATCCAGGGTCCGAACAGTGATGGATGTGGGAGCCACGGTGGCTGCGGGCACCGTCCCCACGCGCCCACGGGGCTGTGCAGCCGCAGCACCGGCAGCCCCCCGCCCCCCCCCCCCAGGAAACGCACACTCAGAGAGGCCTCCCACACGCCCACTGCAGGGGGTCAGGCTGCCCTGAACCCATGTGGTGACCCCCAAGTTCGGCTGTGCTCACAGAGGTGCGCAAGGGAGACACATGCCATGGCTGTCACCGGGCCCGCTGTGGCGGCGGCTGGTCTGGGCGGCGTCCAGCCCTACCCCTTCGCCACAGGCCACTCCAGCTCCGTGGCACCAGCAGCCCGGCATGGCTGAGCCTCACTGTCCTCCCGGGAGCTGGGGTGTGATGCCGCCGCGCCCACAGGCTGCCGCGAGGACTAAGTCATGCACGGCGATAATGAAGGCGCCTCGCCAGCCCTGGGTGCCGTGCGGCCGGCAGACGTCCCTGATGCCGACTATCTCGGGGAGACGCATGCTTCCCTGGGAGTGGCAGCGGGGACCTGATGACCATCGCAGCCAGCCTTCCACTCTCGCTTCCTCCGGGGCCTGGGCCCTCGGTGGCCTGGGAGGGCGGAGGCCTGGCTCCCGGCTGCGTGGGAGGGCGTTTCAGTCCCGGGGCGGCTCTGGTGCCGCGATGCGCACGTCCTGCCGGGAGAAGGGACACTCGGCTTTGATGTCAGGGGCCCAGCGCGTTGCCCGGAGGGCGGGAGCGCCCACGCCTGTGACTCTGTCTGAGCTGTGACTTGTGTTTTCAGATCGGACGTCCATCGTCACGCCCCCTGAGGACCGCGTGGTGATCAAGGGGACCACGGCCACGCTGCGCTGCGGAGCCACGCACGACCCCCGCGTCTCCCTCCGGTAGCTCCGTCCCCCCGTGGGGGTGTTCATACTCCGTGGGCTTGGGAAGGGGTGCTGAGGCCAGAGGGAGAATGGCAGGGACTGGATTTCAGCCGCAGGTCGCGGCGCCATGCGGTCTGGGCTCCGTCATTAGTCGCACACGTCCCAGCTCCCGCTCCGCCTGTGTATCACTTCCGGGGACGGTGTCCTCTCCCGGCCTCGTGCAGCGCTCCTTTGTGGGTGCAGAGTGAGGGGGGCGGGGGAGAGAGCACACAGTCTATCGGGGTGAGGGGCAGGGTGGAGAGAGGGCCCGGGACTGGCGGGTCTGGAGGGGTTGCAGTGCCGTCCTGATGGAGCTCAGACTGGGAAGGTAATGACCCCATGGGACCCAGCGGCCAGCGCGTGGCGCCAGCACAGGCCGCCGTGGCGAGCCTCTTCCCGCACTCGCAGCTGCAGAATGGGTTTCGCTGTCAGACGCAGGCTAGAGCCTGAAGCCTAAATCCGCAGACACACACCCTCCTGGCATTTGCACTCGGCCTGAGCCAGAGGCGTGCAGCCAGCGATGGGGCTTTCGGAAGCGGTCACCCAGCAGAGCGGGCGGGGGCACATGCACACACGTGGTTAACTGGCTTCGGAGGCAGCTGACGTCTCGCTCGTCTCTGGCGGGTGTTTGGCAAACGGTGAACAGGTGTATGCGTGTGACCTGCTCTTTGTTCAGGAACTGGAGGCTTCTGCTCTGGGTTTTAGACAGTCGTTGCCCCTGTGCAGGCAGCACTTGTCCTTCGGGACTTTCCTGGGAATGAGAGGAGCAGTGCTCGCAGCGACAGGTGTGACAGGTGTATGTCACAGTGCTCGCAGCGACAGGTGTGACAGGTGTATGTCACAGTGCTTGCAGGGACAGGTGTGACAAGTGTGTGACATCCTTAGTGCGGCCACAGAGGCGGGAGAGACTCCCGCCTCCACCTCTGTGCTCGCCAGCCGTGAGCCCGGCTTCTCACTGAGCAGTGCTCCCCCTGTGGTCAGTGCACATCCTAGCAACTGGTTGTTCCACATTCAGTCAATTTGCATATTAGCCTTTTATTATATAGGATTGATTTCAGAGAGGAAAGGAATGGGAGAGAGAGAGAGAGAGAAACATCAATGATGAGAGGGAATCATTGATCGGCTGCCTACTGCACGCCCCACTGGGGTTTGAGCCTGCAAACCCGGGCATGTGCCCTTGACTGGAATCAAACTTGGGACCCCTCAGTCTGCAGCTGATGCTCTATCCACTGAGCCAAACTGGCCAGGGCTCTTTTTGTTCCTCTGTTATCGTATAGTCCACATGGGATAGAACTCACCCTTTCGAAGAACAGTGAAGTGGTCGGTGCACCCACAGGCCCCAGCGCGGCTTCTCCCAGACGGAGGGGCCAGGCCGACCCTCCCTGCCCGCTCTGACCCAGGCTCTGTGCTTGGCCGCAGCTACGTGTGGAGGAAGGACGACGTGGTCCTCGCCCCGCCCAGCAGCTCCCGGATCGTAGTGGAGCCGGACGGGTCCCTGCTCATCAGCCAGACGTGGTCGGGCGACATCGGAGACTACACCTGCGAGATCGTCTCTGAGGGCGGCAGCGACTCCCGGACGGCCCGGCTGGAGGTGATGTGAGTACCGTGTCCCCTCCCCCCCCCCCCCCCCCCCGCTCTGTGGGCGGCATCGCAGAGGCCACACGCCCGCCCCGGGATGCCCTTCACACGGGTGCCGCCCACCGTGGCTCTCAGCCAGTGGCCGGTGGCTGGTGCCTTAGGCCTCACGGGTGCGTCCTTAGGAGGTTCCACCTCGTTCCAGGGGGTTCGCTGGTGCTCACTGACCCCTGTGTCCTGTCCCCCAGCGTCTCTGCGGTGCGAGGTCCTGTCTGCTGTGTAACAGGCAGGTAACAGGCCACTTTCCACCGAGCGCCCATCAGAGCTTCCGGTAGGCAAGACGGCAGGGCCTCCCGCCAGGAGGCGGACCTGCAGCCAGCAGGGCGCGTGTCAGCCAGCGCCTGCCTCCACGGCAACAGCACTTCCCATGAGCTCCTCGGGGATCCGGGACTGCGATGGCGGCCAGTCCTCTGGCCTGGCCCCGGGGGTCCCGCCTCTCTCCCGCGTGACTCCCTCTGTTCACAGCAGGAAACTGACACTTTGTTCAGCTCATTTTTAGAAACGCTGTTCTCGCAGACATTCCCCGAGCTCATCCGTGTAAGGGTAAACCTGCCGGTGAAGAAGCAGATGGGGGCGGGGAGGGGAGGGGGGCCCGGGGGTGCAGCAGCCAGCTCTGGGCCCCGCCGCATCCTGGGGAGTGGGCAGGCGGCCCCGAGGAAAGGCCGTGTGAGAGGCTTGCTGCTGACTCACCCCGACCAGCCGGGGTCCTCTAGACAAACTCACTCCCTGGACGTAGAACCTGAGCGGGGCACAGGCCACGCCTCATTGTCTGAATCCATGGACCAGACGGAGGGGATTATTAGGGATAGACAGGCTGGAGCACAGACACTGGGATGCGTGAGCGACCACAGCCCTGCTGGCCCTGCTGCAGGGGGGCAGGTGAGGCTGTGCGGGACCCGGATAAGGCTGTGCAGGGCTGGGTGAGGCTGTGTAAGGTCCAGGGTGAGGGGGTGAGGCTGTGGGACTGGGTGAGGCTGTGTAGGGCCCAGGGTGAGGGGGTGAGGGGGCGAGAGGGTAAGGCTGTGGAGCGGCCCCGGTGCCTCCAGGACCTGAACCGGCCCCGCCCGCCCGCTGCCTGCAGGGTCTCGTCCAGGACAACCACCCCGTGTTCTCTGTAGAGGCTCCTCTTTGGGGGCAAAGGTCACCCCAGTCAGTAGGGAAGCAGCAGGAGCCTCAGCCCCAGAGGGTGTGCGGGGTCTTGGTGCTGCGGCCATGGCATATGCAGGTGACCCCCAGCTCTGTGCGTGAGCAGGGAAATGGGAGGCTCCCCCCTCTCGCCATTGGACCCGCGGACCCCAGCACTCCATCCTCCTGTGCCCCTGCCCCCCCCAGATGCCTCCGCGGTCTCTGCCCCTGCAGTCTGTCCTCCACCATCTCCACCTGGAGGAGCTGCCCCTCAGTCTCCCGGATGCACCCTGGGCCGCCAGGTGTCTTCATGGGCTCCCGGGATCACCCAGAGGAAGCACCGCACTCACTCCCAGCTGAAGTGGGAGCACTGGGTGCACAGCTTTGCGCTCCGGTGGCTGGCGGTGCCTGGTGGTGTCTGGCGGTTTCTAGGATTGCCTGGCAGTGTCTGGCGGTTTCTGGGGATGCCTGGCGGTGCCTGGTGGTGCCTGGGGTTGCCTGGCGGTGCCTGGTGGTGCCTGGGGTTGCCTGGCGGTGCCTGGGGTTGCCTGGTGGTGCCTGGCGGTGCCTGAGGATGCCTGGCAGTGCCTGGTGGTGTCTGGCTGTGCCTGGCGGTGTCTGTGCCCTGCAGACACTCAGTAGACGCGAGTGGTTGGTTGAGTGCGTGAATGAATGAATGTGTGTGGCACTGGCCATTGGTGACCCGCCTCCCGATGTCACTCACTTCCTTCGTCGCCGTCAGCGCCACACCCTGGGCTTCTCCCTGGGAATGAACGGAGGCTCAGCCCACGCGGCCATGAGCCTGGGCACCCGGCGCCGCCCGGTCCGCTCCGGCCCTGCGTCTCTCCCTCCCGTCCGCAGCCCGTGGGGAGGATGTTTAAATGTTGACACGTGGGAGTCCAGGCCACGTAGTAAACTCCCTTTGAGGGCCCGCACATCACGTGTCCCTGGTGCCGAGCGAGTCACGCGAGCATTTCCCACGGCCTCTGTCCCCAGGCGCCGCCCTGCCCGCCTCGGACACGCGCCTCCTTCCTTCCGGCTCGGCGGTGTGTGTTCTGTGATTTACGTGTCTCCCCAACTGTTCGCTCCTTTGATTTCCTTGAAGTAAAACCCATTTTTCAGCCAGTGTTGCCGTATCTCTGAGATAATAGTCTCCCGTAACGGGAGCTGTGGCAGCATTTGCCGATCCGTGATGCGACCCACGCGGCACGGCCCGGGGTGTCTGAAGGCGCCGCGGGAACTGTCGTTAGCATCACGGGCTGCTCCTGATCGGGATGGATGGGGAGCCGTGGTGACAGCGGCGTCTGCGACCCGCACAGGCCCTGACTCGCGCGCCCGAGATGCCAGCGGTGATGACAATAATCATGGCTCATGATTGCGGGCGTCGTGCTCAGAGCTTCCCAATCGAGCGCAGCCACATTCCCGTGATTTACTCCGATGGCAACAGAAAAAGAAAAGGAAAAACCTCAATTGCAGAAGCCACCGAGAGGCACTTACCGCCAAGCAGCGCCCTCGACGCCTACCGGCGCCCCCGCCACTTGAGTTCAAGCTGCTTGTTAACATAAGGGATCGGAGGTTAGAAGTGGGCTTTCGCGGGGCAGGGCTGGCTCCCGTTTGCTTGCCTGTGGGCAGCCGCTCACGCCGCCCTCCCCATGAGAGCCTGGGCGGGTCCCTGGGGCCTCCCCACCCCTCGCTCAGGGCGGGACTGTGGGCAAGTTCCCCCCTTCTCAGCCTCGGTTTCCTGAGCTGGAAACTGGGCGCGCTATCCCGCTCCTCGGGGCGCTGCTGTGAGGTGTGAATGACCCAGTGTTTGTAGAAGCCGCCTGGAGCCTGGCTCAGGGGGGACCCAGCAGCAGTCCACCCGTCATCCCTCCCGTCCCGCCCTCCCGTCCCTCCCTCCCGTCACCCGCTGTCCTCAGCAGCCCCCCTCCACCCCGGCCGGGTTGGGTTTGCTGTGTCCGTGGCCCTGTGACCAGCAGTCTGCTGCTGAGCCCGGTGCCAGGACAGGCCGGGGCTGGGCGGCACCCCCACTGATGGGTTGGGGGTCTGCGGAGGGGGGACCACGGGGAGGACTCACAGGAGGGCCTGCCCCCTCCCCTCCCACGAGCACAGGCTCTGCACCCCGGATGGTCCTGAGACGCGTCGGTAAATCCAGGTCACAGGGTCAAGGGTCAGGGTGACACGCTGGCCCCACCTGGGCATGTCTCTCCTCGGAGCGGCCGGTGCCCGAGGGAGGGGACGTCTGGGTGGCTCCGGACCCGCACAGCCGTGCCCAGCGCCCGAGGGACCAGCTCCGAGGCTCCGGGGATCAGCTCCTTGCTCATCATTTAAGACGCAGTTACTAGTAGATCAGAGACTCATTCCTGTGAACGGGCTACAGGGAAACCCCGTTACGGGGCCCCATGAAGACTGGAGTGGGGGCAGGTTCTATAATAAACCCCGGGTGACAAACCGTAGTCAGGGGCGCAGTCCCAGGCCGGGTCCTGAGAATCGTCAGGCCCCCCCGTCTTCCTCCTCGGAGGGAAGCTGAGGGAGATGGGCTCGGCCATGTGACCGCTGGTGCTTTTATAGAAAAGTGCGTCTCTGGCCCCCGCTGCCCGCAGCCGCTGCAGCCACAGTCCTGCCGGTTGCTTTCCCGTCTCTCTCGAAGCGGTGGGGTGCTCTCCCTCCCACGGCTGTCTGCTGTTGCTCGTTCAGGCTGTCACTGTGGGCAGTGGGCTTGATGGTGACCCCCCCTCCTCTCCACTGCGCAGTGACTCCACCCTGCGCTCCCCCCCATGGTCCCCTCCGCCCTGGCATTTGTCACGCTGTCTGCGTGTCCCCGGCTGCGAGTCCCCGTGCTCTCCGTCTGTCTCCGTTCGAAGCTGCAGCGGAAAGCCGAGATGCGATCTGCTTCCATCGGTGGATGCTCTGGATCGGACTCGAATATATGAAACGGCCGTCATCGGTTATTGATGCGCTGATGGAGACTCTCACGGAGCTTAATCCCCAGATAAGCGAAACGTATCACTTGCAGAACCCGTCGGTCTCCAAGGCGTTAGCGAGCCCGTGGCACCGAGCCGGGGGAGATGGGACACGAGAGGCGCCAGAGGGGCTCCCGTGTGGAGGCTGGACCTGGGGAAGGTAGATTCCTCCAGCCCTGAGTCCCGTGCCCGTGTGGAAGTCACATTCTGCATCGGGTGTCGCCCTGGGCGTGGCCGAGCCGGGGCAGCGGGATGTGCTGGGCAACGGAGGACGAGGGCTCGTGGCTTCTGCTGCATCACAGACGGCATGTCCTCACCACCCCTGGAACTGGCTAGGGTTGACCCCAGCGACCTCGTTAGCATAACCCAGTGATGGCGAACCTTTTGAGCTCGGCGTGTCAGCATTTTGAAAAACCCTAACTTAACTCTGGTGCCGTGTCACATAGAGAAATTTTTTGATCTTTGCAACCATAGTAAAACAAAGACTTCTATTTTTGATATTTATTTTATATATTTAAAAGCCATTTAACAAAGAAAAATCAACCAAAAAAATGAGTTCGCGTGTCACCTCTGACACACGTGTCATAGGTTCGCCATCACTGGCATAACCCCAGGTGGCCCGGGGCCAGGAGTAGCAGTCCCCTCACTCAGGAAAGCCCAGGGTTGGAAGTTGCCTCTTGGAACCGGACGGAGACCAGCCAGGCTCCGTGTTACAGCCGTAGGCGGCCCTGAGCTGCGCTCACGCTGAGCGTGTCTTCGGGAGGGACCGACTCAACAGCCTTGGTTCCGTTTCTGAGCGAAGCAACTCAGGAGGACGTGGGCGGGTAGAGCGGCATCGTCCCCGGAACGCCTCCGTCGGGGTCCTTGGGGGAAGCCGGAGCGCGTGTGGCTATTGGAGAACTGAAACGGAAATAACAGCTCCTTTTTAAAATATATACATTTTTACTGACTTCAGAGAGGAAGGGAGAGGGAGATAGAAACATCCATGATGAGAGAGAATCATTGATCAGCTGCCTCCTGCACGCCTCACGCTGGGGATCAAACCCGCAACCAGGGCCTGTGCCCTGACCGGAATCGAACCCTGACTTGCGGGTTCATAGGTCGATGCTCAACCACTGAGCCAACCCGGCCAGCCAGTAGCTCTTTTTTTAACTTCAAGCTCATTCACAACAAAGAAAAGAAGCTGGAGTCCAGGCCCAGTTGCTTCTTCATTGCGCTCGCTCAACGCCGCATCCACGTCAGAAACGCTTGTCCGTGAGCGGTGCGATGGGCGGAGCGCTGTTTCCCGGGGCGCCGCGAGCACGGTGGCCTAGGAAACCTCAGAGTGATGCGTGCACTTCCCGAATTACAGTATCGGGTGTAACCACCGCTTTCCGTGCTGCCCGTGGGCTCAGCAGTAACTGACGCCTGGGGAGACCAGGCCTAGTGAGTGGGTGGCACAGGGGGCACTGGGCGTCCGCTCCCCCCGGCCTCCCTAGGCCACGAGGCGGGTCCTCTCCCAGCCTTGGGAGACGTGGGGGTTCGGGGGGCAGAGGGGGCACGTAGCTGCCGATGGAAGGCGGCAGAGCGCCGTGGGAGAGCCCGCGCCCTCCATGGAACCTCTGTGACCGCGAGTCCCACGAACACCGTCCCCAGCGTCTGCAGAACCCACTGCTCCCCCTACCGCCTCGCCGTGTGCTGTTCCTCTCCCGCGGCGCGGGCCTGTCCCCACCGCGTTTCCCTCTCGGCGCTTCTCCGGGCCTCCCGCGTGCAGCAGGGGAGAGGGCGCAGGACACCCCCCACACCCCCGTCCTCGGAGAATGTGCAGGCGCGTTTTGGCTGGAAACTCCCAGTGTCGGACCCGTGTTCGGTCCCATTTCCCGGCCTTTCCTGCGGGTCGGCTGACTGCCTCTCGTGAACAGCCTCGGGTTGTAAAGCCGGTGCGTGGCCACTTGTTTAATGACGCTCCCTGTGGAAATGGCACCTCCCGCCCAGTCCAAGCTGCAGCCACCGGCCCCTTCAGGCCCACCAGGGGCCTGGGCACATCGGGCTCGGAGAGCGAGCCGCGCGCGAGTGTGCGGGCGGGTTTCCGAGGCGGGAGGCGTGCTGCTTGTGTTGGGCGTGTGGTACGTGCTCCCTCTCAGCATTGCACACAGGACGGCGGGCGCGGGCCGCTCCCTCGGTCTGACCTGTGTTCTCTCCTCTGACCCTCGCCTCCCAGTGAGCTGCCGCACCCCCCGCAGAACCTGCTGGCCCGCCTGGACGCCGCGCACAGCCACGCCGTGCTGCTGAGCTGGGTGCGCCCCTTCGACGGGAACAGCCCGGTCCTGCGCTACGTGGTGGAGCTGTCGGAGAACAGTGAGTAGCGCAGGCAGCTGGGCGGGCCCCGGGCTCCCTCTGGGCCTCAGTGTCCTTCACCCTCGGTCCTGCTCAGGCCCACACGGGGCTTCACGGAGCCGCCGCCGCTGAACCCGGCTCTGGGTTAGGCAAGGTCAGCGGCGAGTGGGAGCCCGTGGGGGCAGAGGAATGGCGGGGCCTCCTGTGAGTCTGGGTCTGGGCTGCAGCCCCATGGGGGGCGGGGCGGAGGGCCATGCACACAGGCTGCCCTGAGCGGGTCCCGGGTTCGGTGTTGTCCCTGGGACGAACCCTGAAATGAGCTCTTCATGCCTCCCCTTGGGGCCGATTTGCACGTCGACCACACCGCGATGGGGAACGTCTCTGCACGTGTCCTCGGGGGCAGCGTGTGCCCCGCATCCCAGCGTCCAGTGCGCCCTTCCTCTCCTCGCGCCCCGACCTCTTGCAGCAGCGACACTGCCCACCCCACACTCACTCCTGGCTCTCCTGCCCCCCCCCCCACTCCCCGGCGCCCTCCATCCCTTTGTGGTGGCCGCGCAGAAGTCCCCGCTGTAAGAACAGACGCTGGGCTTCGGAGCGTGGTCCAGGCTCCGCCGCGGCCTCTCCAGATGCGCCTCCAGCCGCTCAGGCTTGGCTTTGCGCTCGGCAACAAGGCGTCTCTCCACCCTGCGCCCCCTGGGCTCACAGGCCCTCAGTGCCCAGCCTGCGCCCTGCTGGACCTGCCCTCCCCCCCCCACCCCCGCTTCCCCTGCCTGTGTCAGCGCCCTCCCTCTCCTCCCCTGGGGGCGCTGTCTCAGGTCCTGCTGGGCCTTCTGGCACTGATACCCAAGGGGGCCCTGGGGGCACTGAACACAGGCAGGGCCCAACCCTAGTGGAAACATCTGGAAGGAAACAGTAACGTCTGCTGCTCGAGTTTGCGGGACATTCCGTGCCCTCGTCCGGAGGACGGATGAATGAGGTCCTCACCCGCTCCGGTCTCGGAGCCGTCGCCCTATTCCCGGGCTGCCGGGCGCTTTCCTGGCGCCGCCCTCCTCCGCCATCTGTCAGTGCCCCTCCCTGCTTTCCCCGAGGCCTCGGGTCCTGTCTGACGGGCGTGCTTCCCACCTGCTCTGCCCCCTCGTTCTGTGCGTAACTTTCCGGCAGCCCGGAGTGTTTGGTTTTTATGTGCTTACACCCACCGGCATTTTCCTTTATGATTTCCTTTATTGCTTTCCTGTTTGGCAGGTTCAGCACTGAGTATAGAATATGTCTCCCTACACGTTTCTTCTCGCCGTTGTTCTTTTCTCTATTATTTTGTCTTTCTAACATCTTTTGTATTAAATGTACTGGGGTGACATTGGTCGTCAACCTGATCATATAGGTTTCAGGTGTGGTCTTCTTGCCTTTACCTTTTTTAATATATTTTTATTGATTTCAGAGAGGAAGGGAGAGAGGGAGAGAGAGAGAAACATCAATGATGAGAGCGATTCATTGATCAGCTGCCTCCTGCACATCTCCCACTGGGGGATGTGCCCGCAACCCAGGTACATGCCCTTGACCGGAATCGAACCTGGGACCTTTCAGTCCGCAAGCCGACGCTCTATCCACTGAGCCAAACCGGTTTCGGCGAATTGGAATTATTTTGCAAAGTTTCAAAACTAGCCTCCTTGCCGGTGTAACCTGGTTAAGGCTGTGGTGAGGTTTTGAGCACAGACTTCCTGGTCGTCCTGTCTTCTCCTCCGTGGACCGAGGCTCCCACCCTCTCGGGAATGGTGCCCTCCGATTAGTCCTGGCGCGTGACCGGGATTTCCTCCCCACCCTGCTGGCCAGGCGTTCGCGTGGGGACGTGGGGAGCACGTCTTCCGTTCGGCCGCTCCCCGGGCGCGTTATTCTAACGAGGGTTCGATCGATCCCCTTAGTTTTCCAGGGAGACTATCACATCTTCTCCAAACGATAAAAAGTGCTGTTTTCTTTTTGTTTTTATATCTTGCTGGGCTGGTCAGAATAATTTTAAAATAATCAGTATAGTTGCGTCTCCTGTTGTTCATTCTGTCACAGTGGAAGGTCTACTAGGATCTTACTGTTATGTATGGTGCTGAGTGGGAGGGAGGGAGAGAGAAACATCGATGTGAGAGACACATCAACTGGTTGCCTTCCACACGATTGCCTCACCAGGGCTGGGGATCAAACCACAAATTATTCTTAAACAAACTGAATACTTTGTTTAGCAATAGCCTCCTGTTTACGCGGGAGCGCCCCTCTGACCGCCTGCAGGCTCACCGCTCCGGACTGAGTGGCGATGGGCCAGCCAGGGAGAGGACGGGCCATGGGACCACCGCTGGGCTGGAGGCTGCGGGCCAGGCGTGTGGGAGACGGGTGGGGACAGGCCACTCCTGTCCCTGAGACTAGATGCACCTGACAGAGCGCAAGCCGTGCCGGGAAGGTTCCCGTGGACACAGGGTGCCCCCCTCGTGCTGTGGCCCCCAAAAGGCTCCGGGCTGTTGGCTGGGCAGAGTGGCAGGGACTGGTGCCGGGTGCCTCGGGCGCGGCTGCAACCTGAGGTCTGTGCAGCCGTGTTCCTAGCAGCGCGCGTTTCAGGCGCTGACGGCTAGCTCATTCCCCTCCGGGCTTTCACGCGGGACCTCATATGAGTGGCGTCTGCTCCCACTTAAAACCCACGCGGGGGGGGGGGGGTGCATGTCACAGCTACCTACTGCTCTTGGCTGTGTCGTCGGCCCAGATCGGGGCTAAGGTGCCAGGTTTGGGGTTCTCTCCCCCTCGATCCCAGCCGGCAGATGATGGAGAGATGTCCCCCCGTCCCCCGCGGCCCGTCCTGTCCCCAGACTGACACGGCTTCCCCTGCAGGCGTGGCCATCATGACCCCTCACGCAGGACAAAGTGCCCCCCTCTACCCGCCTCATGTCTGCCCTGAGGCCGGTCAGCTCCTGCCGAGAGGCCCCGTGTCCACCCGGCACCGCCAGCCAGGGTGGGCCCCTCCCCAGCAGCATCACGGTGCGTCTCCTGCCTGAAGCTGAGCCACGCTGGGATCTGTGCAGCCCCACTGCCGCCCTCGGGCCCCCTCCCCTTCTCGGAAGCAAACGGCTTCCCCAGCTCATTCCAGGGCGTTCTGCACGGAATGACCGAATGCCCGGCCAGAGGATGCGTGAGCTCTGCGAGCAGATCACACAGGCCCGCAGGCCCTTGAAGCTCCAGGCCAGGGCCCCTTGGCCACAGAGGGGCTCCGCACACCTGTGGGGCACACCTGCGGGGCACACCTGCGGGCACAGCTGCGGGCACCGGGAGAAAGACACTCCAGGTGGCTGCGAACCTCATCGCGTCTCCAGCCAAAGCCGCTCCGTGGGTGGTCGAACGGCCACGCAGACGGCTGCAGACCCGCCCCTCTATCTATCTGCTTGCGGCCCCTTTTATTAAGATGTTAACGACTGGAGTCTGTGTTTATCGCTGGGAGATATCGCTGTGCACCCTGTTCTGGGAAGGAACCTGCCTGGGAGCTGGCAGCGAGCCCTTCTCTGTAGTGACGGGGGACGAGGAGCACGTGCCCATTGGCACCGCCACACCCACGTCGCAGAAAGCTGTTGCTGACGGCGGCACGGGGGATGGGAGATACTGGACTCGGAGCGGGAAGTTCAAGGCCCAGCTCCTGGGTCGCTGGCCCCGGGGCCCTGAGCCTCAGCTTCCACATTGTTAAGTGGGCGCCGCCCTGCACCCCCGGGGCTGCCGCCCTGGCGTGTGGGCCGGTTCACGGGGACACGGGCGGTTCGCTTGCTCTCCCTCGGACGCGCCCTCACGGGTGTGCACCTGCTCTGCTCCCTGCAGACTCTCCGTGGAAAGTGCACCTGGCGGACGTCGGCCCCGAGATGACAGGCGTGGCCGTGCGCGGCCTGACTCCCGCTCGCACCTACCAGTTCCGCGTGTGCGCCGTGAACCAAGTGGGCAAGGGCCAGTACAGCGCGGAGACGAGCAGGTGAGTGCCCGCCCCCGGGGTGACGGGGCGGCAGGGCCTGACAGCAAGGGGAGCACCGCGGAAAGGGGGGACAGCCAAGCCACCAGCCCCGGCCAGGCCACCCCGCAAACACGGCGTGGGAAAAACTGACAGACAGGCCGCGTGGGGGGTGGGCAGGGCTGCCATGGCGCTGAGCAGTGTCGGAGCCACAGCGTCCCTGTGCGCGGCCGTGGGGCACGTGCCGTTAGGAGTTGAAGCATTAAGCCCCAGCCAGTTTGGCTCAGCAGTTAGAGTGTCGCCCACAGACTAAAGGGTCCCGGGTTCGATTCCGGCCAAGGGCACGTACCTCCATTGCAGATTTGATCCCCGCGGGGAGGCAACCGATCCATGTGTCTCCCTCACATCAGTGTTTCTCTCCCCCCCCCCCCCGCCACTTCCACTTTCTCAAAAAATCAATGAGAAAACACCCTCAGGTGAGGATTAACGAAACCGAAAAGGAGTTTACAGCGTTCAGTTCCTTTGCCCATCCCAATGCCGCCAGGTGGGCGCAGGGGCCACCACCTTAAAGGGGACTCAAGGAGCCACAGGGTCTCAGGGGGTGTCACCTCCGCTCGCCCGTCCCCGGGGTGCGGGGCGAGAAGTGCCATCGTGCCGTGTCTATGAGCCTCCCCACCAGACTTCGCTCTCCGTGGGCGGGCGTCGGAAACTAGTGGAATGAGAGGAACGAAAATGCCTTTTCTAAAACGTGGGAGTTGGCTGTGCGGAGTTGGACAGAGCGAAGAAACCATTTGGAAGGGGTGGGCGCGGGCCTGCAGGCCATCTCCTCGGCTGCGAGGCTTTGAGAGAGCCCGGGGGGTTGTTCAGACGGAACAGGCCCCTGTGCCTGCTGGTGCCTGCTAGCTGGTGCCCTACTATGTGGGGTTGTTCAGACAGAACAGGCCCCTGTGCCTGCTAGCTGGTGCCCTACTGTGTGCGGTTGTTCAGACCGAACAGGCCCCTATGCCTGCTGGTGCCTGCTAGCTGGTGCCCTACTATGTGGGGTTGTTCAGACAGAACAGGGCCCCTGTGCCTGCTAGCTGGTGCCCTACTGTTTGGCATTGTTCAGACAGAACAGGCCCCTGTGCCTGCTAGCTGGTGCCCTACTGTGTGGCATTGTTCAGACCGAACAGGCCCCTGTGCCTGCTAGCTGGTGCCCTACTGTGTGGCATTGTTCAGACAGAACAGGCCCCTGTGCCTGCTGGTGCCTGCTAGCGCGTGCCCTCCTGTGTGGATCTGCTCAGCTACTTCAGGCGCGGCCCTCCCATGGGATGGGCTGTGTGTCTCACTGTCTTCGTCGCTTGGTTTTGGCGAACAGCTGGGCTCGGGATCCAGCCTCACGGCGAGTGCAAAGGCGCGTCCTCCAAGCCGGCGCTGGCCTCTCCTTCCTCCGTCTTCCTTTTCAGGCTGATGTTGCCGGAAGAGCCGCCCAGTGCGCCCCCGAAAAACATAGTGGCCAGTGGGCGCACCAACCAGTCCATCATGGTGCAGTGGCAGCCGCCCCCCGAGACGGAGCACAACGGGGTGCTGCGCGGCTACATCCTCAGGCAAGTGGCCGGGCCGGCCGGGGCGGGGCTGTCACTGTGGAGGCGGGCGTCTGTTTTGCTGAGGTTGCGAGCGCGAATGTGTATAGGAGCCCAGTGTAAGCAAGCGGTAAGCCCAGTGGTGAGCTGCAGGGAGTGGCGGGGAGTGCGGCAAAGTGCAGAGGCCGGGCGCGCGGTACCGGCAGAGCTGGTGTCCGTCTGTAGGGTTACACACAGGACTCGGTGTCGGTGGCTGCATTTTGGGGAAAGCGTGGGGCGAGGTGCACTCTTCCTCGTAGATGCTCTCTTTCTGAGCTTTTCCCAGGGGCGTGAATTACTGTCCGCCATGATTTTTAACGAATAGCAATGCAATCGAGTGAGTTATTAACCAGATGTTACCACGCCGGCATGTTGCTCAGTGTTGCCAGGCTTCCTCGTGTTTCAAAGGAATCATAACGTCGAGCTTTCTACATGCAGTCTCACAGCTTTCCAGTGGTGGGCGTGAAATCAAAATACTTTGAAACACAGGGCAGGCCACACTCGCACACCTGCAGGCAGCGAGGCCCCGGCCCCGGGGGGTGGGCAGGCCGGAGGGACGCGGGAGGACCTGCCGGACGGGGCTGCGTGGGAGGGGGGATGCCTCCTTCGCCAGAACCACTACTTCGAAAGCTGCCCCGACTGTGCTAATTACAGTCGTTTGTTGACACGAGTGAAGAGAAGAAAACAGCGGATTAAAGGCTAATTACTACATCCCTTCCAGTGGGCTGCCCAGCAGGCCGTGTGTGTTAATCGGGCGTGAACTCTGCCCCCTCACAGCCTGTGGGGCAAGGGGCAGGTGCCGTCCCCACCTTCCCCCGCCCGCCCGGCCCTGCTGAGCGGAACCAGAAGGTCCGGGGCTGAGGGTAAAGCAGTTTCCCAGGCAAATGGGGGAAATGCAGGAAGTGCTGCCTCCTCGGCTCCGATGTCTCATGTGGAGGACAGCGCACCCGTGTGTGTGTACGCATCGCGCATTCGTCATTTCATACGTGTCGATCTGTGTGCGGGGCTGCTCGCCTGTCACAACCGTGTCCCTGTGACGCTCAAGTTCCTCCCCCAGCATGTGAATCACCCTCAACACCGGCCAGACCGCCTCTGCCTGAAGGGGCTTAAACGCAGCCGCCTGGAGGGTGCACGGGGTCCGCAGGGCGGGGTCAGCTGGGCCTGCCCCCCTGCCATGCCCCAGCTGCCCTTCCCGCTCCAGCGGAGGGAAGGAGACCGCCGTCTGCCCGCTGCAGGAGGGGCGCCGTGGCTCGGTTCCTGTCTGCTCGCCCTGCCCGCCCCTGTGCGGCCGTCACGCTTGTCCCGGGCTCACCCACTCATGGAAACGACTGGCCTCACGCCCTGGGCCCAGCCACGCGCGCCTCCAGCGGCTGCCTGGGTGGAGCACACGGAGGAGCACTCCTGAGGCCCTGGCTGCCCCGGGGGGACGTTAGCAGTCAGCCACAGGCCGCTCCGGCGAGCAGTTAATGAAATCTCTCTGATGCCGAGGCCCCTGGGCCGCGCGTCCCTCTCTTTGCGGGATTACTGCTGTTGAAAGGATTTTCCGCGCTGGAGCCAGCGGCCGGGGCTGGGAAGAGGGCTGTGCACATGTCGGGGCTTAAATCAGACAGCCCCGACGTGAGGACGCGCTACCAGGGCCTGCGACGTCAGCGTTTCCAGGAATTACAGACCCGGCCGAAGTGGATTTGCTCAGAAACATTCCCGAATCGTCCCCCGGCTTGCAAGCCAGCTGTGTGTGCAGCGCGCACCCCCGGGCCCGTGCCGCCTGCGGAACCACAGAGGAAATAAACCCCGTCAGGGCTCCGAGTGAGAAATCGTCAGGACGCGTGCGCAGCCACCACGTATTTATCGTGATGGGCAGGGAGTTCCTTTGTGAGGAGCATCAGGGCCGTGTCCTTTGTAAACGCTCTCCTGTTATTTCCACATAAAAGTCATCTTGTTCTGTCAGAGAAAACGCCCTCCCACCGTCAGAGGATGCCCCGCCCTCCTGCCGTGGACCTCGCCTTCCCCGACGCCCTGTGGCTGTGGCAAAACCCCCCCAAGCCACGGTCAGGATGGCCCGGCCTGCGCCGCAGAGAGGACACGGCCGGGGCCGGGACACGGGCTCTGCCGCTCATCCTGCACGGACGCGGGGAGAGGCTTGGAGACGGTGCTGATGGATGCGGCCGCATTTCTCAGAACTGGCTCCCACCCGCGTCCCAGGAGAGGCACCTTCAGAGAGAAAGGGTTAGGGGCGCCATCGGAGAGAAAGGAGGAGGGGCGCCATCGGAGAGAAAGGGTTAGGGGCGCTCCAGTCACCTCGCCCTGTGACGCCCTGTGCAGGGCCATGGCTGTCGCGTGAAGGAGCAGAACCGGGCGCAGAGAGTGAGGGGAGCTGAGGCCACCCAGCTCCTGCGTCTTCGTCCCACAGAGTCCGGGAGCTCAGCTCTGCCTGCCCCTGGACGCACATTGTGGCGTCCGCGTGAGGTCCCCACGAGCGAGCTTCCTCTGCCGTCACCCGGCTGTGCCACGGGCTGTGCGTGGTCCTGGGCCCCTCACACAGCAGGACCCTCGAGTGCGGGTGGGTGTGAGCCCTTTTCCCTCTCCCCAGACGGCCGCCCAGCAGTGCCAGCGCCGCGAATGCCAGTTCATGTCTGGTACGTGGGGAGCTTTGGGGTCAGTATCTGACCGAGGGGTTCTCCCAGGCCGGTCCTCTCTCTGTTGTTTCCCTGGGGGGGGGGCCCGCCCCATCACCTAGCTCCACCGCGGAGAGCGCCTTCACGTGCTGGTGCCGGCGGGGCCCGCGGTCAAGGGACGCGACTCGGGAGGGGCAGAGGTCAGTGGGGCATGAAGCAAAAATGGGGTTTGACGCATTAGTCACAGAAGGACCTGTGTCCCAGCGCCGCCCCCAGGCGGGTGCCCAGAGCCTGGGGCCTCCATGCCACTGCTCCAGGCAGGCCCCCCCGCCCAGCACGGGTGGCCCCAGGTGGTCCATGGCGAGGGGGTTTCCACAAAGAGCCCGTCCTCAGTGCGTTGGCAGCCTCCTCTCTGGGAGGGCTGTTCTCCGTCAGGGGCCTGGATTTCGGGGTTCGTCCGTCGCTCTGATGGCAGCGGCCTTGCTGGCCCGCTGGCCGGCCCCGGGGACAGGCAGGTCACTGGCCGGGACTACGCAGCCTCAGAGCCTCTCTGTCAGGGAGGAGCCTGGGGACCCCCGACCTGCCCGAGACTCCACGGCTCCTGCTTCACTGCAGCTGCGCCTCCTCCCTCGGCGGCTCCCTTCCCGCTCCCCCTTCCTCACCCCGCCAGGCGCCTCCCCCAGAGCCGCTCTTGGGTGGAACTCTGATGCCTGGAAGCTGCATCGGGACTGGGGACCCCTGTCCATGCCCCTCGCCTCCCCATGGCGCCGATCACCTTCTCGAAATGGAGCCCCGGAAATGCTGGCTGCCTGGAGGAGGGCTGAGGGCGCCGCGCCCTCCAGGCGGGACAGGGTCTCCTCGTTCACACGCCTACGCCCAGGGGAGGCCTGTCCCTCCTTAAAATGAGTGAATGCAACTGTAGCCCGGCCTCAGGGCTCAGTTACTGAGCGTTGACCTATGAATCCGGAGGTCACTGTTCAATTCCGGTCAAGGGCACAGGCCCGGGTTTCGGGCTCAATCCCCAGTGTGGGGCGTGCAGGAGGCAGCCGATCCGTGATTCTCTTCCATCACTGATGTTTCTCTCTCTCTCTCCCCTCCTCTCCGAAAGCAATAAAAATATATTATAACATAATAGTAACAAAGTGAACTCACTGTAAACCTGGGCCCTGGGCACCCTGCAGAGCCTACTGCGAGCGCTCAGGGCCCCCGCAGGCCGATCGGCCACCCCGCAGTGGCCAGTGCGCTAGGGGAGGGAGCACCTTTGAAAGCCCCCGGCTCTGGTTCTGGGGCCTGGTTCTGGTTCTGGGCCTGCGTGAACGGATCTGACCTCCTGACTGGGGCCAGAGTGCGGCTTCTCTCCCCAACATTCCAGCCGCAGGAAGCACCGCTCACACGGCTGACAGCACCGCCCCCTCACACACACACACACACACACACACACACCCCGGCCCCGGAAGTCATGTCGGGAGCTCTGGGCGCTAAGTCCCTACACTCCCGGGACAGTCACACCTGAAAAGCCGGACCCCTTAACCGCTAACTCAGCTCAGGTCGGCTGTGTCTCGCCCAGGGCTCTGGTCACGGTGAGGCGAGACTCCACCTTTTTAACCGGTGAATTCAGGGGTGGCGTGTCTGGCTCACCCGGCCTTGCTGCTGTTCCCTCACTCCCGCCCCCTCCCCCTGCGAGGAGCTGGGTGAGGGTGTCCCTGCGAGTCACCTCTCGGTCTGCGCAGGTACCGCCTGGCGGGGCTGCCGGGGGAGCACCAGCAGCGCAACATCTCCAGCCCCGAGGTCAACTACTGCCTGGTGACCGAGCTCATCGTGTGGACGCAGTACGAGATCCAGGTGGCCGCCTACAACGGCGCCGGCCTGGGCGTCTTCAGCCGGGCGGTGGCCGAGTACACGCTCCAGGGAGGTAAGCCGTGCCGCCAGCGCCGGCCCTGCGGGGAGCAGGGTTCGCGAGGCTGGATCGGAGCAGCTGGAAACGAAACGGAGGGTTCTCTCCCCCACTTAACGTAACCTCTCCCTCTATCCCGAGAGGACGGCAACCGGGAGGGGCAGGCGAGTGCTCACTGCCCTCTCGGCCGCCAGGACAGGCCGTGTGTGCACACTCCGGCTGGCCCCCGAGGTCGGCACTTGCTCCTCGCGGAGTAGGGTCTCCGCGTGGCGGGAGTCCCGGGTGAGCCTGTGCGCGCTGTGAAGTCTGTTTTCAGTGATGCACTCGGAGGAGGAGGAATGAAACTGGCCAGTTGGTGCTTGTTGTTGTTTTCAGTTACTCAGGCAAACAGCTTATTAGTCAGTCAAACTTCTCCCCCAAAAGCCGGCGGCTGTCGTGACGCTGAGCCTCCCTCTCCCCACGCGCTCGGCCCCGCCCGGCACCTCCCGCTCTTTACCGTCCAGCCCCGCCGCCCGGGAGGACCCGGCTCAGCCCGGGAGGCGCTGGGCATGGGCCAACACGGCGCTCTCTGCCGGTGCCCGCGGCTCTAAACAGACCCTCTGTCCACGCAGCTGCGCGTGCCCGCGGCCAAACCCTCGCCCGGGAGTCTAGCCCCATTGGTGCCCTCTCCCCGTGCAGGTGTGACCTCACCGGCCTGGGCGTTTTCACTGCTCCCAGGCCTCGGCCTTTTTCACATGACAAGGTTTCTCGCTGCCCACTGCTCTCCCCGAGTCACGGCCGAGACCTAGTGGCCCCTGAAGTCACCCGCTGCTGTCCTCTTCCCTTATTGACCGGCTGCCGCTGTCTCCCAGAGACCAGGCCTCAGTCCTCCCTAAAAGCCAGGAGCCTCGCTCTGCATTCCCAGTGCCGAGCGGGAATATCCCCCACGCGAGGCAGGCAGGGGCCGTCCACCGGGAGCGGCCTCTCACCACTGGGGAGTGAGGAGGACGGAGCCGGGACCGCGTGTCCGCTTCAGGCAGCCTGTTCCAGGGAGAGCGGAAACCTGCAAACCCCCAGCTGACGGAGATGCTGTGAACGGCCCGCGGCTGCCACCGGGACTGCGCATCGTCCCCGCGGGGGGTGTCGCACAGAACGGAGCAGGCGGCGCCCGACAGACGGCGTCCAGGCTGCAGAGTGGCCTTTACTCAGTTGGCATCGGGGACCATTGGAGATTCAGAGCCACGCGTGGCATGGTCACTGCGGTGTCAGAAAATGAACCCGTCGGGAGACAGGCAGCGGGAGGGGAGCCGACAGTGGCGGCGGCTCCAGGGAGAAAAGAGGGGCAGTTTGGCTGTGAGGTGACGAGTCCCCAGCTCTGATGCTGCCATGAGGAGGGTGAGGGCACGTGGGTCTGGGTGGCGCCCGTGGGTCTGGGTGGCGCCCGTGGGTCTGGGTGGTGCCATGCAGTTTTCAAACAGCCTCACACCTGCTCCCTGTGTGTACCTGGCGACAACCTGTCAGGTGAGAGCAGGTGAGCCCCATGAGCCGCATGGAGGTGCCCGGACAGTGGCCTGGGCATGGAAATGGGTGGGCCCAGCCCTTCCTCCCTCCCTCCCTCCATCCCTCCCTCCCCCTCTCCGATGGCTGCAGTGTCTAGGAGAGAGCAGGGCAGTTTCCTTTGTAATCATGTACACATAAGGGTCTGACTCAAATGTCACTGGGCTGAGACCGCGTGGCTAACAAATGACAGAACTGGACTCCTGGTCGGCAGCCTCTGTGTCAGTGTGACTTCAGAGCAGGTTTCGGCCACGTGGGTGACGTCTGGACACCCCGCCTGGGGGCCAGGGCACAGAGCTCCCGGGCCAGCGGCTGGATGGTGGTTCCCGCTCCCGCCTCCCTTTCTACCCCGAGGATAAGCAGTTCCGAGGTATGAAATGGTGCGAGGCTGCCCCATGCGGCGCCTGCAGCCTGCCCGGAACCTTCACCATCCCCCTGTTGGGAGAAGCAGAAACGGGAACCCACAGCAACTCCGGGGCCTGTCGGGACAAGAGCCGACCATGCTGTTGCGGCCGGGAAGCCCTGTGCGGCCGCGTGTCCACGGCCATTAGCGCTGATGCTGAGGAAGCCTGAGGCCGAGCCGCCCTGGGGGCTGGAGGGACTCGTCCAACGCCTGCGGGTCAGAGGGAGGGAGCCTCCTGAGCTGAGCGGGTGCAGCCCGGCGTGCAGCCCGGTGTGCAGTCCCGTGTGCAGTCCCGTGTGCAGCCCGGCGTGCAGCCCGGTGTGCAGTCCCGTGTGCAGTCCGGTGTGCAGTCCCGTGTGCAGTCCCGTGTGCAGCCCGGCGTGCAGCCCGGTGTGCAGTCCCGTGTGCAGTCCCGTGTGCAGTCCGGCGTGCAGTCCGGTGTGCAGCCCGGTGTGCAGTCCGGTGTGCAGTCCCGTGTGCAGTCCCGTGTGCAGTCCGGTGTGCAGCCCGGCGTGCAGCCCGGTGTGCAGTCCCGTGTGCAGTCCCGTGTGCAGCCCGGCGTGCAGCCCGGTGTGCAGTCCCGTGTGCAGTCCCGTGTGCAGTCCGGTGTGCAGCCCGGTGTGCAGTCCCATGTGCAGTCCGGTGTGCAGTCCCGTGTGCAGTCCGGTGTGCAGCCCGGTGTGCAGTCCCGTGTGCAGCCCGGTGTGCAGTCCGGTGTGCAGCCCGGTGTGCAGTCCCATGTGCAGTCCGGTGTGCAGTCCCGTGTGCAGCCCGGCGTGCAGCCCGGTGTGCAGTCCCGTGTGCAGTCCCGTGTGCAGCCCGGCGTGCAGCCCAGTGTGCAGTCCCGTGTGCAGTCCCGTGTGCAGTCCGGTGTGCAGCCCGGTGTGCAGTCCCATGTGCAGTCCGGTGTGCAGTCCCGTGTGCAGCCCGGTGTGCAGTCCCGCGTGCAGTCCGGTGTGCAGTCCGGTGTGCAGCCCGGTACAGCCCGGTGTGCAGCCCAGTGTGGAGCTGATTGGACGCGTGTGAGCACAACTCAGGGTCCATCGGGGACCACGGCCTCAGAGGAGAAGCCCATGCAGTGGCCTCGCTGTCCCCACCCTCCGCTCCGCACACGCTCCAGCCGTGCGGGGGGAGAGCGCCTTTATCTGGACTCTAATGGGCTCTTGGGACGTAGCTCCCTCCAAAGGTGCTGGACGCCGGGAGAGCCTGCAACGCCCACTCACTCCCATTCGGTGGGTGTCACTCGGTGGTGCCCGCAGGGCCGGCCGCGAGGACAGCAGAGGGCACGTGGCATCACAGCCTCGCGCTCCTGGGCGGTTTGGGCTCAGAGGGGCTTTCTCCACGGAAGCTGAGCCCGTTTTCCTGCCTCAGGGCAGCACGTGGGCCACGGAGCCCAGAGCAGCCTGACACCACTCCGCCTGTCACAGCCCCTGCCTCTCAGCCCATCTCCCACGAGAGGGAAGTGCGGGTCTGTCGCGGGTTTCTCACGTGCTCGGCCTGGACCCTGGACGCAGGGACTGTGTGATGTACACGGCCCCCCCGGACCTGGCACGCCCCCCCCCCCCGCCCTCCATCTGTTACCGCGGCCACGGATCCCCGTGACTGCATCTTATCAGCAGGGCCTCGTGGCCTTTCTGCCCCGAATTCTGAAATGTGACACATCGACCTACAAATCGAGCAGCGAGACGCGAGCACACTTCCCGCCGGAGCGCTGTCCGGGGCACGAGGGAAGGTCCCTTCTGTCGCCTGACGCCCCAGTGGATCGGGATCCGCCTGTCCAATTCCCCTTGTGATTCCCCAGCTGAGACGGAGGGTGTCCTCAGTGTTCTAGAGAATTCCGTCCCGATCGCTCTGGGTCCCGGGAGGAGGCCCTGGGGCACGTTCCACCTGCCGATCGCCCGATCACTGGGCCTTTCTTCCTGCCCCCAGCTCGGCCGCTTCCCGCCATGGACACGTGCTCCCGTGAGCTCAGTTCGGGAGGGGCGTGTCTGGGTCCCTTTGTGTTGCCGGTTGTTCGGCTCATGCCGTAGCCACAGGAAGAAATGCGTGGCCGTGGAGGGGGCCGGCGAAGAGCCCTCGCGGGGAGCATGTGGGCATCGCCATGGCAGCCGCCCACCCCGCAGGCCGCGTGGACTGCGGGCTCCTCCCCCTCTCACGTCCACGGAGACAGGAGACCGGCTTCCCCCGAGGGGCCAGGACAGAGGACGCTGTAAATGGCCAGTGTGGCCACGCCCAGGCTCATTTCTTCCCGGTTTGATTCCTCATCGTCTCTCTTCCTGCAGCAGGCCTTCTGTGCTGCAAGGGTTCGTTCTGATTTCAGAACATTACCTTCTAATGGGAGGGAGCGTTTCCCATCCTAAGGAAACGAGGGAACGTTTGATTACCCACTTTCCGGACCATCGTGCCGCCGCTGACGTTCCCTCGGGCTCGGCAAGGCGTCTGAAGTGAGGGTTGCAGACAGCAGACCCTCACGCTCCCGTCTCGCCCTCGCGGGACACCCTCAAGGGGGCAAAAATGCCTTCGCATGAAGGTTTGTCTCCGCGGTGACGTCCGTCTCTGTGGCCACGTGTAACCCGTTGGAGGTGCCCTCTGCCCTGCGGTGCCTCCCACTCGCCACGCCCCGAACTCCCATCTCGGGGCCCGAGAAAGGGCACTGCTGCCTCCCGCGTCCACACCCACCTGTGGTTCCTGTCATGTCCTCGCGGGGCCGTGAGCGCTGGGAGCTCCCGCCAGAGCGCCCGGCCCTGGCAGTGAGAATGAGCCGTGTCCAGGGGCGTGGGCCCCGTGGGATTCACAACTGGAACACGCTGGGATCTGCGCGGGGCATCCATTATCGGTGGGAATGGGGCTTTCTGGGCGAGGAGAACCACAGAGCACACAGTCATCTTACCGTGGTGTGGACAGGTGGTGCTTTAAATGCTAATCATCACAGGGGCTGAGCGCTGACCTACGAACCAGGAGGTCACCGTGCCTTTCCCGGTCCGGGCACAGGCCCGGGTTGCGGGTTCATCCCCGTGGGGGGCGTGCAGGAGGCAGCCGATCCATGATTCTCTCTCTTCATGGATGTTTCTCTCGCCCTCTCCCTTCCTCTCTCTGAAATCAATAAATATTTTTTTAAAATGCTAATTATCACAGAAAATGTCCCTGAGGCCTGATTCCTGATTGCAAGCTGCAGGTGGTCGGCTTCCTGCTCAGGCCTGGGGGACAAGCCCTCTGTGAACACTGGTCCCCCCGCTGGGCCCTGTCCTTGCTCATAGGGTCTGTTGGGTCCCGTAACCCCTTCCGGCCTCGAGGGCTCCGGTGCGGGGTGCATTGCAGGGCGGGTGCGCTGGCCGCAGGGCTTTTTCTCACTCGAGGAAATAAATGTTTAATTCCATTGCCCACAAATTTTCGAGTCACTCTGATGACAATAATTAGGAAAAAGGGAAGAGGGCTGAGAAGAGTTGGAGGTTTTTTAATAAAGCGGCGGCCGGGGGGGGGGGGGGGCTGGTCTCTGATAAGGCATGGGTGTGGACCCAGATGGGGGTTTGCACGTGGACACCCATTCTTCCTGGCACCGTTGTTACAAAGCATCCTTGCTCCAGAGCACCGCCCGTGCGTCAGTAAAGCTCGGCTGGTGCACACGCGGGTGCTTTCTGGCTGCTCCGTGGGCCCGCGTGTCGTCTCTTCTGCAGTGACTGTTTAATTCCTGTAGGTTTGCAGTTCGTATTGTGCAGTTTCGTTCTTTTTCAGAATTGTTTTGTCTATTTAATTCCCTTACTTTTCCCCATACATTTTAAAGTCAACTTCCCAATCTCTAAAAGCTCCTAGCAACGGCGTTGCTAGGGTGGCATTCAAACCGGAGACCGGTTTGGGGAGAACTGATGCTTGGTTAGGTCGCCTCCCAACCCATTAACGGGCTGTGGCTCTCCGTTTGCTTAGGTCTTGCTTCTGTGATCACGGTTCTGACTTTTTAGCATCCAGTGCTTGCATGCAGTTGGTTAAATTTATGTCTACTTCCTGTTTACGTTGGTATTTTAAATGGTATTGACTTTGTCATTTTAATTTCCAGTTCTCCGTTGCTCATGTTTAGAAATACAATTGACCTTTTAAAAAATAGTTTTCATTGATTTCAGAGAGGAAGGGAAAGGGAGAGAGAGATAGAAACATCCGTGATAAGAGAGACTCATTGATTGACTGCCTCCTGCACGACCCCTACTGGGGATCGAGCCCCCAACCCAGGCCTGTGCCCTGACCGGGAATCGAACCATGACCTCCTGGTCGATAGGTCACCGCCCAACCACTGCAACACCGGCCAGGCCGGGCTACAATTGACTTTTGGCTCCCTGTTCTTCAAGGACAGTTACATTGTGTGTTTAGACTCTAGAGAGAGGGGTTTGTTTTTTCCCTTGTGCCTGTTATCTCTTTTCTTGCACTGGCTTGCACTTCCAGACAAAGCATGCCAGAACAATGTCTTGGCTTTGTCCCTGATCTTAAGGGACAGCACCCCATCCCTGTATCTTAACTACGTGTTGTCGAGGCTTATAGGTCCCTTTATCAGGGTTAGCCGTTTTCTGCTTCCCTGGGAGGGTTTGTAAAAGTCAGCATTGGGTGTTAAGTTTTATCCAGTGTTTTTCCTAAATCTATTATGATGATCACATTTTTCCCTCATTCTGTTGACATGGAGAATTACCCTGATGAATATTTGACTGTTGAACTAGCTTAGCATTTGTAAGATAACCCCCACTTGATCGGGATAAAGTATGATTTTTATATATTGTAGAATTCGATTTCCCGATATTTTTATTGAGCATGTTTGCACCTGTGTTCATGAGGGAAACATACGGGTCTGTAGTTTTCTTGTCTTTTAATGTCTTTTTCTGATTTGGATGAATTGCTTTTATTTTTCCTTCAAATGTTTGGTAGACTCACCAGTAAAGCTTATGAGCTTAGAGTTTTTTTATTGGAAGGTTTTAATTGCATATTCAGCTATTTAATAGCTGTAGGACAACTTAGGTTGTCTATTTCTTCTTGAGTAGATTCTGTAAGTGAGTTTCTTTACAGGAATTTGTCCACCTCATCTAAATTGTTGAATTTATGAGCATAAAGATGTACGAAATGTACTCTCCTCTCTTAACGTCATGGGATTTGGAGAGGTGTTCCCTGACATTGGTGATATTGGCAATTTGTGGTTTCTCACTTATTTCTGATTAGTCTGGCTCAAGGTTTATTTATGTTTTAAAAGAATCAGCTTTTGATTTTGTTGATTTTCTCTATTATTTTTCTAATTTCATTTCATTTATTTATGCTCTTTTTCTTTACCATTGCCTTGAATCAGCTTGTTTTTGGTTTAATTAACTATTACACATTCTTAAGGTAGAATCTTAGATTATAAGGTAAACATTTAAATGCTATAAATTTCCCTCTAACACCTCTGCACCCCATAAATTTTGATATGTTGCGTTTTCATTTTCATTAAATTGGAAGTGCTTTTTAATTTTCCATGTGACTTCCTCTTGGACTCATGGTTATTTTGAAGTGCATTGCTTCATTTCCAAATATTTAGGGAATTTCCACCATCTTCCTGTTATTAATTTCAAGTTTGGTTCTTTTGGGGCCGTAAAACATGCATTTTGTGATTTGCATCATCTTTAACTTGTTTTGGTTTGTTTGGGGCTTAACCTGTTTCTATCTTGGTTAAGTTCCATGTGCACCGGGGAGAAGGTGTGTTCTGCCGTCGGCGGGTGGATTGAAACCTTGATATCACATGGGTCAAGCTGCTCCCCGGTGTTGGGTGTTCAGGTCTTGTGTCTCCTCCTGATTTTCTTTGTCTGTTTTTTTTTAAGAACACTGCAATTCCCAGCTGTAACAGTGGATGTTCCCGTTTTTCCTTTCCGTGTCTCGGTTTCGCCCCTGGTACTTTGCGTTCTGCTGCAGAACACATGCAGGAGGTTGCCTCTTCTCGGTGAATAGGTCGCGCCATCATATGTGACCTCCCTCTTCCTCCTCGGCTCCCCTCCTGGCAGGAAGCCGAGCGCTCCTCATGGTAACATAACCTCTCCAGATGGAGTCAGTGTGTGTGTGTATTTCTCCATCCTACTTGTGAGCTACTGTGGCTTTGTATTTCAAGTGGGATTCTCTTAGATGCCGCATAGTCGGGTCTTGGTTTTCATCCAGCCGATACCCTGCCTTCTGCTGGGATGTGTGGGCTGCCTTTCCCAAATGCTCTCACCCCCGCTGCCCCATACACATCGTCGACCCCGATGTTCGGTGTGGGAGGCAACCCGGCGTGGCCCATCTGCTTCCTCTGCTGGTGTCCCCCTCACGCCCCATAGCCACGCACACCGTGCTTCCCAGTCACCAGGTTTTCCCATAATCCCATGCCTTTGCTCGCTGCGCTCTCCCAGGAAGCGCGCCTTTCTCAGGCCTCTGCCCCAGGGCCGGGCCCAGCTCCGGTCTGAAGCCTCCCAGCGTGTGCACCGTGCAGAGACGCCCTTTCGGCTGCACGAGGGTGTCCCCTGGACTGTGACTCCCTGGGGGCGGGCCCCCTGGCAGGTGCATGGTTGGGCTCGGTAACAGAAAGGAAGAGAGAGTGGAAATTGTAATGGGGCCCCTGTGACAGGCAGAGGCCTGGCCTCCGAGAGCGTAAGCAGGGGTGCCCGCGGGAGGGCGATGGCTTCGTGTGAAGGCCAGTGGGGGAGCGTGGGTGCCTGCGGGGAGGGCGCCCACAGGAACCGGGTCTGGTCTCAGAGGTCGGGGAGAGAGAAGCTGGAGAAAGCTGGGTTTGCTCTCCCCTCGGGCCCCGGAACGGCTCCCCGGGGACGGGGGTCCGGGCCCCTTTCCCGCCGACGCCTTAACGAACTCGGCCGCAGAGGAGAAACGGCCCAGCCCCTTTCTCTGTGATGCCAGCAGCTCCCCAGACATCGTCACGCGCCCGACCTCGGGCTGTGAGTGCCCATGCGGCGGGCAGCGGCTAAGAGTGTTTCCCTCTCTCCCCCTCGCGCCTCCTGTTGGTTCCTGTCTCTGGTGGCGATGCCTGGCACAGTGCCCACCGCGCCCCCCCAGAACGTGCAGGCGGAAGCGGTGAATTCCACGACCATCCGCTTCCTGTGGAACCCCCCGCCCCAGCAGTTCATCAACGGCATCAACCAGGGATACAAGGTACGCGCCTCGCCCCGGGGTGTCTCGGAAGGTCCCGGCCTGGGGGTCAGCACGGAGGCCGCTGCCCGTCCTGGGGTCACGGGAGTCACCCCGGTCCTGGCATCAGCTGTGCTGCTCAGGAACTCCTGGCTGGCTTTCCGTGGGCGGGGGGGGGGACACAGCACTGTCTCCTGAGAAAGGCCTTCCCCGTGAACATCCCCGCGGGAGGGAGCCCCACCTCGTGGGTTGGGATCGGGCTTGCAGGAATCACTTCCTCCCGGGAGGGACCCTGTCCGGGGGACACTGAGGGACATTTGTATCAGGTGAGGAGCGGCGTCCCCTCCCTCGGCTCCTGGGACGGAGACCTGGTGACCCAGGTCACCTCTCCGCCCGGAATCGGAGGCACGGACCCTCCCCACCCTCCACCTTCCCTTCGTCCTTCGTCGCCAGCGCATGTCACCTTCATCCATGTGCTGGGGCCCAGGTCCCAAAAGCGTCGTCTCTGTCCCCGTATCCCCGCCCCGGCTGGGCCTGGAGCCATGGCCTCAGCGCAGTCATGACCGTCCACCTGGAGGTGGGCGCGGGCAGACGCCTAGAGAGGAGCGCCCACCTCGCGCGGGACACGGGCAGTCTCAGATGCAGAGGGGGTTTCTGCTCCGACACAGTCCAGTCTTTCTCCGTTTGGATTCAATTTACACAAACATGTGTCTGCGCCAGCCCGGCTGCCAGCCAGCAGCTGGCCCGCCCTCGCCTCCAGGGCCCGCCGTCGGCTTCCTGAGGGGAAACCATGTGGATCAGCAGGAGGCTGTGCCGCTCCGTCCAGGCTGACTGGCGAGGCCGGCGCTCGCTCTGATCCGCATGGCTGTGCTCCTGTCCTGCGGCCGCCGCCCTCCAGCCCCAGGCCCCCAATGTTTGGTGCCACAGGAACCCGGTCCCTCAGACACAGTGGCCAGACCTTGGGCAGCCCCCCTGCCACGTGTCAGCAGACTGTGTGGCTTTACGTTGTGATCAGTGTCCTGCCCGCCTGCCCAGGCAGCTGCTGGACAGAAACTAGAAACAGCGACGGCTGTCCCAGGGCCTCGGGGCTGTCCCAGGCCGAGTCTGGGGCGGGCCTGTGGGGAAACACCTGTGCGTGTGGCTCGTCCGGGTCGGGAGTGACAGCTGGAGTCCGTGTTCCTTGCTGCCCAGCCACACGCTTGGCAGTGTGTGTGGGAGGAGGGACGGTCGGCGCGTCTGTGCCACGAGATAAAGAGGACGTTGTGTCACGTGTGCACATATAAATCCCCGTGTTTGCACTCGGCAATCTACGAGATCTCCTTTTGTATTATTATTTTTTTAATTTCACAGAGGAAAGGAGGGAGAGAGAAGCATCAGTGATCAGAGAGAATCATTGACCGGCTGCCTCTGCACGCCCCACACTGGGGATCGAGCCTGCGGCCTGGCCGTGTGCCCTGACCGGGAATCGACCTATGAACCTGACCGTGACCTCCTGGTTCATAGGTCAACGCTCAACCATTGAGCCACACCGGCTGGGCTGAGATCCCTTTCAAACTCAGTGCTTCTCAGTGAGATGGCAAAGGTTGGATTTATAACGTCTCTTAATATGACGTCGAAGGTAAATTTCACATGAAATTCTGGTGCAGACTTGAAGCCGTGCGACTAACAGGAATCTCTTCCCAACCCGCTCCCCCCAGCTCCTCGCATGGCCCGCCGACGCCCCGGAGTCCGTCACCGTGGTCACCATCGCGCCGGACTTCCACGGAGCGCACCACGGCTACATCAGCCACCTGCGGAAGTTCACGGCCTACTTCACGGCGGCCCTGTGCTTCACCACGCCCGGCGACGGGCCCCCCAGCGCGCCCCGGCTCGTCCGCACCCACGAGGACAGTGAGTGCCTGCGCCGCGGTCTCAGCAGCAACCAGAGCTGCTGGCGGGGCCTCCGGGAGCTCCTGCCAGGCCGGCCGCTTCCCTTTCATAGTTAGAGCTCTCTGCACAGCCTGCCTGACAGGATGGGCTTAGTGTGACAGGGACTGTGTTCCCCACCCCCCCCAGGGCCAGGAACTGTGGGGCACCTGAGCTTCACGGAGATCCTGGACACGTCCCTCAAGGTCAGCTGGCAGGAGCCGCTGGACAAGAACGGCGTCATCACAGGTGAGCGCCTGTCCCCGGGGAGGAGCCACGGGTTTGCCGCCCGCAGGCCTGGGTCACCTTCAGACAGAAGGCCGCCAGAGCACGTGTGTGGCTGCGTGTGCCACAGCCAGGGCCCGTCCCCACGCCAGGCCCTGCCACCACCAGCCCAGCCCCTTAGGGGTGTTCCCTGCTCAGCTCCAGCCTCTGAGTCAGAGACCAGTCTCCTCTGTTGTCAGGACACACCCCCATGGCCTGCCTGGAGTGGGGGCTGGGCAGGGGCCTGGGGTGGGAGCTGGGCAGGGGCCTGGGGTGGGAGCTGGGGCAGGGGCCTGGAGTGGGGGCTGGGGCAGGGGCCTGGAGTGGGGGCTGGGGCAGGGGCCTGGAGTGGGAGCTGGGCAGGGGCCTGGGGTGGGAGCTGGGGCAGGGGCCTGGGGTGGGAGCTGGGGCAGGGGCCTGGAGTGGGGGCTGGGCAGGGGCCTGGAGTGGGAGCTGGGCAGGGGCCTGGGGTGGGAGCTGGGGCAGGGGCCTGGGGTGGGAGCTGGGGCAGGGGCCTGGAGTGGGGGCTGGGCAGGGGCCTGGAGTGGGGGCTGGGGCAGGGGCCTGAGGTGGGAGCTGGGCAGGGGTCTGGGGTGGGAGCTGGGGTAGGGACCCAGAAGCCGGGAGCAGGTTTCAGGCGTCAGCTGTGCTGTGCTTTGGGGAACTCTGGTGAGCACAGGGCCACCGTGATGGGGCCACCCCTCTGCCTGTGTCCCTGGTGTCCCTGCCTGGAGCCCTGCCAGCGCTCGGATGCCGTGGGGCTCAGAGGGCTGGGGGTCAGCAGACAGGCAGTGGCTTCTGATATTAATTTTTTTTAAATTAAAGTCCCGAGACACTGCTCTCTGAGCTCTGTTCACCAGAAGTCCTGCTTCCTACTGTGTGACTGCTTTCATCCGAGGAGCGTTCGATGCCCCTGGAGCGGCAGGGCCCAGTTTACTGCCTGGGAGGGGAGAGCCGCGTTGTCAGCGGCTTCGTGCTGCCCATGGCCGGGCTCTCCATCACGGTCCCTCTGCAGGGCCTCCAGCGCCCCCAACCTCATCAGCCCCTCGGGGGCGGACACAGGGGCCGGCTGGGCCTTTTTCTCTGAGCCCCACACACGCTGGAGTCAGGTGGATAATCGCGGCAGTGAGGCCCCGCTGGGTGGAGCAGAGGGAAGTCGGGGCTCAGTAGGAGGGGGGCTCAGGCTCGAGGGGGAGGCGGGGCCACAGGGGCTCGGGAAAGAGCCACTTTTTAAGGCCACGCGCTGGCCCAGTGAAGCCGCATCCCTCATCCCCAGGGAGCGCGAGCAGCGGGCCCACAAATTAGGTGCCGCCCAGGACCACGCTGAGCGAGGTGCCGCCTCATGAAAATACGAGCTTATAAAAATGGAAATATGGCCGAGATGCAGCCAAAATTTGAGGAGAGAAGGGGAGGCATGCACAGCGGCTGGCAGCCATCGGTCGTCACGCTGCGGGCACTGAGGGTGCCCCCGTGTCGGGCAACCTGTCCTGCAGGCCACTGATCACCGTGGACAGGATGCGGGCGGTGCTGCCTGGGTGGGGGGAGGGGGGGTGCAGGAGGTATCTGGGGCACCTGGGACAGCCCTGACTCCGGGGTGCACTTTGCCAGGGCAGCAGCCTCTCCCCAGACTCTGCAAATGTCGGAGATGACGGGGCGGCCTCCACTCCTGCCCTCGGCCCCGGGAGCCCCCCCCAACTCTGCTGTCCCCCCCCCCCCCCAGGCTACCGGATTTCCTGGGAGGTTTACGGAAGGAACGACTCTCGGCTCACAGACATGCTCAACAGCACGACGCACGAGTACAAGATCCAGGGCCTGTCTTCGCTCACCACCTACACCATCGACGTGGCTGCCCTCACCGCCGTGGGCGCCGGCCTGGCCACCTCGTCCACCATTTCCTCGGGCGTGCCCCCAGGTCAGTGAGAGCAGGGCTCCGGCCCTCCTTCCCCCTGGAGTCCTGACGCTTGGAGGGCATCCGCCTGTGAGGGGGCCAGTGTCCTGCTGGACGGAGGGGTAAGCGGAGGGTGACCCGCTGCGGCCTGTTTCCCAGCGTCTTCTGACCATGACCCCCCTCTCTTCTGTGGGGGTGGGGGGTGAATCCCCTCAGGGGGCTGGGCTGGGGCCCCGCCCACCCGGGAAAGGGAACCCCACAGAAGGAATTGCAGGCCTTGTGAGAGAGGGGAAATGCCGATGTTAAAATAAAGAATAGTGTCACCAGCCGGTGTGGCTCAGCGGTGGAGCATTGACCTATGAACCAGGAGGTCACGGTTCGATTCCCGGTCAGGGCAGGTGCCCGGGTTGCAGGCTCCATCCCCAGTGCGGGGCGTGCGGGAAGCAGCTGACCTATCGTTCTCTCTCATCATTGATGCTTTTATCCCTCTCTCCCTCTCCCTTCCTCTCTTTGAAATCAACAAAAACATATTTTTGAGAAATAGTGTCAAAGACGAAGGCCAAGCCAGGAGAAAAATATTATGAGAATTTGAGTTGAGCCAAACGAATGCCATTGCCGGGAAGCAAGAGTGCAGGCGCCCGCGGAGCACGGTGTTGCAGTTGCTCCTCTGCCTTTGGAATTAAGGGGGAGCACGGGGGAGAGTCCAGGGAAGCGGAGAAAGCGGGCAGAGGTCCAGGGGCAGGCGAGTGAGCCAGACACGTGCGGGGGCCACGCCTCGGAGGGGCCCGGAAGGAGGCTCCCGCTGCCGTGGCGAAGGTGCTGACCTGGAGGCACAGAAACCACGGCGGGCGCTGGTAGGCCCTCACTAGGAGGTTACGGCGGGCGTGGCTCCCTCCTCAGCCTGCGGCCGGAGCTGATGGTCAGATCTCCTGGGAGGCTGTCTCCCAGAAGCCCCTTTTGCGGGCACAGTGGGAAGCATCCAGCTTCGTTCACTCGGGGAAACAATGGAGACGGGTTTGGGACAGGAAGCGCAGTGGGAGAAGGTGGGGAGGAAGGGGCAGGGCAGGGAGAGAGAAGGTGGGTGCAGGCCGGCGCTGGGGGTGGTGTACTGGGCGCTGGGCATGGTGCCCCCTCCCCCCCACGGCATCCCTGGCGTTGGCCGGAGGAGAGCCCAGGCGGCGGGCACGGATCTGTTGCTGTCCCTGAAGCTCACATCCTTAATGGCTGAGGGACCCTGTGCCGAACCCAGGAGCCCAGAAACGTAAAGAAGAGGCACTTGCCTTCGATGTGAACATCTGCTCGGGGTTCATTAAACTAGACATGGAAGGCACCGAGGTCCCTGCCCTCCTGGGGCAGCCCTGGCCCCGGTCACACTGGCCCACGTGCCCCGGCCAGGGCAGTAGGACGCGTCCTCAGAACGCCTTCTCTCTCCGCCCCCGGCTCCCTCCTTCCTGCCGCCCAGCCTTCTGCTCTAGCGCGTTGCCTGCGCTCCAACCTCGGGGCCGCTGTCTGCACCGCAGCTGCCACGCGGCGTGGACGCTTGGGGGGAGCCCGCCCCAGGGACTGCCGAGGGGTAGGCCCTCGTCATGGGGTGGGGGGGGGAGCCTCAGGTCACGCCTTCCCTTCATCTAGTTGCCAGAGCACCTGCACGCGGGCAGTGGGGAGAGCTCGGCACTCGCCCCTGAACCCGTCGTCTCGGAAACCAGGCCCAGGAAGCCCAGGCTCAGGGCCTGCCCAGTGCCCGGGTCAGCTGCCTGGGAACCGGGCGTGCACTCCTCTGCCCCCCGCCGGCCCCCCCCCCTCCTCCCCGCCTGCTCTCCATGGCCTCACGGTCATGATCACAGTCAGGATCCGGGAGGGGGACGTGTGCTGCTGTGTGTGCTCTGAGGCCCCGTCCTCCCTCCTTCCTCGCTCAGCGGTGTCCATTGAACAAGACGGCTGCACAGAGGTCCCCACTGAGCCTGGCGTCCCCGAGGCCGCGAGGTCTCCTGCGCCTGCCCCAGCGCCAGCGCGAGCGGGCGGCCCCGTAGAGCGGGCCGTGCTGGGCGTGTTCCCAGGGAAGCTGTGCTCCTCCCTGTTGTTTGTTTGTTGGTTTTTAAATATTTGTATTGATTTCAGAGAGGAAGGGAGAGAGAGAGGAAGGGAGAGAGAGAGGAAGGGAGAGAGAGAGGAAGGGAGAGAGAGAGGAAGGGAGAGAGAGAGGAAGGGAGAGAGATCAGTGATGAGAGAGAACCATGGGTCGGCCGCCTCCTGCGCGCCCCCCACTGAGGATGGAGCCTCCAACCTGGGCCTGTGTCTGACCGGGAATTGAACCGTGACCTCCTGGTTCATAGGTCGACGCTCACCCACTGAGCCACGCCGGCCGGGCCTCTCGTGGTTTGAAAACACGCCCTCTGTGGTAGGAAGGGGTTTGGGAGGAGCTACTCGCCGGCATGTTGCTCCGCCTCCTAAACTGGCAGAAGCTCAGTCTGTGCCGCCCTCTCCCGTTTCTCTCCAGAGCTTCCCGGCGCCCCGTCCAACCTGGTCATCTCCAACATCAGCCCTCGCTCAGCCACCCTGCAGTTCCGGCCGGGCTACGACGGGAAGACGGCCATCTCCAGGTGGCTCGTGGAGGGGCAGGTGCGCCTCTCTGACGGCCGGAGCGGGAGTCGCCGGAGAGCGGCACCGGCTCCAGGGTTTGATGGGTCCTTCCCTGCGAGCCGTCCACGGCCGGACGGAGCAGACCCTGGGCGCGTGTGGGGAGGCCCTGCTGGCAGGACCAGACACCCACGGCAGGGCGGGTGCTGGGGACAGGGTGGGGAGCTGAGGGGGACCAGCTGACAGAGGGGGGTCTCACTGGACGTGGAGGAAGTGGTGATGAGAATTACAATTCAGGCTGTGAGGGGTACCCCGAGTCTGAGAGCATCACTGACTGTTTAACTCTGGTCCCAGTCAGCTGCCATCACACCAATAGGATGGATTGTGGGTGTAACGTGTCTTAGCACATGAATGAATGAATGAATGAATGAATGAATGAATGAATGAATGAGTGCAATCCATTCAAGGTCTGTGGAGCACGCTTCCTTCCAGGAGCTTCTCTAGGCGGGAGGGATAGAGCCGTAAGCGAAGCTGACCCGTTTCTGCTGGTTAAGGGGAGATTTCTCTTGGGAGGAGGTGCGCACGGCCCCCCGCGGGCCAGCAGGAGGCGAGGCTGGAGGAGGAGAGGAGATGGGCTTGCCGCGGCCCTGGGCGCAGCTCCGAGCTGCCGGGCGCGCAGGAGAAAGCCGGGCTGTGACAAGTGGGCGTTCCCTGTGGTTCTTGTGGGCAGTGAATCGTCCTGGAGCTGCTGTGCGGCAGGTCACTCCTGGGAGCAGGACTGACCTGGGCTCTTCCCTTGCGTCCCGTTTCAGCATCAGGAGCGGCCCCGTGCTCCCGGTGAGAGGGCTTCGCTGGCTTTTGGCCTGATCTCCCCCTGAGTGTCGCTATTTACCGGAACACCGATGTTTACTGTGTTCAGTGAGTGTCCACCACGGCCGTCATTCACTGTAAACCTCACTGGCCCCTCTTGGTCAGGGCATCCCTCGGGGTCTAGGCCTCTGAGCCGAGCGTCCTAACCTTCGGTGAGCTCCTTGCTCCCGGGCACCGCGGACGGACGGCCTAGGACCACCCCCCTCCCTGCCCGGGCTCACCCCGGCCCTCCCACCAGGGCCGTGGCTGCCCCAGTGAATGGGCAGGGAAGGGGTGCTCACTGCTGCTGGCTGGCGGCTGCTTCCAGGCCTTTCCGGGGGACGGAGAGGAGAAATACGCACTTTGAAACATCATGAATTCATACTGATATTTCCAATTCAAATTTAAGGATATTTTACTTGGAGTTTATATTTTAAATACCGTTTCTCTTCACTAAAAATGTGGGTTTTTTTTAGAAATATTAGCATAATTATTATCTTTATCCGACTATTACAGAGTTTCAAAATTGTAATTTCAACGGTACCGCTAACAATGAGACCACCACATGCGGTTTAAGGGTTTGCCCTCAGCCCACGTTACATGCGATGGGCCCCCCAAACGCTGCCTGGGCAGCCTGGTCCTTCCTCGGGCGGCTGAACCTCCCAGCAGCTCCCAGAGGTCTGTGCCCTGTGGGGGGTGGTCTTGTTCTCTGGCTTCAGTCTGTAGGGAGCGCTTTCTGTGAAAAGCACCTCACTCTTTAGCACACGTTCAAACCATCTAAGTCTCCTTTCTTCCTGAGCCTGTAACTCGCTGCAGGATCCCAGCGTCACACCCATGGGAGGGCGTGTGCACAGGCGTGTCCCGTGCCCGCCGCCTCTCCTGGCCCCGTCCGGGCTGGGTCTGTCCTCTTTCCTTTTGTCACATAAGCAGCTGCAGGAACCTGCACCCTCTGACCTGGCTGGCTGGCCTCGCTCCCGGCGACACGCAGCCTGAGCTCACGGCGCGTACCCTACCCCCACCCCCACCCCCCAAGCCCCTCCTCCCTTCACAGCCGTGTGGCCTCCCTGGTGTGGCTGCGGCAGAGCCGTGTGTGGGTCTGCCTCTGCCCGTGGACATCGGATGGGCACACCTTTCCCATCGCTGCCAGGACAGATGCCAAGCCCCTGTGGCTTATACGGCACCCGCGGGTCAGCTGATGGCTCTTCCCAGGGGACGTCCGACTGGGTTTCACAGGCTGAGATCCAGGGGTGGCAGCGCTGCGCCCCTGCCTGGAGGCTCCAGAGGCGTCCCTCTCCCTGCTCACGCTGGCTGTGGTCAGAGCCACGTCCTGTGCTGGTGGGACCCAGACGGCTGTTACCCTCCCCGACTTAGCCAACAGCTTTCCTCAGCTCCCACCCCTCCCTGCACCTCTGAGCCAGCAGGGGCCAGACGGTCTCTCCCAGCTTCTCCGCCCCTCCTCCTCCCTCATCTCCCTGACCCGCCCTTCACCTCTTCCTTTTAGGGGTCCTGTAATCAGATGGCACCCCCAGATAAGGCAGGGTCACCCTGTCTCAATGTTTGTAACTTTCGTCACACCACAGGGTCCCTTTGGAAGGCAGCATGGCCCCAGGGGAGGGCGTTATTCTGCCCAGAGGTGGTCTCTGCCTTTCGCATCATCATTATTGTGTGTTTTTGCCGCTGAGTCGTTGGGATGCATTCCTAGGAGTGGGCTTGCCGGATCATGAATCAGATGTAAATGGTCTGGACCCACAGTCGCCAACCTTTGGGACCTCACGGACCACCAGTGGTCCGCGGGCCACAGGTGGGCAACCGCGGGTCTAGGCTTCACCCGGCCCACTGCTGGTTGACATTTCGCATTCTCGCTGCAGCACGTAACTGACAGCTATGCCAATGCAGCGGAGGTCAATTGACCAGTCTCCTCACGGCCCGGGGTGCTGAGCCCCAGAGGGAGGGTCCCTCCCACGCTCGACTGTAAAGGAGTCCGCCCCGCGCCCCGCGCCACACCGTGGCTTCGCCGCTGCATTCAGCTCTCCCTCCAGGGGGATCGTCCTCGTGCGTGGAGTGAGCTGTGAGCCTCTTGCATCACTTTGCAAATAGCTACGTGACTGTCCCACCGCCAGGTGCTCAGAAGTCCGTGTCCTGCCTCCTCCTGATCTGAGGAGGTTGCGTTTCCGTGTGCACGTGGGTCTGTGTCTGCACTTTCCATTCTGCTCTTAGTCTGGCTATTCGTGTGCCGGTTCCACATTGTCTAGTAGTAGAGGCTTTACCCTGTGCTGTGATCTCTGAAAGGTCTCCCCAACCCCCACCAACACATGTGCAGACACACATATGCACACAGGTGTGCACACATGTATGCTGATGTGCGTATAATCATGCACACACTCACAATCATGCAAACATGCATGTGCACACAACCATGCACATGCAGGTACATGCATGCCTGCACTCACACACATGCACTCACACTCACACACGTGCACACATGCACACACTCATGCATGTGCAAGCACACACACTTGTGCACACAGGTATGCACACAGGCACTTATGCACACACATGCATGTGCACACATGCTCCCATGTGCTGTCCTCCAGGAAGCCTCACTGAGGTCCCTGCAGCTACTTCTCCAAGAATGTCTCCGTGGCCTCCCTGGTCCCGGCAGCTCCCCTTTCCTAAACTCAGAACAGTGGGGCCCTTGAGTCTGTAACTGGTATAGATGAAGCCTTCTGGAACATTCCGCACCTAATTCCCTTTGACTGGCTGCCAGGCAAACAGGCCTCCTCTGCTGCAGTGAGACCCCGAGTTCCCTCGCCCCACCTCCCACCCGGGAAGCGGCTGTGCCCTGCTCTGAGCCAGCCACGGACTGGATGCGGAGCGCCCGTGGGTGGCGCCATTCACCCGTCAGCCACCTGAGGAGCAGGGCGATGCTGTGATCGCGGTTTGCTCAGGTGCTGGCGGGGCGCCAGGAGGGCGGGAGCTCCAGTGGCCGCAGAGGCCCATCTCCAGGTACCGCGGCGTGGCCTGGCGGGGCCACCGGGCGCCTCGCAGCCCCCACCAGGTACTCGGGCCTCAGTGTTGACTTCCGCTCCGGGACCCCCTCAGTCAGCTCTTCTGTGCACGAGGGCCCTTCAGCTCGGCCCCCCTGCAGTGCGCAGGCGCGATTACACGGAGAACTCGGCAGGTCTCACCGCGCGGAGCCATTGAGGGGCCTGCAGTACGCTGATGGGGTGCACATTGTGGAGAGCAGCTTTTATAGGTGTTTCTGGCTCAGTAATGCTTTGCTTAATTAGTCGCCTTTGACCCTGCAGTGAGCAAAACACCCCTCCCCACACTCTCTCGACGCCCATAACGGGGAGAGTGTTACTGTCCGTGTTCATCTGGCTCCCGCTGCCTGGCAGCCCGCAGACCCGCCATTCGAGGTTCTAATGGCCCGCCCTGCGCCCGGCCTCTCCAGGCTGCTCCGCGGGCGCTGGCGCTCCGGGAGCAGAGGAAACTGCTCTGAAAGGGAGAAATGAAGGGGGAAAAGCCCACTTAGTGCTCATTTGTGCGTCAGAGCAGCCCTTGGCTCGGAAGGATTTTCGGAGGGTGGTGGGCTCCGCTGGCCGGGCCCCCTCTGCCGAGGGCTGGGCTGGCAGCTAGAGCAGCGGGGGGAGCCGGCCGGGCCCGCAGGGAAGGCGCACGGGGGCCCCGCCAGGCCGTGCCCACGAGGTCCTTCGTGGTGACAGGCTCCTCCGAGAGGCCAGGGCTGCAGAGTGACGCTGTACGTCTCCCAAGTGCACTCCCCCAGGGGCCGCCCCGGCTGAGGAACAGGTCTGGCTCCTCCGTGTTCCCGAGGTCACGTTACCCGCACCCACTCCTTTCCCGGCCTGTGGCTGTGGGGTGACCACGGCGCTCGTCCCTCCGCCCTCGCTGGACGCCGCCTGCGCCCCCCGGCTGCTGGGCCGCGCTGTGCTGTTCGAGGGCTGGTTTCCTCTGGGGTGTGGGCCTGGGAAGTCTGTAGCTTTTGCGGAGCTGCTTTCGTGTCTCAGCTGAGAGCGTGTCGGGTTGTGTCTGCGTTAGTTCCTTTAGGAAGGCGCCTGCCCGCACGCATGTTTGCTGTCTGCTCCTCGTCCTCGCGCCCTTCTCCATGTCCCTAGGTCGTCTCGCATTCCTGTGCCACCCTCTGGCCCCGGCTCCCCTCCAGCCTGCTCCCTCGCAGACGTGATGAGCAGGCTCCCATGCGGTCGTGTAGGTCTGGGATGGAGTGTGGAGGCCCAGGCCCTGACTGCCAGCCTCGACGCAGCTCTTGGGGCCTGACTCCGTGCTCAGCCCCGCTCTGCACCTGTCCTCTGGTTCCCAGAGCCTCACGCCTGCCCAGGTGCCAGCGAGGCCTGGGACGGGAGGCGGGCACCTGCAGGGTGGAACTCCGAGGGTCTCTTGGCGGCCTGAGGTCACGGGTGGGCCCTGGCCTCTCCTGCTGGGTCGGCCCCGGCTCCTGCACGGCCGGGCAAGTCCTGTGGTCAGACTCTGTGGGCAGGACTAGCAGCCACTCGGGCAGCACAGGAAGTCATGAGCGTGTGGCTCGGGGCCCCACGCAGGTCGAAGGCATGAAGCCGCTTCCAGAGGCTGGATGAGGCAGAAGCAGGAGGCCCGCGGGGCACCAGGAGCTGGTCAGTGGGCTGTGTGTGTGGGAGTCACCTCTGCCGGAGGCGGCTTTCTGACCGGAAGGGCTGCCTGCCAGTCTGGCTCCGGGCAGCGGCGAGCCCTTTTCTGTGATGCCCTCCCATGGCCCAGCCTCTCTGGTGTCTCCCGTGTGTTGGGCAGAAAGGGCTGGGTGTGAGCAGGACAGACAGAGCCCTGGTCAGATGTGCTGGGAATGGTCTGGACCCTCCGTGAGGATGCTCGGCCACCGGGGTCACGTGGGGTCCTGGCCACGTCTTCTCCCACTGTCAGTTGGGAGGAAGGACAGATGGCGTGAGTCCTCTCCGCCCTGTCATTCCCAGAGGCTTCAGGTACTGACCAAGGTGGGAACAGCAGGAGCCCACGTCTCCACAGCTCGAGTGGGAGGTGTGTGTGCAGAGCGTGTGGGGCCCCGGGGGGCTTGTCCAGCCCCACCCACCGTGGCCTCTGCCCTGCGGCTGTCCAGCAGTCCCAGGAGGTCCCTCTCCACAGGTGGGAGCCATTGGTGACGAGGAAGAGTGGGTCAGCCTGTACGAGGAGGAGAATGAGCCTGATGCCCAGACACTGGAGATCCCAAACCTCACACCCTACACTCATTACAGGTGAGACGTGCGGCCCTCCAGCAGGGGGCACGGTCTGCACGTCGGTGCATGTGAGATGCCTCTAAGGGGCAAGAATGGAAAACGGAAGCTGCGGGAGCAAGGTGCACAGTTGAGTCTTTCCCAGGGAGGTCTGTCCCCGATGCCAGACTGACAGTGACCCTTCCGTCCACCCAGCTGGCAGGGCGCCCTGTCGAGACGGCTCACTGTGTGCAGTCAAACACGAGCTACTTTTCATTTAAAATTGTTTTAATTTTTTTTATTAATTTCAGAGAGGAAGGAAGTGGGAGAGAGAGATAGAATCATCAATGATGAGAGAGAATCATTGATCAGCTGCCTCCTGCACGCCCCCCCAATGGGGATGGAGCCTGCACCCCGGGCATGTGCCCTGACTGGGGATCAAACTGTGACCTCCTGGTTCATAGGTCGATGCTCAACCCCTGAGCCACACCGGCCAGGCATGTGCTGCTTTTCTTTACAAAACTCCTGGTCATGTGGGACATGCCGCTGCTCCCCCTCGGCCAGGGGCTGCCGGTCTCACTGATCAGCACTTAACGTGCCATTTCACCTTCTGCTTCTCGACCCTGAAACAGTGCGGGCGTAAATCCTTGGCCTTCGAGAAGGGCAGCGTGATGATGAGCTGTTAGCGAGGTTATAACTTCCCGTAAGATGATCGAGGGCGATGCAATTTCCCGTTATCGCCGCGGGGGCAGCTGGATGGTGCCATTGTCCTGCCAGGACGAGCATCTCCGCAGCTGGGGAGGGAGCAGGGACGGCGTCCTTGCAAAGAACACTTCTCGGTCCAGCAGCAAAGTCAGGCTCCAAACAAAAACCCAGCAGGAGCGACTGCTCAGCGCCTGTTCCCTTTAACCTTCCCTGAGATGGGAGCGGACGATTCAGGATGCCACACACTCGTTTTTAGAGACAACATTGAGCGTGAGACCAGCCATCGGGATTCACGACTTCCCTCGTGAAATCGGTGTCGGCCACGTGGTGATTTCCAAGATCAGAAGCTGCAGTCAGAGCCCGGCCAGTGTGGCGCAGTGGGTGGAGCATTGTCCCACGCCCCGAGAGGTTGCTGGGTCAGTTCCTGGGGAGGACTTGCCCGGGTTGCAGGCTTGGTCCCCATTTAGGATGGTGCAGGAGGCAGCGATCGATGTTTCTCTCTCATCGATGTTTCCGTCTCTCTCTGCCTCTCCCTCTCTCTCTAAAATCCAGAAAAACATTTTTAAAAAAGAAGCTGCCGTTAGAGACCCGTGTCCCTGTCTCAGCTGCGTGTAAAGTTAGGAAGCCTCTGTAGGTAACAAGGACGTGTGTGCACATCAGATGTTTTCCTTGTGTCTAAGTTCGGTTCACAAAGGGGTGGATCTAAATGCAGGAGAGACAGGGCTGAGGACATGGACACGGGCTGAGAGAACACCTGACTCCACCCTCACCCTGCAGACCGGGGATGACCGGTCGAACCCGGCGTTCTCACCCAAATTGGCGGGAATGGGCCGCGGGGCCCTGGGTCATCGAAGAGACATTGGACGTTCAGAGCTGGCGCTGGGTGTGACAATCTGACGCTCCATCTGTTCAACAGCTGCTTGAACTCCGAGCCCCTGCACCAGCCACTGGCAGCTGGCGGCACACATCCCTAGCCACGGAACCCACCCAGTCACGCTTCTCAGGGAACTTTAAACCGCTGATTTGCAGATTACCATGCTTTGAGGTCTTTCAGGGAAAAAGACCAGATATGTAATTTGCATTTTTAAAATATTTTTATTATAGAATAATGCATAGTCATTAGGGTCAACAATCAATTTTTTGTTGTTAATCCTCCCCCGAGGATATTTTTCCATTGATTTTTAGAGAGAGTGGAAGGGAGGGGGAGAGAGAGAAACATCAATGTGAGAGAGACACACCGATTTGATTGCTTCCTGCACATGCCCTCACGGGGCTGGGGATGGAGCCTGCAACCGAGGTATATGCCCTTGACCAGAATCGAACCCGTGACCCTTCAGTCTGAGGGCCGATGCTCTACCCACTGAGCCAAACCGGCTAAGGCTATAATTTGCATTTATAATGAAACCAGGTAGAGAGAGGGCGCCCTTGAGCATGGGCCTAGGATACAGTTAGACACATGCCTGGGCCCCCCCAAGCAGCCTGGGGGTCCTCCTGGTTCCTCTGTCCCCCACACTGCCCTCTGCTCTCACTGTTGTGCCCCCAGGTTCCGGATGAGGCAGGAGAACGTGGTAGGGGCCAGCCCCTTCAGCCAGTCCTCCCGGGTCATCCAGACGCTGCAGGCCCCCCCGGACGTGGCTCCGTCCAGCGTCACCGTCCGGACCGCCAGCGAGACCAGCCTGCGGCTGCGCTGGGTGGTGAGTTGGGTGGCGAGAGGCTGCAGGCGGGGGTCTGGGGCCCCCAAGGGCACGCATGCACCCAGGGCTTGGTCTCTCTGCCCTGCCTTTGTCCCGGTCCAGACCTATCTCCTGGTGAAGCCGCAAGGTGCTACCCGCCTGGCTCTGTTAATCGGGGCGCTCCTCACGGCGCCTGGAGCCGAGCGGCGGCCTGGGGAGGAGCCCACACGGGGCGGGCTGTGCGCCCTGGGTCTGGGCCACACAGAACCGTTTGTAAGGGCGCCAGCTTGACATTCCATCGGAACATCCCCCCAAAACGAAGCCAGGATGTGGTCAGAGAAATCAGGTCTGGCCAGGTTCAAAGAGGGAAGTTCCAGGGACCCGTGTTTTGAGCACATCCCCCCAGAAAAGGTTGTCCAGGGACTTGGCCCATAAGACAGGCCCACCCGGGGCCACGGCAGGGAGGGGGCTGAGACGTCAGCTCACACGGACTGTCCCCCAGCCCCTGCCCGATTCCCAGTACAATGGGAACCCCGAGTCGGTGGGCTACAGGGTCAAGTACTGGCGCCCGGACCTGCGGGCCCCCGCGCGGGCGCACGTCGTCAGCGACCGGCTGGAGAGGGAGCTGACCATCGAGGAGCTGGAGGAGTGGACGGAGTACGAGGTGCAGGTGCAGGCCTTCAACGCCATCGGGGCCGGGCCCTGGAGCGAGGTGGTGCGCGGCCGCACGCGGGAGTCAGGTGAGGGGAGGCCAGGCCCGGGCCACGCGGCCTCCCAGGTGGAGCTGAGCCCACTCTCACTGCCCCCCCAGAGTAGAGCTGACCCCCACCCTCACTGCCCCCCAGGGTGGAGCTGACCCCCACCCTCACTGCCCCCCAGAGTAGAGCTGACCCCCACCCTTACTGCCCCCCCAGGGTGGAGCTGACCCCCACCCTCACTGCCCCCCGGAGTAGAGCTGACCCCCACCCTCACTGCCCCCCCCAGGGTGGAGCTGACCCCCACCCTCACTGCCCCCCCCAGGGTGGAGCTGACCCCCACCCTCACTGCCCCCCGGAGTAGAGCTGACCCCCACCCTCACTGCCCCCCCCAGGGTGGAGCTGACCCCCACCCTCACTGCCCCCCGGAGTAGAGCTGACCCCCACCCTCACTGCCCCCCAGAGTAGAGCTGACCCCCACCCTCACTGCCCCCCCCAGGGTGGAGCTGACCCCCCACCCTCACTGCCCCCCAGAGTAGAGCTGACCCCCACCCTCACTGCCCCCCCCAGGGTGGAGCTGACCCCCACCCTCACTGCCCCCCAGAGTAGAGCTGACCCCCACCCTCACTGGCCCCCCCAGGGTGGAGCTGACCCCCACCCTCACTGCCCCCCCAGGATGGAGCTGATCCCCACCCTCACTAGCCCTTTGGTGCCTCGTCTCAATGTGTTGCCAGGACCGTCCATCTCCAGGGTGACCTTCCTTAGAGCCCACGGCATTCGCGAGCCACGGTGAATTCCACGGGAGCTGGACTCCGTGGTCACTCTCAGTTAGGGGTCACTTCACCGTCAGTGGGGAAAAGCACGAGTCGGGAGTCTAAGGGACCCTCGTGGTGCAGGGCACCAGCTTTCGGACGAGGCAGGTGTCAGGTGGTCAGCCCGTCCCACCGCGCTAGCGAGGCAGGATGCGACTGGGCTGGGGCTCGCAGGACAGGCCTCCCGCCGCCCGCCAGCCTCCTCCCTCCTCCCCACTCCCGGCTCACCCTGTTCGCACCCGGGCACAAGCAGGTGCGGCCTGGCCTGGCCGTGTCAGGAGGCACCTGCAGGCTGTGGGACAGCTCGACCTGGACCTGTCCACTCGGTCACGCGCTCCACGCTGGCGTTCCCGCAGGAGCTCAGCTGTGGGCTGGGCTGGCGGGGGCTCCATGTCCTCCTGGTCCCCTCTGGGGGGCGGGAACAGCCGCTGGAGAACCAGCGAGTGTCAGGCAGGAGCGGTGAGCGAGCAGGGTCCTGGGCCTGCGCGACACACGGATAGCGGGGCACAGGCCGAGGTGACGGCATCAGCTGCCGGAGGACCGCGTGCGGCGATGGGGACCCGGAGCGGCCGGGGCCGCGTCCTTCCGGGCGGCGGAGTTCCTTGCGTCAGAAGGAGAGGGAGGTGCGGAGGCTGCTGTGCCTGCGCCACCACAGGACGCAGACGCTCTGCGATCCTCCGAACCGGACTCCGCGACACGGGAGAGACCCTGCCAGTCCTGCGGGCAGTTCTGGGCGCAGGAACGGGCAGGTGGATAACACGGCCCGTGCTCAGCTCCGGGGGAGGCTGGGTTCGGGGGTGTCTGGGCGCAGGTCAGGTGACAGGGTCGTCAATCCCCGCTTCCCGGCCTGGCGATTCCGCTGCCAGTTGCTTCATGCTGGGAAGGGGTCCTCAGGGCCCTCCTGGCCTGACCCCCCCTCAGGGCCCTCCTGGAATGACCCCCCAGGGCCCTCCTGGGCTGACCCCTCCTCAGGGCCCTCCTGGGCTGACCCCCAGGGCCCTCCTAGAATGACCCCCCCTCAGGGCCCTCCTGGAATGACCCCCCCTCAGGGCCCTCCTGGAATGACCCCCCAGGGCCCTCCTGGGCTGACCCCCCAGGGCCCTCCTGGGCTGACCCCCCCTCAGGGCCCTCCTGGAATGACCCCCCAGGGCCCTGGTGCCCAGCTGTCAGTGCCATCAGAGCCATCCCACCCCCTGCAGTGCTGGTCCTGTGGGGCCTCAGAGTCTCCTCTTCTGAATGGAGCTTCCAGAACCTTCTGCGGCAGGAGCTGCCCTCTGAGCCGCAGTCCTCCCGGCGCAGCAGGTCTGACGTCCTGCCCTCCCTGTCCTGCTGGTGTCCACGCCGACCGTCCCCAGCACAGCCCGTCCTGCAGAGCTGGTCCCGCAGGCCCTCCCTGTGTTTGAGGAGCGGGTGCAGCAGGCAGGGGTGAAGGGTGGAGGGAGCCGATGGGGAGGGGGGAACTAAGGGGGGGGGGGCGCCTCGGGAAGATAGCGACAGCGGGTGCGTGACCCGAGCCCGAGGCCGGGCTGGGACCGGGCGGGACCTGGAGCAGCACGAGGAGCCCCTGAGCTGGAGCCGGCAGCTCTGCGCCCGCTGCTCTCATGGCCCCTCAGGACGCGTGACGGGATAAATGAGGCCTTAAAACTCAGAAGAGGCTGCGCCAGGAGTGGCAGCCGCCCGGCGCCGGGACTCCTCCCGTGGCGACGAGCACGAACAGGAGGACCCTGCGCTTCGTGGTGTTTCTGCAAAGCGGGCTCTGAGGCTCCCGACTGACGCTGTCAGGGCCAGAGGAGCGGAGTCCGCCTCCGGTCGGTGACGGGTGTGAGTCCTCCCACTTCTCAAACGGGAACACTGTGACTGCTCGGCAGGGTTTGTGCTGGAAGAACCAGAATCGGCTGAAACACTCCTTCTGCCGCGTGTCCTCTGCGCCCCAGGGGGGAGCCCCGCCTGGACCGCTGGGTCACCCCTGCCCTCGTGCCAGGCGTGGGTGCCCACAGGAGACTGGTGCCCACAGGAGACTGATGCCCGGAGGATACGGGTGCCCGCAGGAGACGGGTGCCCACAGGAGATAGATGCCCGCAGGAGACGGGTGCCCGCAGGAGGCCGGTGCCCGCAGGAGACGGGTGCCCGCAGGAGACAGGTGCCCGCAGGAGACAGATGATGCCCGCAGGAGACAGGGGCCCACAGGAGACGGGTGCCCGCAGGAGACAGATGCCCGCATCACCACGTCACAGAGGGCCCGTCACCACCTGCAGACCTCAGTTCAAAGCCGGACCTGCGGGGCCCAGCTAGGGGTCTGAGAGGTGGCTGGTGCATTGCTATGGCAACGCCCCCCTTTCCTAGGCAGGGCAGTCAGGGCTAGGGCTGACATCGGGCACACAGCGGGGCTGGCTCTGCTCTCGTCCTGATCAAGTCGGAAACTGACTCGAACAGAGCGTCGCTCGCCTCTCCTTTCACCGCCAGTGACTCCTCCAGCCTCGGCTCTGGCAGAACCACAGCCTGGTCCAACAGAACCAGAACCTGCTCGAGATGCCAGTTACCCCGCCGCTCCCGCAGCCGCCTGTGTGAGCCGTGTCGCGGGCACTGCCGCGGTGGACCTGAGGGCGGCACGGGAGCAGCGCGGGGCACGGCGCCCCGGGGACGGCACTGGGAGGGCGGCGGGCGCGGCAGCAGCCTCCCCTAGGGGCCGAGTGAACTGAGGCTGTAAATACCCCGAGGCCCTGAGGAGCTCCCACCGATCATGTGGTCGCACAGCCGAGGGACAATGAGCGGCTCCGGTGACGTCCAGGACAGGTGTGCCCACCGGTGCCCGCGACCACGTGGTCTCTCCAGCTCAGAGGGGCCCGAGCTCCGGGCACTGGCAGGCGCCGTGCCTTCCGTCCTGTGGCCACACGGTGACCTTCACCGCGGCAGCCGAGCCTGCGCTCTGAGGACTGTCAACTCGTCGGTAGAGAAGGGAGAGGCAGGGAGAAGCCGCTGCCACCAGGACGCCCTCTAGGACTTCCCCTCTGCTGCAGACGCCCCGCCCCAGGCTCAGTGTCCCCGCAGCTGGTCCTCTTAGGCTGTGGGCCCGCCTGCCTGTCTCCCGCAGCCTCTGCAGGACCTGCCGGCGCGGAGTGGCCTGGTCAAACCTGCCCAGAACCTCCTGACACCCCGGCCGGACCCCTTGGCGCCCCGGCAGAACCTGCTCTGGCAGAACCACAGCCTGGTCTAACAGAACCAGAACCTGCTCTAGCAGAACCACAGCCTGGTCTAACAGAACCAGAACCTGCTCATGCAGAACCACAGCCTGGTCTAACAGAACCACAGCCTGGTCTAACAGAACCAGAACCTGCTCTAGCAGAACCACAGCCTAGTCTAGCAGAACCACAGCCTGGTCTAACAGAACCAGAACCTACTCTAGCAGAACCACAGCCTGGTCTAGCAGAACCACAGTCTGGTCTAACAGAACCACAGTCTGGTCTAACAGAACCAGAACCTGCTCTTGGCAGAACCAGAGCCTAGTCTAGCAGAACCTCTCAGTGTCCTAGCGGAACCTCCCATGTACACGTGTCAGGGACAGACAGTGCAGCTGCGCCCCATCTGTCCGTCACGCTGTGAAAAAGCATCTCATTCACGTGGCGTGTAGGCCGGTTTCTCTGGCTTAGGCTTCCCTCTGCGGAGCCGCGTGTAGCACGGCCCACCTGGGCTGTTGTGGGGATTAGCTGTGAGGTGCAGATCGTGTGTCTCCTCCCTGGAACCCCACTGTCCCCTCACAAAACGCCATGTTTATAGAGGTCAGTGCACAGGGGCTGGAAGCGAGAATTTCCCATGAGAGATGGAAGCCCGCAGCCCGCCTGTCAAGAGGAAAGCAGACCCTTCACTTCCTTGCGGGGGGGGGGGGGGGGGTGCGGCGGGGGGGCTCGGATGGGGCTGAGCTCCTAAACACCAGGGCTTACAGTGTCCGCTGCTCACACGAAAGACATTTGCATTTCCGTCCATCCCTGCGGTTTCATCTGCTCACTCACAATGCCCAGAATGCATTGTGCTTCCATGGGCAACCGATATTTGGGTAGAAACGGGCCCTTTACTTGTCGAGGCCTTTAGGCTCTGCTTCTAATCTGTTCCACTCTCTTCACAGTCCCCTCGGCCGCCCCTGGGAACGTGTCCGCCGTGGCGGTCAGCTCGACCCAGATCCTGCTGACATGGGCCTCGGTGCCCGAGCAGGACCAGAACGGCCTGATCCTGGGCTACAAGGTATGTGAGAGGCGACCTCGCTTTGCTCAAGACACACGGCTGCCACCCCTGCCCCGCCCTGACCAGCGCGGTTCCGGTCTCTGAGGGGCACAGCTCAGCTGCTCCCTGCTCCCTGCTCCCTGCTCTTCAGCTCGCTTGTCCCATGTGAGATTGTCACGGCCTGGGACTCAGTGCTGGCGTCGCCCTTAACAAAGCCAGACCGGGCGCAGAGCCTGTTCGCACAGGAGCCGCGCTCGTGAGGGTTAGATAAATGCCAGCGTCCTGGCCATCCTCCACCTGACACCTCCGCTTCCCTGGAGTCCGCGTGACACGCGTTCACCCGGGCCCTCAAAACGCACTCCCTGCCTGACCCTGCACCTCCCTCCCTCAGCCTCCCCAGGCATTGCCGCTGGCTGCTCGCCCGGCCCCATGAGACAGGGTGACTCCGTTAGGCCTGGTGATCACACAGAGTGGGGTCAGCGATCAATGTCTCCCCCGCTTCTCCACTCCCCCCCCCACCCCCACCCCCGGTCCTGAAGGAGATGCTTCTGCCCGGCCCTTGCTCCCTCCCCGGGCCTGCCTGGTAAGCCTCGGTCACTGTGTGAGCCCGGGTTCCGGGGCAGAGGGGCCCCTCCTGAGACCGCAGCCCAGCCTCCCAGTCAGCGGAGCCTGGGCAGGGGTTGCCCCTGTGTCCACCATGGAGTCCTCGGTCAGCGGCTGTGGTCAGCGTGGCCGCCTTTGGTGGCCTCAGACCTTGCAAATTACGGCGAGGCAGCCAGCCAGCAGCCCTGGGCCGGGTCCCAGCTCCAGTGTCCTTCCACTCGGGTACAAGCGCTTCATCGCCATCCCCCCCGGCGCCAGCCAGTAGCAGTCAGACTCATGAGCCGTCAGCCGGCTGCCGGGGCACCAAACGCCCTGGCGGGTCCTAGCGCCGCGGTCGGCCGTGCTGCCAGGCCCCTGCCCGGCGCCCGCGCCCTCACGCCCCCCCCCCCCGCCCACGTCCTCACGCCCACCCCCGGCGCCCGCGCCCTCACGCCCACCACCCCCCCCCCCGGCGCCCACGTCCTCACGCCCCCCCCCCCCCCGCTATGTCGCCACTTCAGATCCTGTTCCGGGCCAGAGACCTGGACCCCGAGCCCAGCAGCCACGTGGTGCGCGGCAACCACACGCAGTCGGCGCTCCTGACCGGCCTGCGCAAGTTCGTGCTGTACGAGCTGCAGGTGCTGGCGTTCACGCGCATCGGCAACGGGGTGGCCAGCGCGCCGCTGGTCCTGGAGCGGACCAAGGACGACGGTACGTGTCGGTGCGCCTCCCCCCCCAGAGAAGCAGCCTCTGACCGTGTCCCCTCCCACAGCCGCTCCTCCCCGGGAGGATGGACGGATGGACAGCCAGGCCGACGGCAGCCCATCCTCGGCCAGGTGTGACCACAGCCCCCCACCCCCCAGGAAGCACGGGGACAGTGACGGCCCAGCAGACCATGTGGGCCGGTGTCATTTCCAACTCGGTTCCCGACCACTGCTCTTTCCAGTGGAGGAAGACGACACAGAATTGCCTGTCAGGCGCAGAGCAGCTGGAGGGCCAGTTGCAGCGGGAGTGGGTTGTTACGGCCAGCTATGAGCCTGCGCCGGGTTTCCGTGGTAACTGCAGCAAGCGGGCAGGAAAGGCCGCCCCGGTAGGGTCTGCACCGTCCAGTCACTGCTGCCCAGGTGCCCGGGGTCCTGGTGCCCACGACCCTCCTTTGCATAATCTGAGGTCATTGACCTGCACGTGGAGCGGCCGCTCGGGGCCCCGGCACCCAGCGCGCTTTTCCAGACCTGCACCCAGGAGCGGGCGGCTTGTGTTCATGGGCGTCTCGCTCGGCAGTGAGCAGTCGCCCTCTTTGCAGGGCCCTGCGCCTGCAGGCGGCTGCTTCCCACCCTCACGCACATGCCTGATGCCTGTCCGAGGGAGGCCCTGGTCTGCCAGGCCTCCCGCCCGCAGCAGCTGCGGAGGAAAAAACAACGTAGATTTCCTTTTTCTTCTTTTTTAATATATATATGTTTTATTTCAGATTAAGGAGGGAGAGAGAAACATCAATGATGAGAGAGAATCATGGATCAGCTGCCTCCTGCACGCCCCACACTGGCGATGGAGCCCACAACCTGGGCCTGTGCCCTGACTGGGAATTGAACCCTGACCTCCCAGTTCATAGGTCGACGCTCAGCCACGGAGCCCCGCCGGCCGGGCCCTGGCCGAGTGGGCCGTCCCGCTGCTCCCGCCGGGCAGGGGTAGATTCCCTTAAACATCTTCGCCAACGAAATGAAATCAGTCCCCAGATGTCCTTCCCGCGCTCCCCTGGGGGGGCACTGTGGCCTCACCTGGCAGGGACGGCTGCCGTCGGCCTGTCTGTCCGTCCTCCCGGAGCGCAGCGTCCCGGCAGCTGTGGACGGGAGGGGACACGTGTCCCGAGGCTGTTTCTCTGAACTGTACGCAGCCCTCGTGCGTCCCAGGCTGCACAGTTAGACCGGGGGGGGGGGGGGGGGAGGCCTTAGAAACGGCCCTAAAGCTCAGTCGGTCGGAACGGTTTCTCCCTGGAGCGAAGGCCGGCCTGTGCCCAGTGACACTCTCCCCTGGGACGGCACAGGGACCGAAGCCACAGGAGACGCGTCGGGCTGGGGCGTGTGTGGCTCCTCCCAGTGTGTGAGCCATAGCCGCCTCCCCACACTTGTTTTACCCACGCCCACGGGTCATCACACATTGAAAATATCAAATACCATCCTCAGCTGAGTGGCTCAGGCAGACGCCGCGGCCCAGGATTCCTGGCACAAGGCACTTAGTATTGATCACACCGCCCACCGCCCCTCCCGGAACCCGCCGGAACAGCAGGACGTCCTGAGAGCGGCCAAGTCCATAACCCTGCCTCTGGGGGCCCCACTGCATCCTGCTGTCCCCATCGCTGGCGCACCGTGCAGCAGGCCCCAGCAGGACCTACTGCGTGCACCGTGCATGGCCACAGCAGGACCTACTGCGCGCACCGTGCAGCAGGCCCCAGCAGGACCTACTGCGTGCACCGTGCAGCAGGCCCCAGCAGGACCTACTGCGTGTACCGTGCAGCAGGCCACAGCAGGACCTACTGTGTGCACTGTGCATGGCCACAGCAGGACCTACTGCGTGTACCGTGCATGGCCACAGCAGGACCTACTGCGTGCACTGTGCAGCAGGCCACAGCAGGACCTACTGCGTGCACCGTGCAGCAGGCCACAGCAGGACCTACTGCGTGCACCGTGTAGCAGGCCACAGCAGGACCTACTGCATACACTGTGCATGGCCACAGCAGGACCTACTGCGTGCACCGTGCATGGCCACAGCAGGACCTACTGTGTGCACCGTGCAGCAGGCCACAGCAGGACCTACTGCGTGCACCGTGCAGCAGGCCACAGCAGGACCTACTGCGTGCACCGTGCAGCAGGCCACAGCAGGACCTACTGCGTGCACCGTGCATGGCCACAGCAGGACCTACTGCGCGCACCATGCAGCAGGCCACAGCAGGACCTACTGCATGCACCGTGCATGGCCACAGCAGGACCTACTGCGCGCACCGTGCATGGCCACAGCAGGACCTACTGCGCGCACCATGCAGCAGGCCACAGCAGGACCTACTGCATGCACCGTGCATGGCCACAGCAGGACCTACTGCGTGCACCGTGCATGGCCACCCTCTGGGACAGGGCATGACTGTACACATGGCATTTTGTCCATGTTTGTCACCTCCGTATGAGTTGGGAGTGGCTTTCGAATTCTTGCTTCTCTGACACCTGCCTTGCAGCTGTCAAGCCCAGAAAAGAACTCGGCTCCGATTGGTGAAATGTTGTTATTGAATGTGTGGGGGCAGCGTTGGTCAATGACAGTATGTAGTTTTTAGGAGAATAGGCTTGTAGTTCAACACCCAAATGCTAGTTCCCTTCACTGCCATGTCCATGACCCCCAACACCCACTGCCCCCTTCCCCTCCTCCCTAGCCCTCACCTTGACACCCACGCCAGGCCCCCAGTGGCTGGTCTGGCCACGCGGCTCCCAGCCTGGCTGAGCACCACAAAACAGGCGGCTGATGGAAGCGGGTTTCTCAGAACCACTGGGGAGTCACGCAGAGACCTCAGGTCCCAAAGCCATTCGCCCGAACTTGGCATGTCCCCCACGAACAGTGTCACGGTGCAGTGACTGTGTGTCCAGTTCCCAGACCCGCACGGACCGTGTCGGGCCCAGACAGCATCGTCGGGCGCCCGGCTCACGAGACTTCCTTTGCCTCCAGCCCCAGGCCCCCCGGTGAGGCTGGTGTTCCCGGAAGTGAGGCTCACGTCGGTGCGGATTGTGTGGCAGCCGCCGGAGGAGCCCAACGGCATCATCCTGGGTAAGGGCGCGGGGGCGGGGGGGGGGGGGCGGGGGGGGACATGGGGGCAGGGGGCGAGGTACCAGGGGGCGGGGGGCGGGGTAGCGGGGGGGTTGGGGCGGGGAGTGCGGGGGTGCAGGCACGGCTCAGAGAAGTAGCAGGTAGGTGCCATCATCTAGTTCCATCGCGTGGGGAGGCTCCCATCTCCAGCACCTGGCGTGTCCTGGACTGAGAGGGTGACCCCGCGTCTGAGCTGTGAGCTAAGGTTACTCGATAGGTCGAAGTTCATGGGTGGTGCTCCCAGAACTCCTGCCGGGCGTGGGGTTCGCAGCAGAGCCCCCGTGACTGCGCCGTCCTCTCCGAGGTGGCCGGCTCTCCCGAGGACGGGTGCTTGGAAACCGCTCGTTCCCCCGGGACCCAGTTCCCGGCCGTTCCCTCCCCGCCCCCCCAGCTCCCCCCCCCCCCCACACCGCAGCCGCACCGTCCCTGGAAGAAGGGGCAAGCGCCGAACGCCATGGCCCCGGGAGAGCTTGCTTTCATCTGTGTCAGCGCTCTGCTCGCAGTGGCACAGGCCACAATGTCTCCTGCTTCCCTGAAGGCAGCGAGTTTCACTTTAAAAAACCACCAGTTCCTTTATCTAGTCCCTTCACCGGGACAGATTACGGCCTCTACTTGCCGGTGTCACCTGCGCCGTGAGGAGTAAGCGGGGAGGAGGATGCACCATCATAGAGACGCTCACGGAGCGGCAGAAAAACAGCCTCACCCGGGGGACAGGTGGCAGGGGCGGTCACAAGGTGGCGGGGGAGGTCACAGGGTGGCGGGGGCGGTCACAGGGTGATGGGGGAGGTCACGGGGCCCCCGGGCTGGGCTCTCAGTGGAGGGAAGGCTGTTTGGCTGGACCCTCGGAGCCTGGGGAGCAGGGAGGGTGGGGGCACTCGGCCACAAGGGGCCTTGTCCCGGGGCTGCTCTGTGTCCCGTGTGCTTTGAACCCTGCGTCCCGGATAGGCCGGTGGTGGGCAGGGGAGGCTGTGGACGCAGAGGCCACGCCGCCCGGGCCCGGCCTTCGCGCAGGGATCGGCCTCTTGTGCCTCAGTTTCCCCTCCCTCAGAAGGGACATGTCCCTCCCAGGCTAGTGGGCTGAGCAGGAAGAACTGGGGCAGCGCCTGCCTCACCCACGTGCCCAGTGACGTTCCCACAACATCGGTGTCCCCTCACTTCTCCGGACAGAGACGCTGCTGGATGGCGGCGGGCCGACAGCGCAGCCTCCACCGCTAGTCACGGGGGTGGGGGGGCTGCCTGGACCGTCCCCGTTGTCCCCAGCTCTGGCTCCGGGACAGAGTTCATGCTGGACAGACAAGCAAAGCCTGAGCCAGCGCCTGGGCCGCTGAGAGGGCCTCGGTGCGCTGAGAAGCTGCTTGGTCTGTGGTCCGAGCCTAGCAACCGCGGCGAACAGCGCTGGGTGAGACACGCCGTGTCCCCGTCACGGAGAGCGGCCCGCCCGCCGCTTTTGTTGAGATGCAGCTGCGGGTCAGTGTCACGGAGGCCGGTCACCGTCACACGCCAGCTGCAGGCGCGGAGGCCGTTCCGGAGGCTCGGGTCAGGGTTCACGGAGGAGAAGCAACCGTCTCTGCGAGGCCCCGACCCCCGAGACGCAAGGCCGCTCCGCTCTGGCCCTGGGAGAGTGTAAACACGGCTGCCCGGGCTGTGATCTAGATCAAACGTGCTCCTGCATTTCCCACGGAGATTAACCGGCAGCCCGCAGCGCCTGCAGGGAAAACATCGGGTATTTGCATAAACATTTACTGGGCGCTTCCAGCGTTTAGAGCCTTCCTCTGGGGACGCGGCTGCTCCGGCCTCCTGGCCTCCCTGCCTCCCTTGCCGACGCCCTTAAGTGCTCCTGAGCTGCAGTGAAGCGTGTGCCCCTCAGGCCCACGCGGGGCTGCCCCACCTCAAGCGCCAGAATCTCCCACCCACCTGCGAGCGCCTGGCATTTGCCTCTGGCTCATCGGGAAGGGCGTGCCAGGGCCCGCTGGGGATCAGGAGCAGTGCGTGTGAGCGTCTGCCAACACAGTCAGAACCCAGTCGGACTGCCTGCTCCCAGCCCCCGATGGACAAGCTGTGAAACCAACAGGACACACAGCCCCTGGACCAGGCTGGCACGGGCCTCGCGGGGCGACTCAGCTGCTCTGGGTTCCCTGAGCAACGAACAGGTGTTGGGGGGCCGTCACCACTCACATCCCAACAGTGGCTACGGACGGGGTCAGGCCGCACCAGGCCCCCGAACCGGAGCGTCCGGGCCCCGTGATGCATCACAGAGCAGGCGACGCTCAGAGCGATGCCGGTGGGTTGCCCAGGAAACAGCCCAAAAAAAGGCCTGCAGCACAGGACTCGCCACAGGATGAGGTGTCTGCCTAAGTCACCCCCCGACCAGGCAGCTGAGACCCCCCCACCCCCCGCCACATCCCATCTCGGCCTCTCTTCCTGTTTGCCTCACCGTGAATGGTTCTGGAGCTCTCCGGGGCGCTCCAGGCTGTCGGCCAGTGCCAGGAGGAGCAGAGGCCGGAATGGGAGCCGTGGAGGCTGCGTGAAGATGGTGCTGCCGGTGCAACACAGGCCACCGAGCCGCAGGCGCAGGGCCGCTGGGGGCGCAGCAGCTGGCGGGAGGAGGTACAGCAACATCACAGCCCAGGCGCTGACCAACCAGGACCCCCAACGCCCCGCTGACCAGCCAGGACCCCCAACACCCTGGGACCCATAGCAGCCGCAGAGGCATTTCCCGCCGCCCCGTCGCAGTCTGATAAGCCAAGGCTCTGAGAGCGCGGTGCCCAGCGAAGCACCTGCAGAGCCGGGAGGCAGCCGGGATGTGGCCTCAGCACGGGCATCCCGCCTGGCCTGCTGGGAAAAGCGCTCCGAGGTGGTGTCAGGCTGGCGGCCTAGCGGAACTAGGTCTAGCAAGGGGCCCCCTTTGCTGGAAGACTGAGGTGGGTTCCTCCTCACGGAGCTCGTGGCTGTGGAAAGTGAAAGCTATGCAGCCAGGCAGACCCAGGGCCCAGCCCGGCTCTGCGGGGGGCATGCTGTGCGACCTCGGGCAGACCTCCACCCTCTCTGAGCTCTCCTGCCCCCGGGCGGCTGAGGATGAGCTGCCTGCTGAGACCTCTGCGAGGTCTGGGGACGAGGACTGTCGGGCGTCTCGCGGGAAAAGCTGCCCCCGTGGCTGCGGTGGCCACGCTGTCCTGGTGTTCGGGACGCTGGGCGTCTGGGCATCAGGAGGCTGGGCTGGTCCCCACGGCGCCGGAACTCCAGGCTCCCGCCACAACCAGGCAGGACGGAGAGGTGGGAGGGAAGGTCCGGAGGAGAGCCGCTGGGTCAGTGCGTGGGGAAGCGTGACATCTAGCCGGACACCCAGGCCTCAGGCCGAGGCCAGCGGGGCCACACCCAGACCAGGGCCAGCGGGTCACCACGGCCCAGAGGACAGACCGCCATCAGAGGCAGAGCAGCCACCGCAGGGGTCACTCAGGGCCGGGCCCAGGGCCCTACGGACACCTGTGAGCAGTGACGATCATCGTGCTGCCCGTCTGTGTGGCCAGCAGTCACCAGCAGTGGTTGGCCCAAATGCGAGGAGGGCACGCCACCTCTGAGCCCTGCGCCTGGCCTGGCCTGGCCTCCCGCACGCGGGTCAGGGCCTCGTATGGATGGACAGACGACAAAGCAGAGCCGGGAGGGGGCCAGTGAGCGGGGTCACCTGGAGCCGGAGGCCGCGCCAGCGGGAAGACGGGAGCAGAGAGGGTGGGGCGGGCGGCCGGGCGGAATGACCGTGGCCCGAGTGCAGCAGCGTAAGGACGGTCAGCTCTGCCGGCCGGTGTCCCCAGAGCTCCGTCCACGTGACGGCTTGGCCATCGTTATGCTGCGGATGCCAGCGCCCTCCGCTCCGCTCTGGAGCAGCAGGGGCGGCGGCTGGACCGAGGGCTGGGTCTGCCGGCGGCACGGCCTCAGATGCGGGCGGGGCCTCGGCGGGCTGGGCGAGGGCTTGATCGGGAGTGACCCTGGCCGACCCAGGCCCGACGGCCCAGCTCCCTCGCCTGTGGGGGCTGTGGAAGGCGGAGGCCGGCCAGTCAGGGAGGGCTGGGCAGGGGGAGAGTGGGGCGGAGGGTGGGAGTGGCCGGCAGGGAGCTGGGTCGGCGGCAGAGGAGGTGAGAGGGAGGCTGGCAGGTGCCAGGGCAGCTGGTGTCGGCTGGCCGGCCGCTGCCAAGGTCTCACTGCAGAGAGGGCGAGGGTGCTGTTTAGAGAACTAACAGGAGGTGCTGCCCTTAGCAGGGCAGGTGCAGGGGGGTGGGGGGAGGAAGAGGCAGTGAGTGCAGGACCTGCACATGGGAGACGCTCGCTCGCCGCTCCCAGGCACCACTCAGCGTGCGGCGGCCACGGGAGGGCCTGTCCTCACACCTTGTCCCGTGAGGGGTGAGGGAGAGCAGGGGGGACTGGGGCCCAGAGCCCCGCTCATCATGGGGCTGGGCTTCCCTCTCAGTGGTGTTGGTCTGCCTGGTGCCGGCTAGGAAGGAGGGTGTCGTGATGAGTGGCTCTGGTTCCCGCCACGCGGCTGTGGGAGGCGGGATGGGCTGCCCGTGCTGAGGAGGGACTGACCACGCTCCGGGCCCCGCCCACAGGGTACCAGATCGCCTACCGCCTGGCCCGCAGCAGCCCCCACACCTTCACCACGGTGGAGGTCGGTGCCACGGTCCGGCAGTTCACGGCCACCGAGCTGGCCCCTGAGTCGGCATATACCTTCCGGCTGTCGGCCAAGACCAGGCAGGGCTGGGGGGAGCCGCTGGAGGCCACCGTCATCACCACCGAGAAGAGAGGTGAGACCTGGGGCCCAGGCCAGTCACGGCGGCGGGAGGGGGATCCACTGGAACCTTGGCGACACGTGACCTGTCGGTCGGGCCTGCGTGGCCGGCGCGTGGAGGGGGCAGCGGGCACTGAGAGCTCATTGAGCGCCTGCTGAGCCGGCCTGGGACTGGGCACACCCGAGTCTGCCCACCTGCACCTTACGCCGTGCCCTCTACCAGCTGACCGTCCAGTGTGAAGGGGGACGCGGCTCCGAGGCTGAGTGCTGGCCCAGGGATGCCGCCTGCGTGGGGGCCGCCCCGAGGCAGCACAGGCCCCGGGGGTCAGCGCCCCCTAGGGAGCAGCTCGGCACACTCAGCAGCCATCGAAAGGCGTCTGGGTGGACCCTCTGCTCCCAGCGCTGCATGTGCTGGGGGGCATCACCCTGCTTTATCCACAGCCCGGGGGGCGGGGTGAGCCGAGTCTTAGGAGAGAGGAAGCTGGGGCTGGATGTGTCGGGGAGGGAGGCACCGGCCGTGGCATCATGCGGCGCTGTCCCCCCCACGTGTCCTGAGCAGAATCAGCAGCCCCCATGACCAGCAGTTAGACAGTGATTCGTGCCCCACGCGTCCCTGTTGGAACCGAGGGGTGAGGAGAAGGGCAGGTGGCCAGTCCACGTGCTCGCCTCGCCTATGCCCCCGCCCCTCCCTGCAGGGCCGACCACGGGCCCCCAGCAAGGAGCTGAGCTGCAATGTGAGGACCCAGCTCGGGACACCTGGGCTCAGGGGATGCCCGGGGTGGGGACGCCCGGGGGTGGCAACGCAGGGAGAAGGAGTCCCGAGTCCCCTGTGGTGCTCGGGGAGCCCGGGTGTCACTCCAAGACGCGCTCCCAGGTGGCATGGAGTCAGGGGACGCCTGTAGGTGGGTTCACACAGCCTGTTGGTCTGTCTTGTGCTGAGGGTGGAGCAGGTCCACACTGGGCCCGTCGCCCTAAGTGGCTGTAAGAGGAGGTCTCTCCCGTGGCACAGGAGTCACCTGCAGAGTCCACTCCGTGCGGCACTGTGGGTGTCGGCAGTGCCCACAGGCGGTTTTGGGGTCCCTCTCACGCCCTGGTCTGTCCTCATTTGCTTGCAGAGCGGCCGGCTCCCCCCAGGCAGCTGCGGGTGCCCCAGGCGGAGGTGACGGCCCGCAGCCTCCAGCTCCAGTGGGTCCCGGGCAGCGACGGGGCCTCCCCCATCCGCTACTTCACCGCGCAGGTGCACGAGCTGCCCAGGGGGCCCTGGCAGACCTACTCCTCGTCCATCAGCCACGAGGCCACAGCCTGCGTGGTGGAAAGGTACGCGGGCCCGGAGGCCCCTCCCCGGACCTGCAGCCCCGCCCTGTCCCCCCCAGCAGCTCCCCACAGGGGAGGGGGGGCCATGACTCCTCGTCCACACTGGGACCAGGGATTTCTGTGTCTCGGACCCACTGCTCCAGGCCCCAGGCCTGTCCACCCCCCACAGGCTGCCCCCCGAGAGGCCCCGGGACAGGACAGGCCAGTAATAGGGACAGTGAGCCTAGAGCGTGGGCTCCTAAGAGGGGAGGAGAGTGGCACTGGGAGCGGGGCCGGCGGCAGGTGTCCCCCGGAGAGACGCCCCCGCCTGCTCCCCGCAGGTCAGCAGGCACACAGGTCTCACCCAGGGCCTCGCTGGCCAGTGACGCTGGGCGGGACCCGGCGGGCGTCCCCCTGAGCAGGATGGCCCACCACTCACTCACTCCTCGGAGGCCGGGGAGGGAGGGGGCTGGGTCGACTCACACGCAGCCCCTGGGCGACTTCAGGGCCCCGATTCCAACCCCTTTCCTGTTCGGCTCAGGCTCCGGGCTGTGGGCAGGGCTGCTATGCCGTGGCTCCCACCCTGGGTTCTCGGGCCCTGGCCCCCACCGAGCTGGGCTGGAGGCGTGTCTGCTCCCAGACTCCGCCGCGTCCTGCAGCCCCCGCTGAGCTGGGAAATGTCCCGTACCGTGTCAGCGCGATGATCCCTGTGAGGGAGGGCCCAGTGGCGGTGGGAGGTCGCCGTCCTCGTTGTGCAAACGAGAAACCAGGCACCCGCTTGGCACGGCTGCCGAGCGCCCCGCTCTGTTGGCGGCAGGTGGGGGAGGAAGCAGGTCAGAGGGTCCTGGGGGCAGCTCCATCCTGAGCCCCCAGCACACAGCAGGCTGTGGGCTCGCAGGCCGGAGTGCGGAGTGCGGAGTGCGTCTCTGTCGCTGTCCCGGACCCACACCTGGGGCTTTAGAGAGAAGGCGCCCCCTCCCTGGCCTGAGGCGGCAGCGCAGTGCACGCAGCTGAGCAGGGGGCACGGGGAGGTGGGGATCTGACGCAGACGCCCGGGCTCAGGTGCCTCCTGCCACCGCCCACCCGTGGGGGTCTGGGCTGCGAGGCTGGGAGGCAACAGGAGGGCCTCCGGGCGGGCGGGTGGCATGAGCTTCGTGAGAGAGGGGGAGTGTGGGGGGTGTGGGGGGCGGGGGGGTAATTCAGTCATGGGCTCTGCCCATCCTCCGAACGCCCACTGTGGCCGGTGCATGGCACCCCAGACCGCAGGGAGGCCGCGCAAGAGAATGGGACTCAACAGCCGCCCGGCCCCTCGCGCTGTCTCTCTAGCTCCTTCGTGCGAGCTTCAGAAATCGCGTGTACGGAAACCAGGTGAGCACGGGCAGAATGTCACGCGTGGGCTCAGGGCTCTTAGAAACATGCTCCGAGCGTCACGATCAGCAACAGGCGAGGGCAGCCGGCCGCTCGTGTTTCCTCACGAAACCGACCGCACAAGCGCCGCAGCTGCCTCTGCCTCTGAGACGCCGGTCAGCGCCATGCAGAGCGCCGGCCTGTGGGGTCCCCGCATCGGCCCCGGCCAGGGTGTCACTCTCCACTTCTCTTTCTACTGGACGCTCAGCTCCACGCCCAGGCACCTCGGCGAGCCCGAGGCTCCGAGAGGCTCATCAGCCCGTGAACGAGTGAGCCTGGCCTCCGCTCTCAGTTCTGCTGCACCCCGCCCGTCCCTCCCAGCCTCCCTCAGCCCTCCCTGCACCCCACCTGTCCCTCCCAGCTCCCTGCAGCCCTCCCTGCACCCCACCTGTCCCTCCCAGCTCCCTGCAGCCCTCCCTGCACCCCACCCGTCCCTCCCAGCTCCCTGCAGCCCTCCCTGCACCCCACCTGTCCCTCCCAGCTCCCTGCAGCCCTCCCTGCACCCCGCCTGTCCCTCCCAGCCCCCTGCAGCCCTCCCTGCACCCCACCTGTCCCTCCCAGCCCCCTGCAGCCCTCCCTGCACCCCACCCGGCCCTCCCAGCCCCCTGCACCTGCTGTGGACGGACAGAAAGAGCTCAGTGTTGGGCCTGAGAGAGCAGAAGTTCTGTACTTCAAACCCATGTCCTAAGTAATGACAAATGCAGGTGCTAACAGTGAGAACAGATCATTTCTGGGGCACCTGCCACGTGCCACACTGTGCTGATGCCCACGTGACTTCTCCTCCGCCCTCCCAAGGAACCTCGGGGACAGCGCACCCCCCGCCGTCCAGCCCTCAGGTCCTCCCCACTCCAGGCGCGGGCCCGTCCCCCGAACTGGGCGCAGCAGCGGCTGAGGCCACTGAGGCCTGTGCACATGCGTGGGGCCCGGAGTCTTGTAAGGAAGACAGTCGTCAAGGAAACAGTGACACACTGAGGGCGTGAGCGGTGTGCACAGGACCGCAGCCGGCCACGCACTTCGTCCGTCTGAGCGGGTCCGAGCGGAGAGTGACACCAGCAGCAAAGACCTAGGAGCCTCGCCCGGCGCCAGGCCCTCTCCGTGCTTCTCCGGAACCGCCTCTGGCCGGAGTGAGACTGCGAGGCGAGCCCCACGCGCTGCGTGCCTTCCCGCCCGGATGCGGGGGCCAGCGGGGGAGGCAGGGCCACGGGAAGGACACGTGGCCACCTCCAGAATTAAGTGACTCTGGGAAGCTCGGACAGGTGGAGCTGTTTGTTTTAACCTAAAGGATTTCTCCAGAAGCTGCCGCGGACGCTGCGGAGGAGCGACTCGGAAGCACGTGCACTGAGGCCAGGCCAGGCCAGGCGGGGCCAGCGGGTTCTGGGGCTTTGGAGGCAGCGCGACCCAGGTGTGAGCTGATGGAGAGCCGGTGCGAATGAAAACAGAAGCTTCTCCCGACCGCGGGCCCGAAGGTGGTGATCAGCTCTGAAAAGCAGAGCTCTCTCAACAAAGTGACGCCCAGAGCCTCGCCCGCGCCGGATGGACGAGGAGCTGCTGGTTGGGGTGGAGGGCCTGCACCCCAGAGGGTTCCTCAGCTTCGGGGTTCCACCAGCTCAGTTTGAAAACCACGAGTTTGCGGTGGGTTGGGAGAGAGGAGAGAGGAGAGAGGACAGGTCCTGAGGCCACGTGGTGAGGACGCTGGGAGACAGTGGGCGCGGGAGCGAGGGCAGCTCTGGGATCGGGAGTCACTCAGCTCCTCTGGTCTGGGGGCCAGAGGATGAGACAGGGCTGCTGCTGCTGCCGCTGCTGGCATTGGGGGGGTTCCCTTCTCTGCTCTTGTGGGGAAGTGGGGGGCGGCCAGGAGAGCTGGCAGCCAGGCCTGAGCGGGCGTATCTGGAGGCGCAGTGCAGGCGCTGGATGGAGTAAGGGTTGTCTGCTCAGAGGAGCTTGTCCGCAGTCTGTCTCGGGTAGGGAGGGAGGGAGGACTGAGGGACAGAGGGAGGCCGAGGTGGCGGCTGCCGTACGCAGGGCCTCGGGGAAGCCCTGTCCTGCGGCCCCCGCCGTGTGGGGGCATCTTCACATGGGCAGCTGGCGTGATGTGGGTCTCACACGAGGGGGCAGACAAGCGTGGCTTCCAGGCGAACCCGCGTCCCAGCCCCGGCCAAGCCACGCACCGTCCTGGGGGGTTCCAGGCCTGTGGGCCTGCGGTCCTCGTCCCTGACACGGAAGGAGGAGCTGCTGGGTCACATGGGACAAGGCTTGACCAGGCTCGGGGCCACGTGGGCGCTGCCGGTGCTGGTGGGCGCAGACCCCAGAGAGCCCTGGGGGTGAGGGAGGGAGGCCGACGCTGGCCTGCGCTCTGGACCAGGGTGAGGGCGGGAGGAGCTCTGAGAAGCCCTGGGTCCCGGAGCAGAGGTGGCCGCACAGAGTCCCTATTGATGGACTGGCTCCTCTCAGGAGCACTAAGCACAGTCCCGTCCCTGGCCAGGGGGTTCCGCATCCCGCCCCTGGGAAGTCCCTCCACAGGCCAGTGAGCGGGTGATGGGCTGAGGCTCCTCCCAGAGCCAACCCAACCCCAGAGCACCCCCTCCTAAGGCAGGGCAGGGCCCTCTGGCAGGAGGGCACCCCCAGGAGCTCTGGGCCGCTGGGGCGGGAAGATCCCCAGGGTCACAGGTCAGAGCTCCAGGCCGCTGGGCGGGAAGGTCACAGGGTCACGGGCCAGAGCTCCAGGCCGCTGGGAGGGAAGGTCACAGGGTCACGGGTCAGAGCTCCAGGCCGCTGGGAGGGAAGGTCACAGGGTCACGGGTCAGAGCTCCAGGCCGCTGGGAGGGAAGGTCACAGGGTCACGGGTCAGAGCTCCAGGCCACTGGGAGGGAAGGTCACAGGGTCACAGATCAGAGCTCCAGGCCGCTGGACGGGAAGGTCACAGGGTCACGGGTCAGAGCTCCTGGCCGCTGGGCGGGAAGGTCACAGGGTCACGGTTCAGAGCTCCAGGCCGCTGGGCGGGAAGGTCACAGGGTCACGGGTCAGAGCTCCAGGCCGCTGGGAGGGAAGGTCACAGGGTCACAGGTCAGAGCTCCAGGCCGCTGGGCGGGAAGGTCACAGGGTCACGGGTCAGAGCTCCAGGCCGCTGGGCGGGAAGGTCACAGGGTCACGGGTCAGAGCTCCAGGCCGCTGGGCGGGAAGGTCACAGGGTCATGGGTCTCGGTTCTGCTCAGGCTGAGGCCCTTCACCTCCTACAAGCTGCGCCTGAAGGCCACCAACGACATCGGGGACAGTGACTTCAGCGCCGAGACGGAGGCGGTGACCACGCTGCAGGATGGTGAGTGCGTAGGCCCTGGCGGCGGACAGACAGGGCCACGCCCAGCTGCTGGCTCCTGGAGAGAGCCCCCACTTTCGTCCTGAGCCGGGGGGACTCGAAGGAGCCCCCACTTTCGTCCTGAGCTGGGGGGACTCGAGGGACCAGGGAGCCTGGGAGTCACTGAGCGACAGCGCAGAGACTCCTGGGCCCGGCGCTGCGCGGGACATGAAGGGCTTCTGCACGGAAGGAGTCTCTTTGATTCGCTTCCAAACCCTCTGACCATTAGCATCCCAGGAATGCATAATTGATGGGCTCATTAAAAATAAATGCCGCCACCGGGTAGCTGCGTTTGGAGAGGTTGCCCATTTTCTCATTCAGCGGCCTTCCCAGCGTGGCCGCCGGCCAGGAGCACAGCTAAGTGAGGGTGGCATTCACCCGCTCCTCCCCCGGGGGGGCCTGCGTCCGGGGGAGGGAGATAGGATGCTGCTGGCTGAGCCCAGGGAGCCCGCATCACCCCAGGGTGGCCCACCTGCAGACCCAGCACTGAGTTCACCCTCCGCGCTCTGGGCTAGTCCCCCAGCCCCCCAGCGCGCTCCTCCCGAGGGCACCAGGGAGCCATCGGTAACCTCACCTCTTCATTCCGCTCTTTCCGTAACCTGGGAGCTGAGCTTCCCCGGGGCCTCCGGGGCCTTAAGGACCAGCCGGGAAGGTGGGGGCTGAGCTTCTGGGCCATGTGCAGACAGTGCAGACAGCGTTCTGCATAGAACAGACCTCCAGCGCGTTCCTGCCCCGGGACGTGCCCTGGCACTGCCCTCAGGGAGCCGCAGGCAGGTGGACTGACCCCTGGAGACTGCGGTTGTATTTGTGGCTCCCATTTTTATGTTGCTTTCACACCACCTCGGTGGTATTTGCGACATTTGCCTGAGGCGCTGACCCTCAGGAGGAAGGAGCAGATGCCACCAGCTGCCTGTGCAGACACCCAGCCCCCTGGCAGACACCCAGGCCCTGGCCTCGCAGCTCAGTCGGAAAGGCCTCTCAGAACCCCGCAGGGCCTCCTCAGGCCCAAAGGCCTGCTTCCTCCTTTGATATTCCAATCGCCCAGTGGTGCCTATCTTGTCATCTCCTCCAGGACTGCTCCTGGCAGGCAGTTTGCACTGACTGGAGCTGCACTGTCTCCAGCCCAGCACTCACTGGGATGGACAGGCAGCAGGCGCTCACTGGGATGGACAGGCAGCAGGCGCTCACTGGGATGGACAGGCAGCAGGTTGCTCACTGGGATGGACAGGCAGCAGGTTGCTCACTGGGACGGACAGGCAGCAGGCGCTCACTGGGACGGACAGGCAGCAGGCGCTCACTGGGACGGACAGGCAGCAGGCGCTCACTGGGACGGACAGGCAGCAGGCGCTCACTGGGACGGACAGGCAGCAGGCGCTCACTGGGACGGACAGGCAGCAGGCGCTCACTGGGATGGACAGGCAGCAGGTCGCTCACTGAGATGGACAGGCAGCAGGTCGCTCACTGAGATGGACAGGCAGCAGGTCGCTCACTGAGATGGACAGGCAGCAGGTATCTCACTGAGATGGACAGGCAGCAGGCGCTCACTGGGATGGACAGGCAGCAGGCGCTCACTGGGATGGACAGGCAGCAGGTCGCTCACTGAGATGGACAGGCAGCAGGTCGCTCACTGAGATGGACAGGCAGCAGGTCGCTCACTGAGATGGACAGGCAGCAGGTCGCTCACTGAGATGGACAGGCAGCAGGTCGCTCACTGAGATGGACAGGCAGCAGGTCGCTCACTGAGATGGACAGGCAGCAGGTCGCTCACTGAGATGGACAGGCAGCAGGTCGCTCACTGAGATGGACAGGCAGCAGGTCGCTCACTGAGATGGACAGGCAGCAGGCGCTCCAGGCCCTGGGGAGCCCTGTGCTGGGGGGCGGGGAGGGAGCAGCCCTTTGAGTGCGTGGATGGTTTGTCCGGGAGGAAAAGTGACGCCCCCTCTACCCTCCTGAGTTCTTCGTCTGGTCTTTAAAGCAAACTGACAGGGGGCGGACGCACAGGAGAAAAGGTCCAAGTGTATTAGGTTCACGTTCGTACAGACGGGCCCCGGACATGGGGCCTGCGGACAGGCCGGCCAGGGAGGGCTCCCTGCTGCTCTGGGCCCAGGAGAAGGCGGGGCTCTGGGGCCTCAGCAGGGAGCCAGGGAAGGTCACTTCCGAATCCTGGGACGTGGGTGCGTGGGACCCAACAGACAGCGGGTGGGCGTTAGTTCCAGGTGCAGGGCACGGCCAGGCAGAGGCCAGACCAGCCTGTGCCCGCAGCAGGCAGAGCAGCGCACACAGAGGTGGACCGGGCCCCCCTTCAGCCGCCAGAAGTCACCTCCTTCGTGACAGTCACTCCGTGGCCAGGACCAGGAGCACTGTGCCCTGGCTGGGTCATCTGTCCAGCTCAGAAGTGCCCTGGCCTGCCCACCTCAAAAAGAGCATGCTGCCCTCCTTGGGGCAGGGAGGGGGGCCCTGAGCAGGCTCTCGGGTGGGGCGCCTGGCACCCCGCTGGCTGGCATGAGGGGCCCCGTGGAGAGGTGGGAACTCCCTGGATGTCTCAGTGCCGGTCTGTCTCAGGGAGGTGGTCACACTGGAGCACTAGGTCCCTCCTCTCCTGGCACAGGCTGTGCAGGGATGCAGGGCACCCACAGGGAAGAGGGGGTGGGAGCTCGGGAGTGGGGGCGCCAGGTACCAACAGAGCCCTCTAATCCTGTCTCTTTGATCTTGGATTTCAGTTCCGGGGGAGCCTCCAAGTTCTGTCTCAGTGACGCCCCACACCACCTCCTCCGTCCTGGTCCAATGGCAGGTGAGCACCGGGTCTCACGGGGCCTCGTAAAACATGGCACTCACCCTCCACGCGCTCACCCTGCAGGCGCTCACCCTCCACGCGCTCACCCTGCAAGCGATCACCCTCCACGTGCTCACCCTGCAAGCGCTTGCCCTCCGTGCACCCAGGGCCGTGACTGAGGTGCTTGAGAGCGGGACAGGGGCGGCTCGCTGGGAGGGAGCATCCAGGTGTGGTCCCCACACAGAGAGCCTGGCGGTCAGCACAGTGGACTCGAACCCACTCACGAGGGCGCCCAAGCGCCAGACCACCGAGGCTCTGTGTCCCAGGCCACGTGCAGGCGGCAGGCAGGGCTGTGGACGTGCCCGCCTGGCCCGGGTCCTGCAGGGAGTGGACCATGACCCGCTACCCCTCCGGAAGTCACTCTGAGGGGCTCTGTGGGGGCCCATCCCTCCCGCGAGTCCTCAGTCCTAGGACCAGAGGGATCCTGGGGGGGGGAGGGGGCCTCGCTGCCCTCTCCTTGCCTGCTCTCCAGTGGCGTCTATTTGCTAGCGATGAGGCGCACTGAGGACAGGAGCACAGAGGGACAGGTCTTCCGGGCCAGGCCACCAGCCTGGGGCCAGCCCAGCGAGGGCGCCGTGGGGTCTCCATCGGAGCAGGGCTGCTCTGGTGGGGCCAGTGGTGCGCACAGCAGGGCCTGGCAGCCAGGGTCGCTCCCGCCGCCAGGAGGGGGCTGCAGGCGTGAGGAGCGAGGTGAGCTCCTTTCTGTCCCAGCCGCGCTCAGGGCTGTGCAGGCACCGCCTCCACACGGGGGGAGGCGGGGGGCCCTCAGCGTGCTGCTCCCCACACAGGGCTCCACCCGCCCTGTTGAGCTTGGACAGCCCTGTGAAGTGCGGCGGCTGCAGCAGCGGAACTTGGCGACAGAGCCCAGCAGCTGTCCCCTCTGAGCCCAGCAGGACAGACTCATCACAGGAAGCTCCTGCAGGAGGTGGCCAGTGCGAGGGGAAATGCATGCCTGTCAACCGCCAGGCAGCTGGCACACCACGGAAATTAGGAGCAATTTACAGAACCCGGGCAAGCAGGACAGAGAGCGTTTAACTATAGACCCGCGTTCCCATGGAATGTGCCACCTGCAAGCCTGTCGCTTATAGTCACCGGTTTAAAATCGCAGCCACCGCCTATGGTTTCCAGGCGTCACACCCATTTAAGCGGCGGCTCCGTTGCACAGTCAGGTTGGGGTCTTGCAGGGGGACAGGCGAGCCCGCCTTCCTGGCGTCCCGCGGGGTCTGAAATCTGGGACCTGCACGCAAGTCCCCCCAGAGGAGGCGTGTGCGCACTGGGTGCCCTCGCCTGGCCTGGACGCCTATCACAGCGCTGCAGCCGGCTGTCCCAAAACGCCCAGTGGGCGGGCAGCCTGTCACTCAAATGTAGTCCCTCCCCCTCCCACCCTGACTTCCCCACGTGGACTTGGAGGCTTTTCTAGCAAGAAGGCACCCTGAGCAGAGACCGCCTCGTACAGGATGGCGCCTCTGAGCGGGCGGCCGCCCACGGGGACAGGGCAGCGGGAGGACGTGCCTCGTGGTTACTCCCTTTCTCGCCACTTGCTCGCCGTGGGCAGAGGCCAGCTCCGTGTGGGCGCTGAGCAGCTGGACAGAGTGAGACAGACCCCTGGAGTGGAGCTCTGCTGGGCGGGGCACGGCATGCGTGGGTGGGTGGGCAGCGGAAGGGGCGGTGACCCTGGGCCGAGGGGTGGGGGTGTCCACTGAAGGATGCAGGGATCTGAGAGGCAGGGAGGGGGGCAGCAGGGTCGGGCGTGACAGCCCTGTGTCCCCTGAACCAGCAGGACTCGATCGCAGGGGTATCAAGGGGTCGCTGTTCTGTGCTCCGGGGAGCGGAAGCCGTGGGAAAATGTGGACTTGAGTCCCAGCTCTGCCTCAACGGCCCAGGAGGCCCAGGCGTGGTGCCAACCTCCCTGGCCAGGCCCCAGCCCAGCCCTGCTCTGCCCCCAGCCTGCTGCCTCCAGGACGCCCCCCTGGTCCTCCTGGGCCCCCACGCAGCTCCCTCCTCCCTGCTGCTGTGCGGAGTGGTCAGCCGGGCACTCTGCCCCAGGTCCCCTGCGTTCCCACAGAGGCCTGGGAAATGGACAGAACCCTCCGGCGCCCAGAGGGTCGCCCGCAGAATTTCCGTGTGCCGTAGCCAGAGGGCAGGCGTGCTCGGGAAGGCCTCCCAGTTCCCCCTGAGCAGCTGCCCGTCCAGATGGCCAGGCCAGGGCGGAATTACCGAGGCTGGGTCATCTCGGACTTCAGCAAGCCAGCTCGCTCCCACGGCACCGAGGGCACCACCCCACCCGCCTGGCCTCAGAGCGGAGCAGAAGCGCCAGGCGAGGCCGGGTCTGGGCTGGAGGTCAGGTCTGCTCCTGAGAAAGGAACCTTCTGTTCAGAGTCCTGGACAGGCTGTTGTGGATGCGGGTCGGGCAGGGAGGGCGAGCAGCCAGCACTGCGTCCAGAGCCTGAGCTCAGCCCATCCCTTCTAGAACTCTCCGTGCGCGCCATGGAGCGGCCAGGTGACACTTCCCAGGACGCCCAGGTCTGGCAGCTCTTTCCCAAATGGCAGGCAGGTCATTCCAAACTCCAGAGTAGACAGTGCATTAAAGGCAGTTCCGAGTCCACGCAGGTGCAGGCCCTGATCTCCGAGGGGTGAGGAGGGGTGAGGAGGGCCTGCGCTTCTCCCCGGACCAGGCCCTCTGGGTGGCGAGACCCGCCCCTGCTCCAGGCCTGGATCTCCTGCTGGGGGAGCGGGGTCCCCGGTTTAGTCCGCAGTGAGCTTGTTGCCAGTGGGTGCTGCCGAGCGGGGCCCGCTGGGCCTCTCCACGCCCACCCCTCCTGCGTGCTGGCTCCTGGGCTGCGGGTGTCTGTGAGCCCAGCACTGGCAGCCTCCGCCACCCCCCACCCCATCCTCAGGCCCAGGAGGTGGGGACACGGGATGGGGCGGGGTGTCTTCTGTGCTTGCAGAACCACATTGGGTCCCGAGGGAGGACATTTTTATTTTCTCCAAACTCCCAATTCCTGCTTATTTGCTATTTTCAGTGAATTGGTCCTTCTCCCCCAGCACCGCCTCCCCCTCCCTCCCCAAGAGTCCTGCCCTCGCTCCTGTCTGCAGCCTGCGGTGCCCAGTCAGCCTGGCCCATGCCAGCTTCCTGCTCAGGTCCCGGGCCACAGCGGCCACGGGACAGTCGGGCCCGGGAGGCTGCGATGGTGCCGGGGCTGTGGCCTGGGTGTCCGGCTGCCCCTAAGCCCATGTCCCGAGTTGCTGGCATCTCCCGTCCACAAAGGGCTCTTCACCGTGCATTTCGAGTGAGGCTGCCGCAGCCCAGTGGCCAGGGACCGAGGACAGGGCGGGGCCAGCCCGTGGACCATGCGGTCCCCTTAAGGGTTCTGGGTCCGCCGGGAGCGGGCAGCTCCTTGCCCGTCTGTGGCCTGGGCTGCAGTACCGCAGGTTGGCCCCGGGGCAGCGGGCATGGACGAGAGGCTGCGTCCCCCCCGCCCCGGGAAGCCTGGGCTCGGGGCGCCCACAGCCTGGCTCCGGACCGGGAGCACCGTGTTCCCCGTCACGTGACACCTGCCCTTCCCCGTGCAAACACTGAGTGGCGTCCTCCTGGCAGGCGCTGGTGGGCCTCGGCGCGAGGCCACCTCCCGAGGCTGACCGGCCCTGTCCTTGCAGCCCCCGAGTGACGAGAGCCTGAACGGCCTCCTGCAGGGCTACCGCATCTACTACCGGGAGCTGGAGCCCGAGGCGGCCGCGGGGCCCGAGTCCGCCGCGCTCAAAACCGCATCGGCCTTCCGGAGCGAGCTCACAGGTGAGCCTGCCCTGCCCTCCCGGCACAGGTGCCAGGCCAGCCGCCGCGTGGGAGCTGCCCGGTAACCGTGGGCATGTCATGGGGGCACGCGGGGAGGCCATGGGGGCGTGGGGGCAGGCCCATAGGGGCGTGGTGGGAGGCCCATAGGGGCGTGGTGGGAGGCCCTGGGGGCGTGGGGGGAGGCCCATGGGGGCGTGGGGGGAGGCCCATGGGGGCGTGGTGGGAGGCCCTGGGGGCGTGGTGGGAGGCCCTGGGGGCGTGGGGGGAGGCCCATGGGGGCGTGGGGGTAGGCCCATGGGGCGTGGGGGGAGGCCCATAGGGGCGTGGGTGGGAGTCCCAGGGGGGCGTGGTGGGAGCCATAGGGGTGTGGTGGGAGGCCCTGGGGGCATGGGGGCGCCCATAGGGGCGTGGTGGGAGGCCGTGGGGGCATGGGGGGAGGCCCATGCGGATTGTGGGGGGAGGCCTGGGGCCTGGGGGGAGGCCCTGGGGGCGTGGGGGGAGGCCCTGGGGGCGTGGGGGGAGGCCCTGGGGGCGTGGGGGGAGGCCCTGGGGGCGTGGGGGGAGGCCCATGCGGATGTGGGGGGAGGCCCTGGGGGCCTGGGGGGAGGCCCATGGGGGCGTGGGGGGAGGCCCATGGGAGCGTGGGGGGAGGCCCATGGGTGCGCGGTGGGAGGCCCTGGGGGCGCGGTGGGGAGGTCCGTGGGGCGTGGTGGATGTCCGTGGGGTGTGTTTGGGCAGGCCGTGGGGGCGTGGTGGGAGGTCCGTGGGGCGTGGTGGGTGGGCCGTGGGCGCTTGTGAGGGGTGGGTGTCTGCCGCAGCCCAGGGTGCACAACCAGGTGGTAGGAGCAATAAACCTTGACCTTTGGGGCCTCCACCCAGGGGATTGGGGGGCTTGTGGAGGAGGAGCCTTGACGGCAGGCTGTCGGGGTGGAAGGACCTCACCGGGGATGTGAAGGGAAAGTGGACTGACGCCGCCGGCAGCACGGGGGGGTTGGGGGGGGGCGGGCAACGGGGAAGCCGTACAGGAGCAGAGCGGGTGCGGAGGCCACAGACCTGAGCGACAGGACTGCCTCGAGGGAGGAGCAGCCAGGCCTCAGACGGCAGGGCCCCCCCCAATGGAGTGACCCCACTGCAGTCACCATGCAGGGCCCCCACCAAGGTCCGTGGTGGGAACTTCCAGGGCACCTCACCCCTCCCTCAGGAGGGTGGGGGACCTCCTCCCCTGGCGGCCCCTGACTCGTGTGCTGAGAACAGCGAGCGGCCGCAGGTCGTCCCACGGTCATGTCCTTCACGTTGCAGGGCTGCCCGGGCCCATGCTGCCCTTTCCTGAGGCTCCCAGGTGCCGCCCCCACTTCTGGGTCTCAGCCTGCACTGGGGGTGCTGGTGGAAGGAGAGGCTCACTGTCCCCCTCCCTCCGCTTACGCCCCCTGCCCCCGTGCCCTCCCCGAGCCCCATAGCAAGGTCCACACAATGAGCTAAAGAGCCTGGGATGTGGGTCGGCAAACCCGTCCCTGCGCCCTTCGGGCTGGTTTGCTCGGGCCCTTCCGACGGCTCTGACTGAGCGCTGTGAGCTGCGGCCGCGCCTGCCTCGGGGCATCGGGCCGGCACTGCCCGGAGGAGGGGCCGCGCCCGGTCCAGGTCACGCTGCGGCCTCTGCCAGTCTGACCGCTCGGAGGGGAGCGCGGGGCCCACGTCCCCCCAGGAGCCTGGCGCTCAGGAGAACAGCGGGCGCCCCCAGATGCGGACCGTGGGGGACAGGGGCCTCGGGGTCCCGAGCTCGCCCACACGCTCCGCCTCTGCTTTGCTCCCTCACAGCCGCCAGCAGCTTCCAGACCGTGAACAGCAGCTCCACGCTGACCACGTACGAGCTGACGCGTGAGTGCCTGCGCCTCCGGAGGCCGCTGCGACCGGGCTGGGGCCGAGTGGGCAGCGGGAGCAGTGGCTGTCATTACGGCGCCCCCTCAACAGGCCACACCACCCGCAGGCAGCACGGAACCTGCTAGAAACGGGCTGGGGAGGGAGGGGGACTACCGACCAGCTGGGACCATTCGCCGTTTTCTTTACACGTCGCTTTACCCAGCTGTCCGCTCCTTCACCCCCTCGCTCGCCCGCCCGCATCCGCCTCTGCCACGACCCCGGGACCTCCCAGCAGCCAGAGTCGGTGCAGGCAGGGCTCCAGTGGGGGCTCCTCCCCGGCTCTCACTCCAGCTTTTCAGCGGCGGTTATGACGCGGGGCGGGGGGGGGCGGGGGGCCCACGCCGCTTGTCCACGGCCACTCGGGTGTGTCTCACGGACTCCTGACCGTCCCTCCTTCTGTGGACGTGGAGCCACGTGAGCCCGGGGTTGGGACTAACAGGCCAGGCCGTGTGGTCCCAGGAGCCACTCGTGGGCTCTGCAGGGCCAGGTACTCCAGCCACGCTGAGGATGGCGAGGCCGGGCTGGCTCAGCCACAGGGCGACACGGGGACGCGGTGTCGCATTCCCTGAACCTCTGCTGAGCCTGTAGCTCACGGGGAGGCGATGCGCAGGCCTGGCGCGTCCCCATCCACACCTCCCCCGGGACCAGCCGTGCACCCGGGACCTCAGGAGGCCAGCTCCGAGGGCGACGACGCCCTGGGAGAACCTTGGGTGGCTGGGCCAAGGTCAGCAGATCTGCCCCGTCGCTGTGCTGGCCACCGCCCTGTGCAGTTCTGTGCACATGGCTTCACAGACCTTGGTCCTGAAGTCACAGTCATTGAGAACACGGGACTATGGTCTCCTGCTTGTACATGTAGATGCCAGGGTCCGACTCCCCTGTGCCTGCTTTGAGGAGAGCTGGGCTAGAGGCCCCGGGCCCCGGCTATCTCCCTGCCCCCCAGCTGTCTCCCTGCGCCCCCAGCGGTCTCCCTGTCCCCGGGCTGTCTCCCTGCCCCCCCCCAGCTGTCTCCCTTTAAGGACAGCTGGGCCAGAGGCCTCCCTGCCCCCTCAGGGTGGTGCGGGTGGGCCATCCGAAAGGGAGGAGGTCCCTGGAGCTGCCCTGCCGTCCCTGCAGAGCTGAAGAAGTACCGGCGCTACGAGGTGATCCTGACGGCCTACAACGTCATCGGGGAGAGCCCGGCCACCGCGCCCGTGGAGGTCTTCGTCGGCGAGGCCGGTAAGCCCGCGTCCCCCCACAGCCCAGGCTCTCGGGGGGCCAAGCAGTGTCCCCGTTGTTGGGGAGGAGATCACGTTGCTGGAGGGGCGGGAGGCGTGCAGGTCACAGGCTCGGCAGGGATACCGATGCCCGGCTCAGCCTGACCCCTGGGGACAGCCCTTCTCGGGGCTCAGACAGCCAGGGGGTCAGTTTCTACCCCTTTTAGCTGAGACGTGGCCCTGAGTGCACCCTAAGGGCCACCTCTCCTGCGGGGCTAACGCGCCATGAGATGTCTTGCCGTGTGGGCACCCGGTTGCGCCCAGTGTGGCCTCGGTAACGAGGGCCCACCCTCTGGCCGGAGGGCCTGCACGGCTCCCTCCCCGCTGACAGCGGCCTGGATTTCTGCTCAGTCTGCGGGTGCAGGGTCAGCAGTGACACTTCCAGAGGAATGCCTGGCATTCCTTCTGGGACAGAGGCCAGGCTGGGGAGGAGGGGTCAGGACAGCGAGGCCACCTGGCAGACAGCACCTGAGGGCCCAGCCTTCACCGGAGCCCGGAGCCCGGCTGCGCTGGCCTCTCCTCCCTGCCTGGCCTCACACCCAGGACACGGCCCACGGCTCCTCTTCTGGAATCTCCTCTGACCCTCCCTGGGGCAGAGCTCCAGGCTCCTTCCCCCGACACCCAATCCCATTAAGAGGTTCTGTCCGTGTGTCTGTCCCCTCTGGGTCCATGGCGCTCGTCTCCAAATGCTCCTTGTCCTGGGCGGGGCCACGGGGCCAATGCCTTTGCTGTCAGAGCCCCATGAGGACAGGCAGGGCACAGTGGGGGCTCCGGGCACCTGGGGGCCTCAGGCGGGGCTGGGACAGGCGGGGCCGGGGCAGGCGGGGCACCCCTCTCTCACAGCAGGTGGGACTGAGGGCTCCGATAGAGTCCTCCTGTCTGGCAGGGGTGCTGCTCGGGCCTGTGAATTAGGCGGAGCTCAGGCACAGGGCGTCTCTGCCACTGGGTCCTGGTGAAGACTCGGGCCTGGGTGCTGGCCAGTTGGTGACAAGTCCGTCGGCCCAACTGAGCGCCTCACAGAGCCGCCTCTGCTGCTCCTCTGAGCCTCGGACAGGCTCAGGGGCGGGGGACTCCGTCCAAACCCAAATCGCTCCATCCGTGGGGCCGAGAGGGACCTGGCCGGGCAGGGGAGCCCAGACGCCCCGGCAGGTCTGGCCCGACCGGCGCTGGTCCAGCCCAGGCAGTGGCGGAATCAGCCCAGCGCTGGGCCCGCCCTGAGCCCACAGCCGGGCTCGTGTGAGAGCAGCGATCTCCCGGGGTCGGGCTTTGGGATGACACGTCGGCCGTGGATTCTGGGGCCCAGGTGTGCGTTGGGTGGCCTTGCTGGGCCCCCAGGAGTTACTGGAGATATAGGTAGAGGGGAGGGGCCAGCTCCTGGGCTCCGGGAAGGCAGGCTGCATTGGGGTGGGCGTGGCCTCACAGGGAAGCGTCTTGCTCCAGGGGAGGAACACAACGTCCCTCTGGCTCATCCCTTAGCTTTCTCCATGGACCGTCGTCACCATCACCCCATCGTCACCCCTGAGATTCCCAGGTGGGACTGAGCCCCCGGGGGTGCGGCACCACGTCTGCGCAGGGCGGGCTCCCCGGGGCAGCCAGAGCCCCTGGGCCGAGGTGTGTGGCCCTCCTGCAGAGGCTCCCAGCGGGGCAGGTGTCGCTGGCCTTGGACAGGTGTTTCTCTGTCGGGCCCAGGAGCAAGGTCACCTCCCTGCCGGGGCGGGGGCAGCCCCTCCGGCCTTCGGGACAAGTGGGAGGAGGGCGTGCTCCATGGGGGAGTGGGCCGAGGCTGTCCTTGGGCCTCTGTTTTCTCATCTGTAAAATGGGGGGAACCCACACCCCTTCTCCAGGCCCCTCCCCTCGTGTTCTGACACCAAATGCCAGGCTGGGCAGATGACTCAGCCTCGCCATTGGGCAGCGCCTTCCTGGCAGCCCATCTCCCATGGGCCTGGAGACCCGCCCCCTCAGGAGCCAGACAGGAAGTCCCAGACCCCAGGCCTTGCTCTGAGCTCACACCATTCCCTCCTCCCTGCTGTCAACTCAGGTCTGTCACCTGCCCTGTTTCCTGGCACAGAAGCCGGGGCTACAGGGAGCTGGTGGGCACATCGGGGACCTCAGCTTGGGGACATGGTGCCTGGGGCCCCGCCGCCAGGGAGGGACCAAGGGCCTCTGTCCAGCACGTGTCCACCGACCGCGGTGAGGGACGCGCGGGCCTGCAGCTCCCTGTGGACCCCGCCACGGCGGGCCTCTCCCCACTGCGCCTTCAGGTGCCTCTGGAAGGAAACCTCGGGGTGGGGCCTCGCCCACAGCCAGTGACGGCCGCGCTCAATGTCGCCCACATTTTAATTGCGCGACAGTAATTCTGCGATAGAGTTGCCGATGGCAAACATGCAGAAGACATTAAGTTTATTTATGTTTTGGGTTATTAATGTGGCTGCTGAACTCCCCAGTTAGTTTTGATTGAATTGTTTTGTGCGGTTCTCTGTCTAATGGAGCGGTAAATAAGAAGTTCTGATAATGAGGCCGAGCATCTGCCACAACAACCTGGCGCGGTTATTAACATTTCCACGAGGCGGGGCCAACGCGCCGCAGTTAGAGCAAAACAAATGTGGGTGTCAGGCCGCGCGGGCGTTAATTACTATTTCATTCCACGTGGAGGGGGCTCGGGGAGGGGCGGCCGTGAAGGTCGTTCTCTCCCGAGAAGGCTCGGGCGCCCGGGTGCTGGGCTGTCTGCCCCCAGAGCCACTGCCTCCGGTTTCCATTTACGGCCTGAAACCAGACTCGAGTCCACAGGCCGCACTCCTGGGCCCCAGGCTGAGCTGCAGGCGGTGAGAGGTCCTAGCACCCCCGGGACATGTGGGTTCCGGCAGGTGTCACTGTGGGTGCCAGGACGGGGGAGCAGAGGGGCTACCAGGATGGGAGAGCAAGGGGGCCCCAGAGGCAGGTGTCCTGCCAACTGCCTGGTGTGGGGAGATGTCACCCCAGCTTCCCGACAGCCGCTTGGGGTGGAGGTGCTGGCTGTGATGTCCCCTAACACACAGCGCAGCCCTGCTGACCCCAGCAGAGCAGCCCGGTCTCCCCTGGGGGACGGAGGGGAGGAGCGAGGCCGGGTCCTCAGAATTGGGGGTCACAGGACCTCATGGAGGAGCGCGTGGAGATGGAGCCTGGGGCCTGTCCCTCCCGGAGGCAGCCCTGGTCTGGAGACGCCGCCCAGAGCCTGGGCCCTGGCCCTGTGGTGGGAACAGGCACTTCGTTCTCCCCGCTCCACCCGGGGCCTCCCCTGTCCCTCAGGTCCCGCGCGTCCCCCTCCACGGCACAGCCATCACTGGACCGGGTCTCCATCAGACCCTCCGTGCCTCAGCCTCACGGGGCCTGGGCAGCTCTCCCGTTTTATTTAACACGTTTGGAAGCGCGACCAGCAGGGCTGGCGGTGCTCGCGGCGCGGACACGGAGGCCGGGCTGTGTGTCTCAGGCCTCCCTGTCCTGTCTCTCCCCCCAGCGCCGGCCATGGCCCCGCAGAACATCCGGGTGACCCCGCTCACGGCCAGCCAGCTGGAGGTCACGTGGGACCCGCCGCCGCCGGAGAGCCAGAACGGGAACGTGCAGGGCTACAAGGCAAGCTCCGCGCGCGTGGCCACCCCGCAGGTCGCTGTGGGCCCGAGCGGCCGATCCCCAGATGGAGCCCTGGCCCACGCACGCTGCTGCTTTCGGCTCGCTGTTCCCTGGCTCCTGTGGCGGACACAGCCGCCGTCGGCCCGCAGAGCCGTGGCCGCCCTGAGCTCCAGAAGCGGGCCAGCCCAGCCTTGCCTCTGGCTGGTTTGTGACCAGGCCTGGTCAGGGGCCTGCCCCCACCCCCAACACACACACACACACACACACACACACACACACACGGAGTCTCCAGGGGCTTTGCCAGCAATCAGACAGAACCCTGAGAGAACAGGTTCCCATCCCAGCTCTGCCACGGGCCCCCAGTGGATGGTGCATGAGCCTCCTGACTTCATAGGTCCAGGGTGGGGCCGAGAATTTGCATCCTAACAAGTTCCCCCTGGGGTGTGGTTCCTAGGCACCCCACTCTGAGAACCACTGCACCACAGTGTTATGGTTCCACATTAGCTAAAGATTCAGAGACGGGATAACAGAAAGGCAGCAGGCGGGGCCAAGGAGAGCTGGGTGATGAAGGAGTAGAGCTGGGTTCCCCGGAGCAGGAAGCTCCTCACTCGGTCCGGCTCTGCGTAGAGAGCTGAGGCCAGGAGGCCCCTGAAGCCCCCTGGAGCCGCGGTGCCCCTCCCTGCCCCCCATCCTCCATGGCAGGCCGGTCCGGTGATTCATGAGCGAATGGGCGGTCGCGGGAGCTGGGAGCCGAGGTGCCGTGTGTGTCCCAAACAAGGTTTCTAGTTTCCTCAACTTGAAGACACGGGGCTTGGATCTGATCTTAGGGAGCCTGTCCCAGCCGGGGGTCTCCCCGCAGGTCAGAGCGCAGACACCGGGCTGTTGGGGGGCAGTTGGTGCTACCCGCCTGCTGGCACTGTGGCAGTGGTGTCTGGCCAGCTGTCTAGGGCAGCAGCCGTGGTGACCTCCGCCAACCTCCATCCTGGGCATCGTGTTCGCCCACGGGCACTCGGCGAGGGGGGTGGCGCCCAAGAGCAGTGTGGGCTGTCCCCACAGGCCGCGCCCCCCGGTTGTTGTCCGTGTTCTGTCTTCTTGCCCCCGATTCTTCAGGAGAAGGTCCCCTCCCCCCTCCCACTCAGCACAGCTGCACGCAGGGGTGCACGCGGGCCCCCTCGCAGCTCCCCTCCCCCGGCTGGAAAGGGTGGCCCCGCCCAGGCCGGCTGCGACCCCTGCTCTCTCTGCAGATCTACTACTGGGAGGCGGGCGGCCAGAACGACACGGAGAAGGTGAAGGTGCTGTTCCTGCCCGAGACCGTGGTGAAGCTGAAGAACCTGACCAGCCACTCCCGCTACCTGGTCAGCATTTCCGCCTTCAACGCCGCCGGAGACGGGCCCAGGAGCGAGCCCCGGCCGGGGCGCACCCACCAGGCGGGTAGGAGAGGCGGCCGTGCATTTCCTTCCCGCCTCTGCTGGGCGCCCTCGTGAGAGCAGCCCCTGTCTGTCCCACAGCTCTGCCCTGCCCGTCCCGAGGCCTGGACACAGCCGTGGGGCAGGAGGCAGCATGTAGGGCTGGCTCCATGGCTGCCCCAGGGCCTGGTCGGCTGCTCAGCAGTGGGGCCCCATAGCCATTAGCCAGATGTGCGCGCCGCGTGCCCCATCCAGGGTCACCTGGGCCCAGCTGGGCCCTTTAGGGACCCACCAGCCCCCACCCCTCCACCCCCACCCTGGCTGGCATGCTCTCATCACTGGGAGTGCGCTCCTGAGGGTGGCACCCAGGCCAGTGTGTCGGGCACTCACTCCCCTGGGTGTGGGGGCCACAGACTACCCCCCGCCGCCCCCCCGCAGCAGCTCGCCAGCGTCTCAGGCGCACGCCCCGCTGGGTCCAGGAGCGGGACGGGCTGAGCCTCCCGTCACACGCAGGGTGCAGGGTGGGCTCTGAGTGCCGCCCGCTCGCCCGGTGCTTCTAGTTTCCTGGCGCCTGGACCTGACGCGAGTCAGGGAACCGAGGGGTCGGCAGCCTGGCCCAGGGCCCGGGAGCTCTAAGAGGCTCTTGGTAGGATCCTGGAGTCCAGGGGGGGAGTGAGATTAGGGGGCTGTGGGGTGCAGACCCACTCCCTCCGGGCTCCCTGCCATCCAGGGGGTCTGGCACCTCCTGAGCATCGTGCTTCCCGGGACGTGGCCAGCCGCGTGGACAGCAGCTGAGACAGGCCACGTGCGGAGCAGACCTGGGCGGGGAGGGGCCTCACCGGGCACTGCGGCCCTCCCAGGCACGAAGGCTCTGAGCCCTGAGGGGAGTGCAGGGGAGTCGCTGCCCCAGGCCAGCAGGGAGGGGCCACTCTGGGCACTAGCCGTGAGGCCCTGGCGTCCCTCCCTCCCCTCGGTCTGGCTCCGGTCCCCCAGGAGCTCCGAGCGGACAGTCAGTCCCACCCTCGCGCTCGCAGGCCAGTCAGACCCTCTGAGGTGGACATGGCTTCTCATCGCACGTTTGACCCATGACGTCCCTTCTGTTTCGTCCCCAGCGCCCGGCAGCCCCAGCTTCTTGGCCTTCTCGGAAGTCAGCTCCACGTCGCTGAACGTGTCCTGGGGCGAGCCGGCGGCCGCCAACGGCATCCTGCAGGGCTACCGCGTCGTCTACGAGCCCTTGGCGCCCGTGCAAGGTGCGGCCAGGGGTTAGCGCGGAGGGCGCCTGCAGGGGCACAGCACCGTCTGCGGAGGGGGTGACGGTGAACACAGGGTAGTTCGCACACCTGCACGGCTGGCGGCGGGAGGATGGTCCCCTCTGCGGGGAGCCCGTCTGCGCTCAGGCCGTGGGGTGAGAGGCCGTGGCCCTGCCGCCTGCGCTCAGGCCGTGGGGTTAGAGGCCGTGGCCCTGCCGCCTACGCTCAGGCCGTGGGGTGAGAGGCCGTGGCCCTGCCGCCTGCGCTCAGGCCGTGGGGTGAGAGGCCGTGGCCCTGCCGCCTGCGCTCAGGCCGTGGGGTGAGAGGCCGTGGCCCTGCCGCCTGCGCTCAGGCCGTGGGGTTAGAGGCCGTGGCCCTGCCGCCTGCGCTCAGGCCATGGGGTTAGAGGCCGTGGCCCTGCCGCCTGCGCTCAGGCCGTGGGGTGAGAGGCCGTGGCCCTGCCGCGGGTGCGGGGGGGCTGGGGGGGGGGGGACGGCCGGACCGGGACAGCAGGGACAGCTCTTCTGCACGAGTCCATGACTCCCACGTCTCAGAATGCATGTCCTCGCGTCCTCCCCACGGAGACGCGGGTAGACATATGCCCAGAGCTCAGAGAAACCTACAGCCAAGAGCCCGTGTAACTGTTTGTCAAATGCATCGTTTTCAACCCAGAGAACCTCCTTTCTCTCTGGCAAATGCGTGTTTGTATGACCTCCAGCAGGTTCCTCCTCTCAGAACGCTACCCCACTCTCTATTCTCAGTAGAAGCAGCAGCACTTTTGCTCCATCTCCGCATTTAGGAGGGAAACTGTGTCCCTGTGGCCACGTTCTCTGAGCCGAGGCGTCGATATTGGAGGGACCACGCCTCTTCATCTTGCTTCCAGGCCCACGGGGGAGGGTGTCACGAGTCGCCTGAGGCCGGAGACCCATGCTCCCCTCCCCCGTGACTCAGGAAGCCCGGGCCTGTGCTGGGGGCACCGGCGTGACACAGTCAGCGCCCCGTGGGGAGGGAGCCGCCACAGCGTCCCAGGAGCCTGACCTGGGGCCGGTGCGGCTGCCTGCAAGCCCGCTGGCCGGTGTGAACGGCAAGGCCCGCCGCCTCCCCCTCCTCCGGGTCTGAGTCTCCCTCTGCCCGCACCCACGCAGCCAGCGCGAGCTCTGAGGACACTGATCCGGCTGCCATGGGCTGTGAGCACTCCGCCGCCTCCTGCAGGACAGCCTCCTTAGGGACGGCGCCCGCACCTCTCTAACCCGCTCCGTCTGTGCCTCGCGCTCCAGGGGTGAGCAAGGTGGTGACGGTGGACGTCCAGGGCAACGGGCAGCGCTGGCTGAAGGTGCGGGACCTCACCAAGGGCGTGACCTACTTCTTCCGCGTCCAGGCGCGGACCATCGCCTACGGGCCCGAGCTGCAAGCCAACGTCACGGCCGGGCCGGCCGCGGGTGAGTGGGCGCCTGCGTCTCGGGACAGACTGGTCACCCAGCCGCGCGGCGCGAGCTGGGGACCCGCGGGCACGTGGGTGTCTCCGAGGCGGGTGCTGCCCTCGCGGGTGGCTCGTCAGTGCACGTGGACAGCGTCTCAGGTGCCTTTAAAGCCTTGAATTGTTTTCTGGAAAAATCGAGAGAAAATGAGTGACGTTGACTTTTGAATAAGATGCTTAAGAAAATGTTAGTTTCCACGCATCGGAGGCAGCCGTGCAGCTTCCCGCAGAAACGAGGGGCCTTTGCAGGGCCACTCTGAGCGTGGCACGGCGCTGGGCGCGGGTCATCCCTTCCTCGGCCCTGAGGCGGGTCCCTGACCAGGGCCAGGCCTGCCTGGGGGCGGAGACCCAGCACAGCCCCCCCCACTCCCACCCCCTGCGCTGGGAACCCGGGGGCCCACGTCTCCCCTGTCCTGCTCTATCCACAGGCTCCCCGGGGCCCCCGAGAGACGTCTTGGTCACCAAGTCCACCTCCGAGCTGACCCTGTGGTGGACGGAGGGCCATGCCGGCGGGGCGCCCACCACGGGCTACGTCATCGAGGCCAGGCCCTCAGGTAAGGGGGCAGGCGGGCCCCGGGCACCAGCCAGGTGTCCCCGCCGAGGGTCTCAGGGTCGGTCTCAGCCCCGGCCCTCCGCTCAGTGGTGCCCTCAGGAGCCAGAAGGAGAGGGCGCCGGCGTTGACAGGATGGCCACACCGTCCTGTGCCGTGAGTCTCACGGACAGCGTCCCTGTGTCTTCCCCACCTGGCACCTGCCGGGTGACAGGGTCATTCCCAGAACAGGGCGCACGGCACCCGGGACACAGACGGTTTCTCTCAGCAGAGAGACGGGTCCTGGGCCTTGTGGTTCTGAGAGCTGCTTCCCAGGGAGGGAGAGCGCAGATCAGCTGTGTGAGAGCCGGCTGTGTCAGGTCCGGCTGTGTCAGGTCGGCTGTGTCAGGTCCAGCTGTGTCAGGTCCGTCTGAGTCAGGTCCGGCTGTGTCAGGTCCGGCTGTGTCAGGTCTGGCTGTGTGAGCCGGCTGTGTCAGGTCCGGCTGTGTCAGGTCTGGCTGTGTGAGAGCCGGCTGTGTCAGGTCCACCTGTGTCAGGTCCGGCTGTGTCAGGTCCGGCTGTGTCAGGTCCGGCTGTGTCAGGTCCGGCTGTGTGAGAGCCGGCTGTGTCAGGTCCGGCTGTCAGGTCCGGCTGTGTGAGAGCTGGCTGTGCTGCCACCCATGTCAGTTGCAACATCCTGTAGTTTGCACACTCACCTTCCCGGGACCCTGGAGAAAGGACACATGGATCTCTTTTATCTCGACAACCTGCACGGAGTCCACAATGACCTCAAAATAAAAAGCTGAACCTAAAAGTAACACACACACCTCCCCTGGAGGGTCCCGCTGGGGCACAGACTATCCTGGACATAAGCACTTTCCCACCGGGACCCTCCGGCAGGGACCATACCGGTCCCCAGGCCGACACAATGCGGGCTGGGCACGCTGACCCTGGGAGAACATCCGGCACCTTCCGAGAAGCGAGGGCATCGACTCCCGGGCCTGCCTAAGAGCCATTGCATTGCTCCTCGGTCCACACGCTCCCCCGCCTCCCCAGGAGGGAGCGGGTGCCGATGGGCCAGCATGTGTGCGCACGGAGCTATGGGGCGCGCCCGGCTTCACACCCAGCCCCGAGCCCCCACCTGGAGGCCGAGCAGGCTGGAGCCTTTGAGGTCGTCGGGGGAGCCGGTGTCGGAGCGTGGACACTGACCCGGGGGCTGAGACAGGAACAAGAGCTGCCTGGAGACGCCGCCTGTCAGCGGGCGTGGAGGGCTCGATGCTCTCCAGCAGGTGGGAGCGGCTCCCCTCCCAGAGCACCAGCAGCCACTGCGCCAGCCACGGAAGGCGAGAAGGAAGGAGAGAAGGAAGAAGAGAGAGAAGGAAGAAGAGAGAGAAGGAAGGAGAGAGAGAAGGAAGGCGAGAAGGCGCCGCCCTGTGGGGACGGCCAGCGGCAGCCGCAGGTGAAACGCCTGATGGATTGTCAGTGTTTGAACAGCTCGCGGAGCCTGGGGCTTGGGGTCTCAGCTGTCCCTATTCCGGCTGGTTCCACGGAGCATTAGCCACCTGTCCCCATCCCTCCGACCCAACAGGCAGCGCCCAGGAGGGCAGTGGCTTTTGGAGGGAGCTTGTTTTGGGGTGTGGCTGTGTTTCATCAGGAGAGGCATTTTTATGGGGGCCACCAGCCATGCTTGTGTCCCCGCACCCTCACCGCTGGGTGCCAGGAGACCAAGACACTGTGCCAGGTGGTGCCGGGGACCCCGGCTGCTTGCCTAATGTCTCCCCCCACCCCCCTACCCCCCACCCCCCGTAAATCTCTGTCTTGCGGCAGAAGCTCATCAGCGTGGCGGCGGGCAGAGCGGGCGGGCGGCCTGGCAGCGGGCGATGGCGCGCAGCCTCACTGTGACCCCTGCACGTTCTCCGCGCAGCCCGCTGCTGCCAGAGGCAGACACAGAGGTGAACGCAGCGCATGACATCAGTGCCAGGGGGGCCGGTGCGGGCACCCAGGTCGCTTCGCCAGACTCGCCCCTCTGGCTGTGCGCGGCCCCCTCCCCGGAAGGTGCCGGAAGCCGCACGGCCGGCATGGGCTCGACTGTTTACGTGAGTCGCCCCCAGGCGCCTGCCGTGGCCTCAGGAAGCCGCCTACACGTTCACACCACAGCCCCGCGGCCCTGACGGCACCGTCAGCGGCTTCCTCCCCGAGCAGCCCTGGGTCCCGGGACGGCCCAGCGCAGGCAGGCGCCCGCCTCACAACGCGCTGCCAGCGGAGGTGAGAGGCGGGACAGGCCTCACCCACGGGGACCCTCCTGGGAGCCCCTCGCACCCCTCCCGCTCCTTTCCTTCTTTTGGGACTGTTCAACGAACAAAGAAGAAAATCAGTATTTTTTCCGAAGATACAAAATCCACAGGAGTTCCTGGGTCAGCAGGTTCCGCAAGAGGGCGCTCTGCCTCACTCCGGCCCCGCCCACCCCGGCCCCGCCCACTCCGGCCTCCCTGGCCCCGCCCACCCCGGCCCCGCCCACTCCGGCCTCCCCGGCCCCGCCCACCCCGCCCCTCAGAACCACGTGCGTTGACAGCAGGAGCCTCGCATCACTGGGGGGGGGGGCGGTCTCCGTTGCAGGCAGCCTCTGCACTGTCGGCCTCCGCTGTAGCCGGGTCGCGGGGGAGGTGGTGCTGGGGGATGACTCGGCCGTGGCAGCCCGGGTCTCAGTAGCGTGTCTGACCCGCGCTCACGGTTTATGCCAGCGGTTCTCAACCTGTGGGTCGCGACCCCTTTGGGCGTCGAACGACTCTTCCACAGGGGTCGCCTAAGACCATTGGAAAACACATATATAATTACATATTGTTTTTGTGATGAATCACTATGCTTTAATGATGTTCAATTTGTAACAATGAAAATACATCCTGCATGTCAGATATTTACATGACGATTCATAACAGTAGCAAAATTACAGTTATGAAGCAGCAACGAAAATAATGTTATGGTTGGGGGTCACCACAACATGAGGAACTGCGTTAGAGGGTCGCGGCATCAGGAAGGTTGTGCTGGGCCAGCCCGTCTCACGCAGGAGCCTGGACCTGTGGGTCAGGAGGTTGTCTGGGAGCCGGCACTGCTCCCGCGGGGGCAGGGGGCGGGGCGGGGGTGGGGTCCTGCGTCGACACGGTGGCGGCCAGGCACAGGGTGATGGGGGCCCGACCCCGTGACAGCTGGCAGTCCGAGCGTGGCCCTGGCGTGCAGCCGCTCCTGACACTGGCTGGTTCGGCTGCAGCAGGCACAGGTGAGAAGGCCCCCCCACCCACCCCACCCACCCACCCCCTCCCCCACACCAAGCCTCCCCCACGCGCGACGGCAATGTACAGTCCGTGTGGCCGGGTGCCCCGGTGAATTATAAATGAGGCCCAAAGTGCTGAAGAGGCTCATTTCGGAAAGGAAGGATTAAGCAGAATAAAATGTGAGCGTTTTCTTCAGTTAATTTAAGGAAATCTCTTGGAATGACTCCCGCCCCAACATTTTTCACCCTAAGTGGATTGCTAACTACCTCGCTCCGGGTTGAGATGCTGTATCAATATTTTAAAATGTTTTCATGAAAAATGCACACAATCCCGAGAGCTCTGACGGAGCCGAACCTAAAACGTGGCTCCAGGTGGTGGCCCAGGAGGGGACGGGCAGGCGAGCGGCCCAGACAGCAAGGCCACCGGCACTGGGCCCTCGGGTGCGGGCCTGCCCGCGGCTCCGCACCGCACCCTCCGCGGCCCTCGCACCCGCTGCCGGCAGCAGCCAGTGTAGAGTCGGGGTTTTCTTTAGTTTCTTTAACAGCATTAAGTCTCTCTCTTTAGAGCAGTGGTTCTCAACCTTCTGGCTCTTTAATACAGTTCCTCATGTTGTGACCCAACCATAACATTATTTTCGTGGCTACTTCATAACTGTCATGTTGCTACTGTTATGAATCATCATGTAAATACCTGATATGCAGGGTGGTCTTAGCCGACCCCTGTGAAAGGGTCGTTCGACCGCCGAAGGGGTCGCGACCTCCGGGTTGAGAACCGCTGGGTTCGAGGAAACGCTGCAGGGCTTTCTACACTGACAGCCTGGAACAGAGATTGGCCATAGCGAGTGCTGGTGAACGTGCTGGGCCTCGCTCACTGAAGGCCCGGAGGCTGCGGGCACAGAGGCGCCTGGGAGGGAGGGGCGGGGAGGGAAGGAGGGAGGAAAGTAAGGAGGGAGGAGGGAGAAAGGAGGGAGGGCCAGTGGCTCCCACGGGCGGACAGGGGCGGACAGAGGGGCCAGCGCCCTCATCCCACGGTCGCTCTCATACGAAACCCCGCATGTAAGTCACACACAGCACCGGTCCGTGTGCAAACCTCCGTGTTCAAGGTGGCTGGGCCCGATCCCGCGGCTCCCGGGAGCCCCGGACGGGAGCTCAGGCTCCAGCACCCACCCCCCAGCTCCCTTCGAAGGACCACAGAGGGTGGCTGCTTCGCACGGACATCCCAGGTGCCTTTGGCCACCTTCCACCACGGCCTCCTGAGCGGGGCTGTGTGTGACGCGGACGCTCCGAGGGCGGCGTGCGCTGCGGGGGCATCGGACCAGCCCGTTACCTCGTCGGCCGTGTGGTCCTCGCCGCGGCCCAGGCCTCGCGCCCTGGCCACCTGCCGATGAGGCAGAGAGGCTCCGCACGCCGCCGGGTCACAGCTCTCGGGCCAGGCTCCCCTCGGCCTCCAGGCTGTGCCGCCCCTGCCCGTCCCTGGGCAGGGGTCACAGGTCACACTCCTCGGTCCTGCTGCCCAGGCTCAGGACCCCGCATCCGCTCCTCTGCTCTCCGCACCCCACTCTGGCTTTCCCTTCGGTGTTCACGTTGTCCTGAGGTCGGTTTCGGTGCGTTCACTGCGGAGTTTTTTGTGGTGAGACATACAGAACCTCCGAGTCGCCGTCCAGTGATGGTCAGTGGCAGTTCAGGCCCCTGAGCACAGTCACGCTGCTGTGCGGCCTCACCACCTCTCCAGACGTTCTCCTCCCAACCCAGGCTCTGCCCCATTAAACGCTCCCTCCCTCCCTCCCCTCCCCCGGCCCGGCCCCACCCTCCGTCCTGTCTCTGTGACTGGCTCCTCCAGGGACCTCGTAGGAGCGGAGTCGCACAGTGTTGTTCCCTCTGTGACCGACTGGCCCACTGAGCACAGTGGCCTCGGGGTCCTGCCGTCGGGGGCAGAGCTCCCCTGTTGTGAAGGCTGAGCAGGACCCGTGGTGGCCTGCGCCCCTGTTCCTCCCCGCCCACCAGCGCGGGGCAGCGTGGCTGTGAGGCCGTGCAGGCAACTGCGCGCCTCAGTGTGTGTATGTGACTTGCACTTGTACCTGGCAGCACCGGGGCTCGGGGCAGACATTCCCGGGCCTGGGACGGGGGATGCCGCAGCCACTGCGGGTGCTCACGCGGAGGGGGGTGGGGGTGGGGCGCAGTTTGCGACTTGGGTGTGGGTGTGCAGGCAGCGTCCTGGGAGTGGGGGCCGGCGGGGCTGTCCCCAGCACGGGCAGACTCCACAGTCCCGGCTGCACTGCCGTGAGAGTGACAAACTGCAGCTCAGGCCAAGTCCAGGCCCTGCGGGGCTGCCCTGCCCCCTGCCCCCCACCGGGGCTGCCCCATAGCGCCAGCCAGCAGCTGTCCGTGTGGGGCTGGCGTTTGAAGCTGTGCCTCGGTCACCATTTCCCGTTAGCATGCAGCTGGGCCACCGGGCGCTGCAGGGAGCAGGGAGGCCGGGCTGGGCGCCCTGTGTGGGTCAGGAGGCGGCGCAGGGTGAGCGGCCGCGGGCACACAGGGGCGCTGAGCCGCGATCCTGAACCGGAGATGAGATCCAGGCGGAGCGGAGGCGGGGATGCTGGGGAAGCGCCGCCTCCCACTCCAGCCTGAGCGGGGTCTCCCTGCGGGAAGGACTTAGACGCCAGCCCTGGGCCCTCACCCGCCTCGGACCGCAGAGCACGTGCCCGGGGAGGGGCCTGGGAGCTGACCGCGGCACCGCGGAGCGTGGGGCCTCGCTGGCGCAGGCTGACCCGCTCCCCCGCCTGCGGGGCTGCCCACGGGGCTGCGCCGGGCGTGGCTCTTGCAGACGAAGGCCTGTGGGACACGTTCGTGAAGGGGCTCCCGCAGAGCGCCACGTCCTACCGCGTGGGCCTGGGCAGGCTCCGGCCCGGCGTGACCTACGAGTTCCGGGTGGTGGCCGTGAACCCGGTGGGCTACGGGGAGCCCAGCAGCCCATCCGCAGCCGTGTCAGGTAGGTCCCCGGGACAGCTCGCTTGTCGGGGGAGGGAGGCTGCATGGACGTGCAGGCGCCCCAGCAGCAGGCGCCCTGCAGCGGACGGTGTGGGTCCCGTGTCCTCACGGCCCCAGCGTGGCCTGTGACCCCGGGAGCAGGGGGCCCTCTGGGTGAGGTCAGAGCACAGGGCCCCCGGGGGTGGCAGCTGAGCACCCACATGGGTTCAGAGAGCTGTCCTGCCCCAGGAGCCGACCTACCCCGTCCAGGACCCCCCACCCCCACCCGTGTTCCCCACGGCCACACACAGCGAGGGCGGTAACTTCTGCGGCGCGGCCTTGGGCCTCAGCGCCGACAGGCTTCCCGCGCGGCAGCCCGGGGCCTGGGACCAGCGCCCTGCAGGGCACACGGACTGCCCCGGGCCCACCCGGCACCTTCCCAGAAGCCGCTTCCGTTCCTCAGGGTTTAGTAACAGGATGAATGGAGATGGTTCCTTCCTCCCAAACCACGTGTCCATGAACCTCCTCCAGTCGTTTCTGGGAAAATTTCTGGAACTGGGGCTGCTCCGTTCAGCTTTGCAGAGACATGAACTAAATAAAACAGCCCAGCGGGGGGGGGGGGGGGCCGGGGGGGGCCAACAGGTACCCAAAGAGCCCCCTCTGTCCGTGGTGCCTGCACCCAGCCCTTCCAGACGGGTGGGCGCCCCCGCACAGCTGTGAGCCGGTCAGCTCAGGGCTGCTGGGCTCAGTCTGTCCCCACAGGCTTTTGGGGGATCCCCTGACTCCCCCTGAGAAGCCACGTGAAGCTTGGACTTGAGTTGCGTTGGCTGGGCGGGCGGGCAGGAGCTACGGGGCCCGGGCGGTGGCAGGCACCAGGGAGGTGGGATCAGAGGGACCGACACTTGGAGAGGAGCCCCCAGGCACATGGCTCCTTCTTCCCCGAACCCCGACGACAGGGGCAGGTGGTGAGGGAAAGGCGTCAGGACAGGTCTGGGGGAGAGCGGCTCAGGTGGGGGCAGCCCGAGCCCGTCCCCGGGCCCAGCCACATCCTGACCTCCGGGGCCTGGGCAGAGGGCGAGGCTTCTGTCGAGCTCACCACGTGCCCGTCTGCCCGCAGCGCAAGCGGACACCCCGTTCTACGAGGAGTGGTGGTTCCTGCTGGTGATGGCGCTGTCCAGCCTGCTCATCCTGCTGCTGGTGGCCCTCGCCCTGGTGCTGCGCGGGCAGAGCCGGGGGCACCGGAGCTGCGGCACAGGTGGGCGCCCCGCCCTGCTCCCCCCGCCCCCACCCCAGCCCCCAGGAGAGCTGGCTTGAGTTTGTGCCGTGCCCACCGCGGGTGACAGACCAGAACCTGTCCTGGAGGCGCCAGGCTCTGCCCAGAGTAGCCGTGGGGCTCAGATGCACCATCAGGAACTTGGGCCTCTGAGTCTCCATGTGCCCATCTGCCCGCGGCTCACACGCAGCAGCAGGTGTGAGTCTGAGCAGAGGAGAGTGTTACACTGAGGGGACGCTGCACCCAGGGCCTGAGGACAGGCGGGCTCCCTCCCGGCAGCGTCTTGGCATCACAAACCCGGTGGCAGCCGGCTCCCTCCACCCCACGGCCCAGCTGGAGCCTCTGGGGGCCGCTAGCGCGTTCCCGCACAGGCTCTGTGCCCGGCGCGTAGTAGGTGCCCGGCAGGGTTTGCTGCTAGATGAGTCGCTGTGTCCTTAGAGAAAGGGCCCCGGGCCTGGGCGAGGCGGCCACTGAGGTGCACCCTCCATGTGACTCCATGGACCGAGGGCACAGCAGGTGCTGGAGGCTGGAAGGTGTGGCCCCGGCAGGGAGGCAGGAGGAGGCTCTGGCAACGCTCGACACCGCCCGTGCCGCGGTGCTGTGCACGGAGCGCCTGAAACGGGCACACTTGGCGCTTTTCATCGTCCTCCACTCACATTCTCACAACTGCCTGTGCCCCTCCTCAGTGTGACCAGAGCGTGCTGAGCTCCAAGCTGGGCTGCTCCCCGACCTGCCCCCCCGCCCCGAGCGGGGCCCAGTGCTCCTGAGCCCGCGCCATCCCATGGGGCTCTCCCTGTCAGCTCGCCTGTCCTTCTCAGGAGAGGGCACCCAGGAGGCTGTCCCCGGCCCTGCAGAAGGGTGACTAGCGCCCAGAGCACCTCCCCTCCCCTCACGGCTGCTCCAGTGACGTTCGCATGCGTCCCGCCGAGAAAGGGCTGTGTTTCCTGTGCGTTTCATCTCTAAGGAGGGCTCCTGGGTCAGGCTCTCAATGGGAGGTGCTGTATGAAGGCATTCACAGCCCTGGGCAGGGACTGGCTCTGCTGCTTTCTCTCCTCCCGCCCAGAGCCGGACTGAAAGCACTGCCCGCAGCCTTGCCCCCAGCTCACCCCGGGGTGTTCATTAACCTCGTAATTGAAGGCTCGGGAAGAGTCCACGGCCACCAGAGTGTCCCCTCCGTGAGGGAGACATGCAGGGCCTGGCCTCTGGGCACAGCACTGCCTGCACCTCCTCCACTCACCAGCCCCATCCCCTCTCTCCATCCCCATCCCCTCCCTCCAGCCCACCCCCTCCCTCCAGCCCCCCCTCCCTCAGGCCCACCCCATCTCTCTCCGCCCCATCCCCTCCCTCCATCCCACCCCCTCCCTCCAGGCCACCTCCTCCCCCTCCAGCCCCATCCCCTCCCTCCAGCCCCACCCCCTCCCTCCAGGCCCACCTCCTCCCTCCAGCCCCATCCCCTCCCTCCAGCCCCACCCCTCCCTCCAGGCCCACCCCCTCCCTCCAGCCCCACCCCCTCCCTCCAGCCCACCCTCTCTCTCCAGCCCCATCCCCTCCCTCCAGCCCCATCCCCTCCCTCCAGCCCCCACCCCCTCCTCCAGCCCCACCCCCTCACCACCCTCTCCAGCCCCACACCCTCCCTCCATCCCCATCCCCTCCCTCCAGCCCCATCCCCCCCTCACCCCATCCCCTCCCTCCACCCCACCCCCTCTCTCCAGCCCCCCCCCCCTCCTCCCCGCCCCACCCCTCCCTCCAGCCCAACCCTCTCTCCAGCCCACCCTCCCCCCCATCCCCATTCCCTCCCCATCCCCTCCTCCAGCCCCACCCCCTCCCTCCACCCACCCCCCCCTCCAGCCCCACCCCCTCTCTCCATCCCCATCCCCTCCCTCCATCCCCATCCCCCCTCCACCCCATCCCCCTCCCACCCATCCCCCCTCCAGCCCCACCCCCTCCCATCCCCCCCCTCCCCATCCCCTCCCCCACCCCATCCACCTCCCTCTCCGCCCCCCATCCCCTCCTCCACCCCACCTCTCCCACCCCATCCCCTCCTCCATCCCCATCCCCCCTCTCCATCCCCATCCCCTCCCTCCATCCCCATCCCCCCCCCTCCAGCCCCATCCCCTCCCTCCATCCCCATCCCCCCCCCCCCCACCCCCTCCCTCCATCCCCATCCCCTCCCTCCAGCCCCACCCCCTCTCTCCATCCCCATCCCCTCCCTCCATCCCCATCCCCTCCCTCATCCCCATCCCCATCTCTCCAGCCCCATCCCCTCTCTCCATCCCCATCCCCTCTCTCCAGCCCCATCCCCCCTCTCCATCCCCATCCCCTCCCTCCATCCCCATCCCCTCCCTCCATCCCCATCCCCTCTCTCTCCAGCCCCATCCCCTCCCTCCATCCCCATCCCCTCTCTCTCCAGCCCCATCCCCTCCCTCCATCCCCATCCCCCCTCTCCATCCCCATCCCCTCTCCATCCCATCCCCTCCCTCCATCCCCATCCCCTCTCTCTCCAGCCCCATCCCCTCCCTCCATCCCCATCCCCTCTCTCCAGCCCCGCCCCCTCTCTCCAGTCACGGAGGCTCCCATGTTCTGCTGGCGCTTCACTCCCACAGACAGAGCATTGGGCATGTTGAGGGGTGTGAGGTCCCCCAGAGGGGACCCTGAGGTTGGAAATGGGGGCGAGTTGCACAGGCCCATGGAGGCCCTGACGCGTGCTCAGCACTGTCCCCACGGCTGGCGTGGCGGGAGCCCAACAGAGGGTCAGCGAGCGGTTTGCGGTCTGTCTTGCCCGGAACTTACGATCTGTCGAGGGGGACAGAGGCGGACACGGAGAAGCAGGCACACGCGTGTGTGAAAAACGCAGCCGTGGTGGCGGGCACTGGGGGGCTCCTCTGGGAAAGGGGCTGCTCTTTCAGGGTCTGGAAAATTCTCTCTGGTCTCCTGACCCGTGAGCCGTGTGATCTGAAGGAAGGGGCCAGTAAGCCAGGAGATGGGGTGCTCTGCAGGGAGACCTCACTCACCGGGATGGGGTGCTGGGGGCCCTGCACGGAGCCCTCGGTGGCTGGGGGGCTGGGGGCCCTGCACGGAGACCCACTCACGGGGAAGGGGGTGACCCGTAGGGAAGAGCGTCGCCCACATGGAGGAGTCTGTGACCCTGGACAACGGGGCCTTCGCCGCCTTGGAGCTCAACAGCCGCCACCTCAGCGTGAAGAACACCTTCTCCAAGAAGAACGGGTCCAGGTAGGGCCCACGCTCGTCCCCGTGCCGCCCACGGGTCGGGGCCAGCAGGCAGCACTGAGCGCAGGAGGGGGGGCGGGGCGGTGAGAGGCCTGAGTGTGAAGAGGGCAGGTCCCCGGGGTGGGGGGGCCCAGGGAGAACCCCAGCCCCGGGCCCTCTGTCAGAGGAGCCCTGGGTGAGAGAAGCCACGCGGACGTGGACGTAGTGTCCGTGGCGTGGACTTGCCACCACTCAGCCTGACAGGCGGGGGTGGGGGGCCGAGGGGGAGTGGGGGGCCGAGGGGGGACAGGAGGCCCCGAGATCCGCCAGCGCCCTCACAGGCGGTCCGCGCAGGTCCCCGCCCCGGCCCAGCCCCGGCGGCCTGCACTACTCGGACGAGGACCTGAGCAGCAAGTACAACGGGGCGGTGCTGAGCGAGAGCGTGCACCTGGCGGAGAAGGCGGAGGGCGCGTCGGAATCCGAGGTCAGTGCTGGGCCGCGGCCTCCTCCGGCCTCGCTCTGGCCTCCTCCTGTCTCGGGGACAAAGGGCCCCGTTACGGCCGGGGGAGGGGGAGGAGCACCGGCCCAGGCCCAGCCCCCCGGGCGCCCCAGCCCCTCGCAGGGCCGGGCAGTGGGTCCCTCTCAGGAGACCTGCGTCCGCCCAGGTGTGGCCACACGCCCGTGGGACCTCAGGGGTCGCGGCCCCAGGCGGCACCCAGACGGGTCACGTGCCCAAAGCGGCCTCAGGTCTGCACACGGCTGTCACCGCTGCCCTCAGAGCAGACCTGAGTGTCCTGGGTGACACAGGGCTGGTGGCCTCTGGGCCTGGGCCTGCAACGTGGGCACCAGGCTCACGCCCCCAGGACCCCCCGTTCCTGCCCCTGTGCTGAGCAGGGGACTCCCACAGCCGCCCATCTCCATCAGCAGGGTCCTGAGCTCCCACTCAGATGGCCCTGTCCTACCTGAGCGACCAGGTCTCGCCCCGAGGCCCCAGGACCCGGCCTCCTGCGTGTGGGGCGTTCATCCTGGAGCTGAGCAGCCCTGCAGGCTCAGTGGGCACCCCCCCCCCACTCCCGCCTGTGGTCTCACTTCACCAGCAAAGCAGCTGACCCAGCGCCTGGGTGCCCCCCCCTCCCCCGTCAGCTCCGCCAGGCCTCAGGGGGCACCAGGGCGTGGCGGCCCACCCCCTCTTGGCCTTCCTGCTCTAGATCAGCATTTAATCTAAAGGGAGTCTCACCCGCATTTTGACCTGAATTCAGGCCTATTGGGCCCGAGGCTTCGTGAAATGGCCCTTAAGTGCTGGCTTGGTGTGAACTCCCAGGCGAGGGGACGGGATGCCCTGGGCACCGTTTCCAGAGACTGTAAATGGTTGCTCATAAAATAATTTCCACCTAAATCCTGGACCCATGGAGGGGCCTGCTGGGCCCCCTCCCCCCAGCCACTAGGAAGCACCTTCTGCACCCACAGCTGATGGGACAGCCGGGACCGGGAGGGAGGGGCAGGGCCTGGCACCGTATTCCTGGAGGGCCCTGACTTCGGGCCGGGCCAGACCTTCACACTCACGTTCAGAGGCGGTGACGTCCCAGAGCTGTCCACGGGCCGGGAGCGGGGCAGGGCCTGAGGGGCTAAGGGCAGGCAGCTCGCTCCCCAGAGCCTCGCACAGACCGGCCAGACGGGCGGGCGGGACTCACAGCCACGGTGCTTGTCCTGCCGAGAGCACCCTCACTTCCCGTCCATCCACTGTCCCCCAGGGGCTCAGGGTGAAGAGTGACTTCTGCCCGGTCGGTCAGGGTGTGGCCCAGGGTGGCCGCAGGGCAGGGACGCAGGGGGTCCTGTGGGGGCGGGTCTCATGCCCCCTCCCCCCTCCCCCAGGCAGGGCAGGGACGCAGGGGGTCCTGTGGGGGCGGGTCTCAGGCCCCCTCCCCCCTCCCCCCGGGCAGGGCAGGGACGCAGGGTGACGCTGTGGGGGCGGGTCTCATGCCCCGGCCGGCCAGGAGGGGCAGGATCCCGGGGCCCCTGCAGCGGAGCTCCCCAGGAGCTGACATCCCACCAGGACACAGCGGCCGCCCCCACCCGGGTTCAAGTCCTGCCCAGGGATATTCCAGCGCAGGTTGGAAATCAGAGGCTGTCGCCGTGTAGCCCACGCTGCTCACGACCTCTGTCAGGACTGCTGTGCAAATCACATTGTAAAGACTGTTTTGAAGCCCAAAGAAACGGTTTTCACCATCTCTCCTGCTCCAAGCGACTCAGCCGAAACCCTCGCACCCAATTAGTTCCCTCACAGCAGCCAGGCCCTTCATCTCAGGCAGCACCAGGGGCCCGGAGCCGCGATGACCTCCATCAGAAGCTCCCGCCGCCGTCCGGGGCCACCTCGCAGGCCGCACGCTGGCCGGTATGGTTTCCCGGGAAACCAACACCCGTGGCGACTTCCTATCACACAGGAAAGCTAGGAAGATGAAGCCCCCACGCATTTCCCGTCAGTAATTCTAACGCACTGAGACGTAGCGGTGCCGCGTACACCTACACAGAGCAGGGCAGGGGCACGTGGCTTCCTAAGCGGGCACAGCAGCGTCCAGCAGGAGCAGAGGCTGCTGGGCGTGCGCCCTGGTGGCGCGGGAGTCCCCACACTGGCTCTGGAACCATGGGAACCACTCAGCTACATCTGTGCACTACGGGCCCTGCCACTCAAGGTCACGGCTGCCAGCTTTGTCCCCAGGGAGGCACTGCTCTACCACTGAGAAAAGTCCCAGGGCAGGTTCCCGTTGGCTCAGCTCCTGTCACATGCCCACCCACCAGCCAATCACATTTTCTGAGGGACAAGCCGTGCATTCAGCCCTCGGGAAAGGCAGAGAAGGACCACTTCCTGAAGGTCACGCAGGAAGGTCAAAGCCCAGACAGGATCACGGGGGCCAGACAACCCCCCACAGGGTCTCCTGCCGGACCGCCTCAGCACCCACATTGCCGCAGCCCCGGCTCTGCGCGTGGGGCGTTTAGATCCGGGGTGAGGAGCTATGCAACGATGCAGAGCCACTGAGCAGTTTCAAGAGGAATGATTCATTCACCACGTCAGCCGTCAGCGGTACATCAGCCGTCAGCGGGTGCGTCGGCCGTCAGCACGTGCGGCTGGGACATGGGTGCGCTCTCCAGGCTGGGCTGCCCTGCTCTCAGAACGCCGGCCTGCGAGGCGAGACACACAGGCCCCCAGACGGCCCCTCAGCCCACCTGGCCTCCACCTGAGAGCCTGGCTTCTCTACAGCTGCAGGGGGTGGGCGAGGGCACGGGGCAGAGGGTCCCAGCACAGGACACACGTGTGCTGATGCGCCTGCCCCAGGGAGACCCACCGCTGCCGCTCTAACCTTCTCTGAAATGGGGCTCGGAGGGGCCCCCAGAGGGCTCCTAAAAGCTCCGCCCATGCAGTGCTGGCCTGGCCCCGCTGCCCCCAGGAGGACCTGCCAGCCCCCGCCCCCGCGGCCGTGGCTCTCAGGGGGACGGAGTCCACGTCGCGTCTCCCACGTGCTCACCAGCATCCTCCGCGCTGCGATGGTGACCGGAGGACGCGGCCTGAAGCGGGTGAACGTCTTCAGTCTTACCTTCGGCCCTCAGGTCACCGTGACCCCTGACCCCGGTTGACACCTGGACCTAAATGGCTGCCTCGAGTGCTCTGTGACTCTCGTGAGAAAGGGCCCTTCGGCGTGTTCGCCGCGGGCTCTGCCTCCTGAGCCTCAGGAGACGGGACCAAAGGCGGCGTCTGAAGAGGCGACCCTCCCGGCGCCGACCCTGGAGGACCCAGGCCGGTCCCATCGCGGCGGGAGCTGCCTCGCGGCCCGAGGAAGGCGATGACCAGGAAGCCCGCACCACAGCCCGCGCTCATCCGCAGCCCGGGGCCCGGCGCGTTCAGGAGGCCCGTGGCCCCGTGGGACTGAGCGCACAGCACGTGGCCGCCAGCGGGTCAGCGGCAATCGGGTGGGAGACGGGCGCCAGGCTTCCCGCAGCGGCCACGGCTACGAGCCGCTTTCCAGGCCGGAGCACAGGGGTTTGGAGGGAGGCGGGGGGGGGGGGGGGGGGGGCCCTGAGTGCCAGCCGGAAGGGGGCCTGGAGCTGGGGACGGTCCGTGTGCTGAGACAGGAGCGAGTGCGGGGCGCAGGTGGGGCTCCAGGATACACCCGCCTGTGGGGTCCCAGGGCACCCACACACACGGCCCACCTGGGAGCAGCCGCGGTGCCTCCTGTGCCGCCATCGCCATCAGCATCAATTCCTGAGCCGCTGCCCTCTGCCCTCTGCCCTCTGCCCTCTGCGGCCGGGTGTGCGGGAGGGGCTCCTGGGCCCGCGCCCCCCTGATCGTGCTGAGCGGAGGGACCAGCGTGTGCAGCGCTGCTGCCGCGAAACAAACAGTCCCCTTCCTACAGCCTGAGAAGCCCCAACGCAGGGACTGACTTTCTTTTTAAAAGAAAAATATATGTGGGTGTTTTTATTGATGTCAGAGAGGAAGGGAGAGGGAGAGAGAGAGAGAAACGTCAATGCTGAGAGAGAATCATTGATGGGCTGCCTCCTGCACGCCCCACACTGGGATGGAGCCCGCAACCCGGGCCTGTGCCCTGACGGGGAATCGAGCCCTGACCTCCTGGGTCATAGGTCGCCGCTCACCCACGGAGCCACGCCGTTACTTCCTTAAAGCAGTCCAGGTTCCTCGCCGTGTCCCAGGGATCCCGGGATCTCCCCACCCTCTGAGCACAGGGATTCCCTTCAGCCTGGAGGCTCCCGGATGCAGCGCTGGCAGCCAGGGCCGGGGCAGCCCAGGGGCCACCTGGGGAGGCAGGCATGAGGGTCGCTCCCTCTCTGACCCTCGAATGGGGGAAGGGCACGCAGGTGCCTCGCTGCGGGGCCTGGGGACCGTTCTGTTTTCCTCTCTGTGAGTCACTCGGGCCCGGGCCTCCTCCCCGCACAGCAGCTGTGTGAGCCCAGCCACAGCCCCTAGACACCACCCAGGCCCCTGGGGCTGGAGCTGGGAGCCCCCACTCCCCACCCCCGATGACCTGCAGCATCAGGGGCTGCTCACTCCTCCACCCCCGGCTCCTGACGCCCTCCTTGTCCCTAAAAAGAGCAGGTGGCTGGCCCCTTGCCAGTGGGGACTGGAGCCCAAGGGAGTGTAGGGGGCAGAGCCACCACCCCCTGTGCCCTCCTGACATGTCAGAGCGGCCTCTGCCAGGTCCCCGGGGCCCAGAGCACCCACTGGGCTCAGCTGGGGAGCGGGCGGGGGCCTGCGAAGGTTCGTGCCCTTGGGTGGGTGGGGTGGGGCGCAGAGGGCAGGGGGACGGAGGGGAGGGGGGAACAGCTGGCTGACAGGCACTGTCCCTGTTGGGTGACTGATGCTGGTCCTGCCTGCTGGCCACTCGCGGCTTCCAGCTCAGCCCTGCTGCCCTGTGCCCCCATGACCACCCCCATGACCACCCCCTCCCCCTCTCTGACCACCCTCTCCCCCTTTCTGGCCACCCCCTCCCCCTCCATGACCACCCCACGTCCTCCCCCACGTCCTCCCTTCCCCGTGCCCACACCTGCTCTCCCCCACCCTCCCCAGGGCACCGACTCGGAGTCGGAGGACGCGCCCCCCCAGCACTCCTTCGTCAACCACTACCTGAGCGACCCCACCTACTACAGCTCCTGGAAGCGGCAGGCCCCGGGCGGGCGGGCGGCCCCGCACAGGTACGAGGCGGGGGCGGGGGGCGAGGGCCCGCTGCTGCACACCGTGGTCACCACCCAGAGCGCCGTGTTCGCGCCCGCGGCCCCCGGCGCCCGGACTCCGCTCACCGGCTTCTCCTCCTTCGTGTGACGCCGCCGCGGGACCTCAGAGGCTGTTGTGTTCGGACGGCAGCTCCAGTGACAGCTCCCCTCCTGCTCCCGGGGCCGGCGGGCGAGCAGCTCGGCCCTGAACGCGGGCCCCCGGCGGGGTCAGGGGGGGCTCCGTTTCTCTTTTCTTTTCGCGAGGACGTGTGTCCCCGGTGCGATGGCCAGCGCCCCGGACCGCAGACCTGGCTGGGCGGCTCCATCGGGCGCCCAAACGGGAGGCGGGGAGGTCAAGGGACACCTGCCGCCTCAGCCTCGGCCCCCCTGCCTCCTCGGCCCCCCTGCCTCCTCGGCCTCCGCCCCGGGCTCGGCGCCCTCACCCCGCCGCCGGCTCGTCGGCAGTTTCTGGTGGAGGAACCAGCTGGACGGGCAGGAGGCGGGTGCTGCCCTCCCGCTGCGACGGTCACCCTGTTACCGGGCGGAGCGCGGGCCCCTCCTTCCTCCTTCCTTGACGGACAGCGCCCGGCAGGCCCAGCCCGCTCACCGAGGCCAGGGAGTCGCTTGTGTGTGAGGTGTGCATTGTCAGCCAGAGTATTTTTTAAATCTTTTTATCTTTTTTTAAAATATGTCACATGAAATGAATGAGTCTCCGCTGTCTCCAGGTGCCTTTTATTAACTGTTTAGCTTTGTACACGGGGAAGCCCACCAGCGCGCGTCTCCCAATAAAGCCAGTGGCTCTGAGAAAAGGGGTCCTGAATCGCCTCCTGGACCTCAGCTCCCCACACCACCCCCTACCGTGCTCCCCAACCCCTGCGCATGCACCCCAGCCCCCCACCATGCACCCCGGCCCCCTACTGTGCACCCCGGTCCCCTACTGTGCACCCCGGCCCCCTACTGTGCACCCCGGCCCCCTACTATGCACCCCGGCCCCCCACCACGCACCCCGGCCCCCCACCACGTACCCCGGCCCCCCACCATGCACCCCAGCCCCCCACCGTGCACCCCAGCCCCCCACCACGCTCCCCAGCCCCCCACCGTGCACCCCAGCCCCACCAGGTTGCTCCTTCACATCTGGCCCCTCCGTGCTCGAGGCCTGGTCCTCCCTCCAAGCCCCCGGGCGGCGCCCCTGCCGCTGCTTCTTGCCCTCGGGTGCGGCTGCTGTCCCTTCGCTGACCGCAGGCCCGCTTTTAGGCTTCACGGTTTCCTGGAAACACGTGTTCCCATTGCTCACTGTTCTGTTTTAGACTCTAGATCGGTGATGGCGAACCTTCTGAGCTCGGCGTGTCAGCATTTTGAAAAACCCTAACTTAACTCTGGTGCCGTGTCACGTATAGAAACTTTTTGATCTTTGCAACCATAGTAAAACAAAGATTTATAGTTTTGACATTTATTTTATATATTTAAATGCCATTTAACAAAGAAAAATCAACCAAAACATGAGTACGCGTATCACCTCTGACACGCGTGTCATAGGTTCGCCATCACTGGGCTAGCTGCACGGGAGCAGCATGGACTGGGCTGGAAACTGAGAGTCAACCTTGGCTGGGCCTCCAGCCCCGTCCCACTACTGAGGCAGCAGGCCCGGTGCGCGGTCCCCCAGGCCCAGGTATCCCGTCCTCCAGGCCCAGGTGTCCCGTCCCCCGAGCCTAGGTGTCCCATCCCCCGGGCCCAGGTGTCCCATCCTCCAGGCCCAGGTGTCCCGTCCCCCGGGCCCAGGTATCCCGTCCTCCAGGCCCAGGTGTCCCGTCCCCCGGGCAGAGCCAGGCTGGAGGCCCGGGAGGGCCCGCCGCCCCCCACCAGGAGGAGTGTGGCCCCTGATGGACACGCGCCGCTCTGTGGACACGGGCACAGGGGCAGGGGCGCCGTCGGGAAGGAGGCTGGGCCCAGGCCTCCCTGCCCTGCAGAGCCTGTGCCTTCCTGCCCAGGCCCCACCCTCCCAGGGGCGAGGCTGTCGGCCCCCAGCTGCCCCCGACCCCCAGCTGCCCCAGGTCCACTCCTGGGGGTGGGGGCTGAGCTCGTCGGGGACAGACAGCCCGGCGGGTGAGCGGGCAGCGTGGAGCTGAGTGGACAGCACCATTCTCAGCACCCCCCCCCTCCGGGCCCCCCCGCAGCCGCCCAGGCGCCCTCCCCTGACTTAGTCCCGAGGGTGCAGGGCTGGGGCGGGTCCTTCCCTCCTAAGACGCCCCCTTCCCTGCTGGGCCTCGGAGCGAAGGGGAACGAGAGGGCAGGGCCCGGGGCAGGGACATGACCGACGAGGGCCAGGGCGTCGCGAGGGCGGCCTGGCCGTCCCAGGCCTCAGGCCTCCGTCCCGCCGCCTCGGGGCTCTCAGCTGAGCTGCGTCTAGAATCACGGGCAGCGTCTCAGCTGCGCCCAGGCCGCACCCATCAGAGCCTCGGGCCCAGGCTCCCCCGGGGCCGTGTGCAGCCCAGGAGGCTCCGGGCAGCTCGGTCAGGGGGGAGGTGGGGGGAGCGGGGCCTGGGGGGCGACTCCCCTGCTCCGGACGCCATGGCGCAGCTGCCAGCCGAGGTAAGAAGCCTGTCTCTGTCTCCCGCACAAACGGAAATGTCCGGCTGCCCCCCCCGCCCGCCCCCCACCTGGCTGTGCCCAGTGCCGAGTGCCGGTGCCGCCCGTGCAGGGCCCTCGGGGACCGAGTGAGCAGGTGCCGGGGGGACGGCTGGCCAGGGGCAGCCCCGGGTCCAAACCCAGGGAGTGGGGGGCTGCACTGGGTCCTGAACCACCGCACCATGGCCTCCCGGGCGCCTGCCCCCGAGCTGCCTCCGGCGCCGGAGAAGGGGGGGCTCTGGCCCTGGAGCTCCGGGACCTGCTGGCCCGCCTCGTCTCTGCGTCCACAGGAGAAGGTGCCCCGTTCACTGGCCCGGGGTGCGCGAGGCCTCCATTGCCAGAGCCACGGCCGGTGGGACGTTAACAAGGAGCCCTTCGCACGGCGGCCATTTATCCCGAAAAGAGGCCGCCTTGTCTCGCTGGGGTCGTTGGGTAACCCCCCTCCCCCTCCCCAGGGAGGAGAAGCGAGGCGGGGAGGCCCCGGGCACCTGCTCTGACCCTCCGAGCCATGGCGCCGGGCCCTGTGTCTGCAGGTCGGCGTGCCCGTGCCCCAGCCAGAATATCGGGGGTGGCTGGGGTGACTGACTCGTAGAGGTTGCCCCGCGTCCCCAGCCTCACCCTCTGGTCGGCGCCGAGGGCTGCACCTTGAGCAGCGGGTTCGCAGGGAGCGGGCCGCGGGGCGGTGGCTGCGACCCCCGGGCTCAGCACGCGGTTCAGAGGTGACGGCCAAGGCCTGATGCCCGGGTGAGGCCCCCGGCACCAGGGAGGGCCGGGAGCAGGGTCCAGAGCTGGTGACCAGCCGTGCCATCTGACCCAGGAAACCAGCTTCCGGGACGGCCGTGCTCGGTCAGGTTGGTTCTGTCACGAGTGAGGCCGCCAGGCCCGCGGTGGGGATGAGCCGCCTGCAGCCTTCCGCGTGGCTGTGGCTGTGGCTGTGGCTGTGGCTGTGGCTGTGTCCGCTCCGTGCCCGTGGCCTGGCTCCTTGCTTCCCGCTGGCGCCTACGAGGTGGTTTTTGGAAAAGGAAGGCGAGTCACGGTGGAAACGGCTGTGCCCGGCGGCGGCCTCCACGGCAGCGCCGTTACCCTCTGGCTGAGCTTGACGTGGCCCCACGGGCCCTCCCCGGCCCCGGCAGGAACCGGCCTCCCACACGGGGTCGGAGAGGTGGCGGCCAGCCCCGCCCAGAGCTGCTGCGTCCCCGGCCACAAGGAACACATCCCACCCTTGTCGTTGGCCCCTCCTGTCCCACGACGGCGCCTGAGGGAGCACGGAGGCGGGCGTCCCCCGTGTTCACCAGCCGGGGCCCTGACACCTGCGCCCGCCAAGCGGGCGGCCCCGTGAACTCCAGCCTCCGCGCTGTGTTCGCACTCGCCTGGGAGCCCAAAGGAGGCAGATGATAGCAACCAACTTCACAGTGGACTTGGTTTTTAATAAGGTGGGCGGGAGCAGGTGGGACAGGTGGGCAGGGGACCAGTGGGGGGACAGGTGGGGGGCGGGCACTTGGACAAACGTTTTGGTGAAGGTGTACGTCTTTGCTTCTGGAAGCTGCTGGGAGGAGAATAATATCAAAGGGTAAAACCTCAGTTTCCCCAAAAAGCTGGAGGGCGGTCCTCAGCCTGCATCGGGCCCTCGTGGGGTGTAGTGCGGTGATTGCGTCTGGCGTGTTGAAAGCCTCTGGTGGCTGAGGCGGAGCTCCGTGCAGCAGCCACACGGATACGTGTGCGGTTCCGTGGCTTTTACACGTGTTCCTGGCCCAGGCTGTTCCCAGCCTCCAGCAGTCCCTGTGCTCCTCCCGCCGGCTCCGCCGGCTCCCACCAGGCCTCGACGGGCCACCTTGACCTTCTGGACGAGCCCGGCCGGGCCCGAACGCGGCAGGAGCGCCTTCCATGCTCGTCCTGAGACGCCCTGGCCACCTGGGCGGCTGGTTCATGGTTGTCCCCACATCTCACCTGAGGCTGCAGCAGAACTTACCCCCCACCCCGCTGGCCTCTGAGGCAGGACCTGCGTGAACATCCCTGGATGCGTCTTCACTCGGACGACAGGGGCCCGATGTGGGGGCGCCACCTTCTTGGTCTGGGGGGGCAGGGGGTCACTGGGTCATGGAGGGGCGTGCAGCTTCCGTAGCAACCGCGTTGCTGTTTTGAAGTCACGGCACCGTCTGCGTCCAGGCAGCAGTGGCCGCGCTCCAGGCCCCGAGGGAGGGGCCTTCGGGGAGGGGAGGGGCGAAGGGGAGGGGAGAGGGTGTGGAGAGCATCTGTAGAGAACCAGACAGCCCTGGGTGAGCACCTGGAGGGCACGCGGGCGCCGGGCCCACCTGGTCTGCACTGTGGTCCTGGCACCCCCTGGCCTGCACCCCGGGCCTGTGTCCTGACCAGGAATCGAACCATGACCTGCGGGTTCATAGGTCGACGCCCAGCCCCTGAGCCACGCCGGCCGGGCCGATGGTCCTTCACTTGGACTCCCACCCCTCCCAGCTCCAGGGTCTGCCTCCAGCCGTCCCGGGGGAGGCGGGGAGACTGGCGGCTCTTGCTTTTCAGGCTCAGCGTCCAGGGTAACGTAGGGCTAGGGGGCTGGCCGCGCCCTTCCTGTGAAATTCACCCTCACCTGTTTTACAGCTGCC